CGCAAACTCTGCCACTCTCTCCGTCTCCTGCCCTCGTTTTACGTCCCGATCTCTTCCCCTCTCTGCCGCCGTTTCCCTCCGTCCTCTACTTTGTGTCGCTCTCTCCCCTCCCTCCACCTGTCCTTTTCCTCCAACCTCCCAACCCCATCTGTGATGTGCTGACGAAGTAGCAGAGTGGAAGCGGCGTCATAAAAGGGAGCGCTAATGAAGGGTCGCGCGAGGTCAAAATATTCACATACCTCTGCCAGATGAGAGGACGAGGGGTCGCTTACTCCAAGGGGACGAGCCGCTTCGCTTTTTGACTCCAGGGGTGTGCAGAGGTGAAAAGGTCGCGGACAGAGGGCACCAGGTTGCAGCCTCTGGGCTGAGATTCCGTGAGTCCTCGGGTCAGAGGTCACTGCAGGAATGCCTGGTAAACGAGAGGTTGCGAGCCGGGGTCAGAGGTGCGGCCTCCATCTTCTCTTTTTGGATGAACAGGTCGGAGTGAAGGTGGGGGGGGGTCCTGACTGGGTTATTCTGCAGGCTGGAGGTCAAGCTTGACCTGAGGCAGGAGCAGGCTGGAGCTGAAGGTGGAGCCGTGATTTAATATTCTAATTACACTCCGTGGAAGGCGTTTAAGGCGAATCAATGGATCATATTATATCCAGTCCGTCAACAGAAGAATTAGTGGCTTTAATTAAATCTTCCGCACCGCCGGAAATTTATGCACGCAATATAAGATCCCGCCACGGCTGTTTTTACAAGAATGCGGCTTCACAAAGCTCATTCAAAGACGGTGAGAATATTGAATAATTCAGATAAACACATAAATGATATTTAGCAGAGGGGATAAAGCGGCGGTGGCCCCTCGGCTATAACCGTGCATCACCTGGCGCCGCACACACGTCCTGACTAATGAACTGAAGACGGAGCCGATTCATCAGTAGGTGAGACACTGACATCTACTGGAGAAACAGAAAAACAACCAGCGTGCAGGAACCCTGCAGCTGAGCTCACATACAAACATGTTTGGGTTCATCATCGCACTGAGCACCTTTACCTCCACCCAACACGAACGTCAATGTTTGATGTGTATGATTTTGGTGATCAATTGTTAACTGTGTGGCACTTTCTTTAGACCTTGTGTTTTTCTTATGACAAGCACTTTGAACTGCCCTGCTGCTGAAATAAACTAAATAAATAAACTTGATTGATTGATTGATTGATTGATTGATTGATTGGTTGATTGATTGATTGATTGATTGATCAAACCATGCTGCATCAACGTCGTCTTGGAGAGAGGCAGAAATTCTTGGCGATGGCTTGTTTTTAATTGGCAATGAAGTGAAAAATGAACACCAGTAGTTTTTTTTTTTGTTTTTTTTAAGAGCTAACACTGTTATCAAACTATATTGATCATCTCACAGCTTAAATCATTAGTCACTCCAGACAGGTTTCACTTGGGATGCGATGGGGGATGAGGGCGGCTTAAATCAGGCCTCTAACATGATCTATGTATTTGTATATGGATATGAAAACTGTTGAAGCTCTCTTTCTTGAATTCATTCAAAAATATGTCTGGTCCACACCCCATCCGCATAAATTCATCTCATCCAGGAGATGGATGACTTCATTTCCTATTTTCTCTCTGGATGTACAGATAATGGAAGCTGATGTGGCAAGATTTGAAAAGTTTGAATGTTTTTAATTTTTTGTTTTTATTCGGTTTAGTTGGTGAAATGAGATCTGGGACCCAAGAGCTTGTATTCCTGACGGGCCCCAGTAGAGGGCAGTACACTGACATCTGACTACAAGAACCGCGTTAAATGTTGGTAATTTACAGTGAACATTGAGGCTGAAAGTAAAACTGCTAAAAAATAAAAAAAAAACGTCTTAATATATGAAATGCTCTTGTATCATCTCCACCATAGCAGCCGTTGCGCGGATGCTAACAACTTAGCGTGTGGGTCCGTGCGCGTGACCATGGGCCGACCCTCCGTCTCCAGGGTGAGCTCTTATTTATCTGTCCAAAGCCGATGTGAGTGAGCATTAAATATTTAATCACACAGACTATCATGCAGAATTCATGAGGAAAAGCAGCAAATGAATCATGTAAAAAAAAAAAGCTTCTGGGGCCGCAACGTTTCCAGCTGAAAGATCCGGCGGCGTTTCTTCCGTCGCCATGATTGTGTGAGAGTGGCGGTTTCTCGCTCCCTCGGCGCCACTTTGGTTCTCGATGTTTGCTTTGGATGATTCTTAAGATCTCACCTCCGTTCAGCAGCCTAACAAGCCCGAGGCGCATCGCGCGAGCAACAGAGTACCTTTTAAGGGAGCTTCACAGTATTCTTAAAGTTAGACACACAACCCTTTAAGTTTGAACAAAAAAGAAAAGAATAAAACAGTATCAAAAGACTGCACCTTCAGTGAGCTCTGCATACTCCTTAAAGTGTTCTCTCTTTCCTTTTAGCTTAATAGAAACTGTAGATGTCAAGTTTCATAATCTGCAGAGCAAAACGTCCTGGTGTTTATGAGGCAAGAAAGAACACAGTATTATATGTTTTCCAGCCACATAGGTCTACTTTATAGCACAGTCAAGAAACTATAATATAAAAAATACCATATGAATCAAATATGACTGAAAATAGATATTACTTTCAAGTCATTACTCTCACTCTTTAAAAACTCCTGCTCTTTCTGAAACTCTGGGAGGCATCACAACAGCGCTCCTTTGTCAACGTTTTGCACTGAGATACAACGAGTCCAGCGGTTGTTTGCTAACTGCTAATTGCTAATTTGCTAATCCCGAAGGAGCCGAGTTCGTCAAAAGCTTGGAAACTGCAGCCCGGAGGAGGAGCTTCGTCTGGAAGGCGGAGCTAGGTCCACCCTGATGTTTGTCACAGCTGAATGGTTGCCGCAGGAGATTCGGTGATTTCTCACACGTACGTTAAAGCGTCAAGGCAACGCTCCGTGTATGTTTTTATGAGGAAATGGAAAAGATTTCACATAATTCCAACCTGCTGCTGTCAACGGGTACACCCTGGTCATGTTGTATAAATACCCTGCAACTTTATTATTTATATTTTCATTTGACAAATAAGTCTGATTTTTGTGGTCCTAAAAACCTTCTTGACCATTTTGACCTGCAGGGGAAGAAGTTGGGAAATCACTGCCACAGTGTCATTAATGCCAATAGTCCTTGTATGTTGACTGTAAACTTGTGTTTTCTTTTTTTTCTTTCTAACAATCTATGACACCTTCTCATTTCTTTTTTGAAATATGCAATAAGATGAGGAAGCGTTTACTTTTGAAATCAGAAGTTTATCTAAACTATATTATAAGACGCATGCTTTTTTTTCACACTGTTTGACATGAAATCAGAATAAACTTCATATTTTTAGGTATATTAGGATTATCAACATTTGTTCTATTTGCTAAATGGCAGAATAACGGAAGAGAAGATTTTGAAGGTAATTTTATTATATTTCTTCACAGTCAAAATTTTTAATGCACTAAGATTGAGACGCCCGGAACACTCTGGGACATCTGATGTCATTTCCTTGGAAGTTTCTGATAGGTTCACTGAAAACACCCGAGTGAGTCAGAGATGCACCTGTGGATGTAATGAAGGCCCATCTGAAACTCACTGCTTCCTTGTGAGGCATCATGGGAACATCAACACACCAGAGCTGCGTCACTATCTAGTTCTGAGTGAAACATGTTCTGAAAACTAACTATTAACTCGACTCATTGGATCACTGGAGCGTAAAAATGAGCTCAGCTTCTCCAATGCAAAGATATTCTGTCTCTCACTGTTGCACTGTTAAAAAAAAAATAAAATGAATGAATAAATAAAGGCTCAGATGATTTATTCTTTCCAATAGGGATGCGGCTGTGGATCATTTTTCTTTCAAGCACGAAGATTCTTGAAATGCCTTTATGAAGAAGCCGGTAGAGTTGAGCGAATCGTTTTCCTCGTTTTCTGATCAATTCTGCTACAAAGCTTTGATCGCAGCAATGTGAAATGTGGCCACTGACTGGGCTGACTCAAGAGACGGTGTTCGGGTCCTCGTTTTTAGACGGCTGTTCGCTCGAAGCGCCAGCTTCAAAGGCGAAGGCTGACCTCACTGACGTCACTCTGTTGACTCCAAATGTCAAATTCGACAAATGGTCTGCGTTTTGTGATTCACGCGATTGGTCTAAATGAGGCTTTTAGATGTCACAAGGTTGAGGAAACATTCAAAAGACAGAAGTCGGTCGGTGGTCTTTTGGTTGTTGGTGTTCTGCTTGTGTCTCACATCCAGAGGGCAGAGAGTTTTGTTTTCCAGAGCAAAAGTATTATTCATAAATGCAACACCTTTCAGTTATGATCTAGCTTAACTTCAAGTAAATATGTATGGCTAAAAATACAACTAGTGGACCAAAGCATTGGTAGATGACTGAGGTCATTTGGTTTCAGTCCATCTCACAGACTTTCCCTGGATGGGAGATGGAGGTAAAAGCAGACAGAAAATGATGCAGTGCGCTCGCTTCGGCCTCTGTGGCTGTAGCCGATATTAATGCTTCATGAAACCAGGAGAGGAAGCCGAGGCAACAGAACGACAACAAAGAGAGACTAACATTGATCTAAGAGAAACGAACACACGGAGAAACTGAGAAACTCGAGAAAATTAACTGGCAGGAAAAAACCCTGGTGACGACAATGGCAAGACCACTGTGGCAATCGGTGGCTATGAAAGCCGAAAGCCAAAACTCAGATCTGGACACAGACTGAATTTTGTGTCACTGCGTGAACAGAATTGACTGAATATTAATATTTTTAAGCAAACATAAACATCCAAAGGTGAATAACATTCAAAGCACATTTTAGATCACGATCCACAGATCTCCACCCCCCTCCAAACAAGAGGGGAAAAAAGGTTAAGATCACATGGTGATTATTCCATCCAGTCTCAGGCTGTTCATTGTCCTGTTGTTACGGGAGCTTTGACTCCGTCCGAGGCCAACGTTCGACAGTGACGGCTCGCTGCAGCTATTGGATTATAGGAGGGATTTAAAACCGGGATTAAGCTCTGGATGGGAGACGGCGTGGGGGCTGCGTGGCTCTTGCATCACAGGGGTGTGAGCGTGTGTTTGCGTGTGGGGGACGAAGTTTGCAGCTCGGTCGCTTTTGGCGGTCTCCGGCCCTGGCTGTCGAACATGAACCTGTTCTGCTTCATGCTGGTAAGGCTGAGCTTCTGAAGCGTTTGAAATGTTTCCAGTTGGTCGGTCGGGAGAGTCTGTTCGACTCCTGCGACCTTTGAGGAGAGCCGGGTCAGCTGAGGAATCTCAGAGGAGTGCCGGTGATGTCGTCGGTGTCGGAAAGGAGAGTTGGTTGATTTCTGAGACACGTTCTTCTCTTGCTGTACATGTTTATCATTACCATGATTTATGAAAGCATGTTTATAGTTGCACAGACTTAACATTAAGGATGGGAAGTTTAAGATTTGGACAGATCTGACTGAATTCTGATTATGTATGTCTATTGATCGGGGGTCAAAACATCCAATCAACCTTAGAAAAAAAAAAAAACTAAACTAAAAACTCTGAAGGTCTTCTACTAGACTGGTGAAGCTGTGACGCATTCATTGTTGCACAACTGATACTTAAAGATTAGAAAATTACTTGTTGCGATTTCTGCCACAGGACTTGACGATAACAGATGAAGCAGTTATTTTTCTTTCTGCCTGACGTAGGAAATGGACAGATTGTTGAAATGCATTTAGCAACAAAAGCCGTCCAGAAAGCAACCCTGACTTTACAATCCGCTCCTTGTTGGAAGAAATCAATATCCAGCAGCTTTCGCCTTCCTGATTCTGAACATTGATGGCTCTGGGATTGCTTTTTTTTTTTTTTTCCGTCGCCTTTAGATGAGGCAGGGCACCTCTTCGTTTAGGTTTTTAGAACTGAGGTTTGTAAAATTATTACCGGAACTAACCATGGCTGTAGCTGACAGTGGTGGAAAGATAACAGCCCTGACTGAACTGACTAAAACAGTTAAAACCATTTGTGGTTAGGGTTAGGGTCTCCCATTACTACTGAAGTTCATTTGGTAGGGATAGACGCACGTTGACACAGACAAACTGAACAAAACAGCAGTCCAGTGTTTGCATCATAGTGCAATTGCAATTCGCAGCTCTTGTCCCTACATGGGCTTCTGGAAAATATCAAACGTCTGCACTTTTTCAAGAGACCGTTGTTTGCTGATTTCACTAGGCAAAGCGTCACTGGTCGAGACTGCCTCCTATTTGTCTTAATTAGTTTGAAATCCCATAAAGTTGTTTATTTTATTTCAGGATGTAATTTTTTTTGAAAAACATGAAATATGCTACACTCATGTTAAGGTAACCATCATAACAGGGAATTGTTGCGGTGGACTTATGTTGGTATCGAGTCTAAGACATAACACCGATCTGATGGTGCAACTGCAAAATCAACGATCGACCTTTGGCCCAAGGCGGCTTGGTACAAAGTACACTTCAATACGACTTCGCTCTTGAACAGCATGTTTGTTGTGGGCCAATGACGTCTGAGACCAATCTGGGGAACCCAACGATGGGTCAACGTCCCTCATGATCTAATTGGTGCTCAGTCTCCCCCACAGCTTTTGCTGCTGAAACCTACAAGTCCATCGTCTTCTTGCATTTTGCCCTACAGCGTTGGTCAGACTCGCGCCACCATGCAGACGGACATTAGTCTGGAATTCAGGAGACGTGTCGATCCGCGTGGGACTGCGTGTTATTTCAGATGACAATCTGCTTGTTTTGTTTCCTCAGGACGGCTCCACTGAGAGCATCTATGAGCCGGCAAGCAGCCACACAAACGGGGACGTCTCGCCCAAGAGTCGGTGCGGTTCCGGGCATCTACGTTGCAAACCTGAGTGGGGCGGCTCCGACCCGTCCATCAGCTCTGTAAGCCCGTCTCCATACCCGTCTTCCCTCCACGATAAGCAGACACTGACCCTGACGTTGAACTAATTGATCCAGCTTTATTGAGCGTAGCCCAACACTGTTATGTAAAAAAATAGGTGCAATATGAAAGTCTCTGTGTCACGGTCAAATGTTTTGAAAAATGCGAGGGGCGACAAATTATACAAACTGTGTGACTGGTTTGAGCGTTCAACTCAATGCTTAAGACGACACTTTATTTCCTTCAAGGACAAACACCAGACCAGAACCAAACCGAAAGAGGACAGCAGAAGGTATTTCGTCTGAACTTATTAACTCTTTTCTTTTTCAATCATGAGTTGGTTAATTATTGTTTGCCATTTTAGATCACGTAAGCCAATGGAGGATGAAACCTTTGGTGAGTACAAAATTATATGAGACAGCAACCTAAAAAAACAAAAGACAAAAACAGACTCCGATCTGATCTGTGATTAGTCGATTAACAGAAAAGCAGGATTCATTTTTTTCAGATTAAATTAATACATCAAAAGTTAGAACTAAAACTATTGCTTAGTGTATGAATAAAATCAAACCTGGTAGTAAAAATCAAACAAAAGATGAGGACTTGATGTGTAAGGAGACTATATTTTAGTTTCTTCATTTAAATCGTACAGCAGACTTTGTAATAATGGGCTCCGGTGCTTTTCATTTGCTCTCAGTTGCATTTAAAAGGTTGGTTTAATAAATGTGTGTGTTTGGCCGTAAATTGACCTTTAAAAAGTTTTCTCTGTTTCCTGAAGCTTGCAGTGGCAGCAGCGCGTTGACAGGACCAGTCCGAATCAGGGAGCCGGCCTCCGAAAGGAAAAGGACAGATCCGCCAGCGCAGGTAGAACCCACCCAGTGCAAATCTCACTTTAACACAACAAACTGTAAAAATGAACTTTTACTTTGCATTTTCCAAGCAACAAGACAATTTGAGTGCTGCCTTATTTTCATACTGGAAAATATGTTTTCAGTAATATTTTGATTGGGAGCAAATCAGAAGTTTTAATTTGTTTTTTTATTGGTCTTCTTTAATAGAAAATGTGGGTCCAGGCGCCTTTTTCTTGGACTTTTGTATCATAATCAGAGAGTTTTATGCTCTGCCTGCTTGAATCTTTTGTCGTCTGTAGAAACTCCAGTTACTTCTGCCAAGCCAGGCCACGGAAACACGCTTAATTCGCGTTTCACTTTTTAAAAGTTTACCCAAAATTCTCATCGAGACTGGATGGAAATATAGTTTCTTCGTCTCATTTAACGACCAGTTTTCAACCATCTAATTGCCAATGTCCCTCCTCATAATCCCTTCATTGAAGTAATCATCCTTTGCCATCCTTATCATATTTTATTCGTCCCACTTCTTGCCCTCACCCCTCTTAACAGCCCCCTTTGTCATCCAACCTATCACCCTTATTCTGCTTTTACTTCCCCTCACCCTCATTCTCCTCCTCCCACTTCTTCACCGTTTTCATTTCTTCCATCCTCTTCATTCTCCTTCATGGTCCCTTTGCTCACCCCTCACTCATTGTTCATTCAAAACACACGAAGCGAACATCACCACCCAAACAAGATCCGCTTGGGATGCGTGAATCTGACCCGGAGCCCGTCTGCACGGTTGGCTTGGATCAGTCCGTTGCGTGTTGAGGATTGGCGCTACGTAAATCGACTGAAATGAATTCAGTTGCAACCGTTTCCGTCATCCGTTGTCCGTCATCCATCGTTCGCTTTTGCAAAATGTTGTTGGGTTTGTGTGCGAGCTTCAAGCATGCCTTTTGTTCCTAACTGCAGCCTGGTGACCCTGCTGAAACCACAGGACGACTGAAAAAGTTTCAGAAACTGGTTCACATAAGGAATGGCCTACAGACCGATGGCGCTGAAGACTCGGGCGCAACCAAGACACACGGTGAGTCACTGTAGGCGATCCGAGTTAAAGTGGTGACTAACAATAATTTCTCCTTATGTTTAGATTGTTTGGCCGACGGGGTGAGACACAACGGCACGGTGCTGACCTGCATCGGCCTTTCGAGACGGATGGAGAAGAGCTCCTCCAAAGCCGCCGCCGCGACGTCACACCCACTTCCACCGCATCAGAACGCCAGGAGACTCCACGGAGACCCGACCGAAGGAGGGTTCTGGAGCCCAAAGACTGGGCGTCGCAGGCCGAAGACGTTTGAGTGTCCGCACGCTCGCCACCGGACTCCTGGGGAACCGTGCACCTACGACGGCATCGTCTCGTCCCCGCCCCGCAGCTCGGAGTGGGATCGGTTTGAGAGCCTGGTTCGGGAGCTGGACCGGAACCAGTCGGATCTGTCCCTGTCACGGATGATCCGGTCCCTCACAGATCTGCAGCTGTCGCAAAACAACGTGAGCTGAGGACACACGGCACTGTCTTCTGACAGCAAACTCTGTTTTTTCATGATGTTGGGTTATGGTGGTTATGAGTCAAGTTCAAATTTCTTCCATGCACATTTGAGAAACTCTTGAATCTCCTGTGGCAACCACTCAGCTGTGCAAAAATCCCTTTGAGGTGCAGTTTCCAAGCTTCCATCTGCACAGAGAAGCTCCTTCAGACTAGCCAGCGGCAATTAGCACACAGTGGGTGAACTGTGCATCTGCAGAGCTCATTATAGGAGCTGCTCCTCAGAGCAAAACTGATAAAAATGTTAATAAATTGTTAATATAGGAGTGATGTTGTGACGACGTCCTGAAGGCAGAGTTTCAGAAAGAGCAGGGGCCTCATTTTCTCAAATTTCTTTTGTCATATCTGATCTACGTTGCATTTGTTGAACGATTGCAGTGAACATAGTTACTTGACTGTGCTATAAAATTTATGTCTGGATAACGTATGTTGTATGCAGACATCTGGTTTCAAGGGACGGGAAAAATAAAAGTTGATCATTTTGAAGATGAGTGCAGATGTTCGGTCTGCATTCCTGCAATAGGTGGACTTCCTATCTATTGTCGCCTGGCTAACGGGGTTTGACCCAATTCTGCACAGACAGGGAACGAACACGGCCTGTTTATGTCGTAGGGTCATACCGGGAATAAAAAACATGCCCATCTGTCACCGCAGTACACACAAATTTAATCCCTCTATTACCAAAGCAGTCGGTTCTGCTTGAGAGATTTGTTGCCGTCTGACAACATGGGGCTCCAACGAATCCAGGATAATGGCTCCACAATCCCAAACTCCTCAATCTGACTTAAAAAGAGCAACCAGGACAACAACTTGCTGGAAATCCGTTCGCGGCGGTCTCTCTCTCTCTCTCGGTTTAAAATGTGCTATATTTCCAGGGAAAGCAGGAGAAAGCGGAGCCGAAGCAACGGGGCAGGGAGACGGAGACAGGAAGCGACTCAAAGGACATCGACGGCGCGCCAGAGGAAACCCGGGCAGCTCGCGTTGTAAGTTTGTCGGAGAAGCTTGGAGACGACGGGAGCTAAATCACACACACTACAAGGCAGAGCAGATGAGCGGCGAGATAAAAATGCAACCGCTATCATTTTTACTCCACAGAGCCGAGACATGCAGAACGACGAGGCGGCGGAGAGGGAGGCCGGCCGCAGACGGTCCAGGAACTCCCTGGAAAGCCTCTACAGCCTAAAGAGTGGACAGAGCTCCTCCAGTAAGACATAACTTATACACGGCGGCACCCTGATAAAGGACTGAACTTGTATGGCACAGTGGCGGGCAACTTCGGATTCAGTGTCTTGCGTGTTCAAGCCATTTCTATCTGCAGCTTGAGTGTGTGGAGTGACTCTTATCCTGCATGCTTCAGGCGGCGTCACCAGTGGGTCAAACTGCTCCAGCAACAGGGAGAGTCTGAGGCTGGAGGACGACCCGGCGTCCGCGCGGCGGTTCTGCTGCCAAGCGAGGGTCCATACGGAGTTCGTCCCGAGTCCGTACGACACGGAGTCGCTCGCGCTCAAGGTACACGAGTCCTGGAGGAGGCTGGAAATAGCTCCTCCAAACGAGAGCAGAGCTTACACTGTTGTTGTGTAAAATGGACTTTTATTCCCTGGTCAGAAATATTCTGAAGACTAGCCGGCAGCAATTAGCAAGCGCTTGGTTAAACCGCACATCCGCTGAGGTCGTTATACGAGCTGCTGCATGCTGGGAAAAAGGTAGTGATGACTCCCTGGAGGCGGAGTTTCAGAAAGAGCAGTAGAGTCTTAAAGAGACAGAGGCCCAATTTCAAAGCATTAAATTACACAGTCAAATTTCTTTTAAGTCATGTTTGATATATATATAACATTTTTATAACAACTCAAAGTAACATTGTTACTTGACTGTTCTATAACTTGACACTATGTGCCAAGAAAATACACAATGCTGCCCCTTTGAAGAAAGAAAGAGCTAAAGGATTTTTTTAAAAAGTATTTTGTTATGTAACAGATAGAAATACTTTTGATGATGCAACCTCACTGTGAGTAAGTGAGGATTATCAAAACTCATAGAGTGTCTATGTGATTTAAGCAGTAACTTTTCAGCTACCATTTGGTGGACTTAATAAAAACCGCTTCACTGAAACCGAGAGGAACTTGTTTGCAGGTGGGAGATGTGATCGACGTCATCGCCAAGCCGCCCATGGGAACATGGACCGGCTCGCTGAACGGTCGGACGGGGAACTTCAAGTTCATCTACGTGGACGTGCTCACGCACCCCTCTGGCACGACCCTGCATGAGGCGAGCCAGAGGTCAACAGTGCAGGAGGCGTTGAGGCGCCTCGGTTTGGAGGTGCAGCTCTTTCCTCTTCGACGCGAGGCCTCCGCGTTCGCCGGGGCACGTCGACTCAAAGCTCTAAACTGTGCCGTTTTGCCTCATCAGGAACGCGCCTCGTCCCCGCAGCGCGGCGGTCACCAGGCGGTGGACGACCCGATGGAGCTGAACGTGACTCGGCCGGAGCGCAGAGAACGTCCGCTGGCCGCCGTCAACTCCCTGCAGCTGCTGCGCTGTAAGTTTGTAAATCACTGAATGGCTTCGCACCAAAACGCATTTAACATCTGCTGACCTTCCAGACCTCATGGGAGAAGCAGCGTTCAGCTTCTATGCACCACAGATCTGGAATCGACGTCCAGGAGCCGAGAAAACAGTCGAAACTCTTTAAATCTCGACTAAAACCCCACCTGTTTATAGCTGCCATTAGACCACGATTAATGAAACAGCGATGTGCATTGATGAGTTTGATTGTTCACCATGCGATGGTCATGTTTTGTCTCGTTGCTCAATAAACTTGATTGATCTGAGCATCATTCAGGGACATGGTGGATGCAAACATTCTGCAGCAAAAACTTGAAGTAAAACAAAACAAAAATAAATAGAAAATACTGAGGTTCTAGAGAGGGGATCGGGATGAGAGGCACTCCAGCGTTAAGTCGAGGTGAAACCAAAGCTAAATAGGTGAAAGTTGACAGGGTGACCTCAGAGAGCGTTTCTGCTCCAATCACAGCAGTGCACGATTTCTTCTCATCTCTGATCACATCCAACCAAAACCTGCTTCTCTGCCCTCCAGCTAACAGCCTGGCGGGGGGTGAATCCAGTCCGGAACCGGAGCGGTCCGGTGAATACGTGAAGGAAGACGTGAAGAGCCGTCCCAGGGACTCGGGCTGCGTCATGACGGAGGACGCGCAGCCTCATTTCCTCTCTGACGGCCGGACGTAAACGTGCCGTGAAGGGGAGTCGCTTCCTTTTGCTGATGTTCAAATTCTCACGCATGTTTGTTTTTTTTTTTCTTCTTCTTTTCACACAAGTTTGTTCTGTAACTTGATTTGTTTTCTGAAATAAAGATTTGATGGATTGCTTTCTCGCAGATCTCATTGCAGGCGAGCTTCTGTGGAGAGTTCACGAGCAATCAGCATCTTACCCGCCGTGGTTTTGCTTGGCAGTTTGAAATCGTGGCGATACATGATTGAAACTTTTAATCGGGTTGATTGCGGGGTCTGCAGTTAATGAGTCACGTTTTGTTTGAAAACTACATGTAGATAAAATCAGCAAGATTTAAAATTCAAAAACCTTTTTTGCGGTTAAAATATTGAATAGACACATGAGCTCAAACACAAATATATGTTGTTTTTAATCTGTTATTTATATTATGCAAAGTCCTTCTTTCGTTTTTGGCCACTGATTATTTTGTGGTCCATGTCACAAAAACATTTAGACACCTCTGAGCTGTGCTATATTTTTTTTGTTTGAACAGATTTCCACAAAAAAGCAAACTGCACAGTCATAAGAAGAAAAGAGAAACTTTATTAAACACTCGTCCCGTCTGCAGCTCGTAGTCGAAGTTAGCATCGCTGTGAAACCCTACAAGGTCAAAATACCCCACATGTACATCCATGTGACAAAAAGGCAGCATGTGAAAGTCGTCAGATCGGCAAAATGGACTTTATGTACAGGTGTGAAAACAATCACGGCCCGACAGCAGAGGCAGAACGTTCATAGCATCCTTTGCGAAAGAATCTTTCACCATGAAAATTGCCCCTCGGTCCACGTTAACGTCGAGATCATTCAAATTTAAAATATAAAATCCATACTGTTGAAACAGGGTTTTTTTCTTTTAACAAAGTTGTATTTACATCAGTTATTAACAAAAACAACTCCAATCTTCAGTCTGGTTTGGATTTAAAAGAAACAAATATGACCAAAAAAAAAAAAAATAAATCTGTTGTACAACTTTCTGAGAACAAACAAAACACAGAAGGACCCCCCGCTGAGTCACAGCTGCAGATTGACCGATTCCTGGATTTTTCTGCCCCAGTTTATTCCAATTTATTCACAGAAAATGTTCTTCGTACAGCACGTCTAAAACATCTGAAAGAAAGATGGATGTTGGGAAGCGGGGATGGCTGGCGTTCGGACAGCAGCACATTCAGGAGTTTAGTTTTCCTTGACTGCAGAGTTTCTGCTGAGACGGTTTCCATGGTGAGCATTAATGCATATCAAGGTATATTTGGTGTTTGGACTATTAAAATAGGCAGTTATCAGTATTTCCCGAGTGTTTGTGGGGGTCCACTGTGAGGGATAATCATTTCGGGTGTCGTGTTTTAGGTGTTTGTGCTTCTTTTTATTACAATAGGGTCAATTTGTTAAAAAGAAAAGAAACTTGAGCTTCAGGTCTAATTTTTTTCTGTTTTAAAGGTCAGTTACTTGCATTCTGGTACTTTTATTCATGCAGTGATCGGCACATACCAGCACACTTTTCATACTTTAAATTGGTACTTTGGTAGTGATGAACACTTAAATTAATGAAATTAATGGAAATATGGCATTACGTTAAAAGAACATGGTTTAAAATGAAAAACATTAAATTGATCTTGAAAGAACAAAAAGAAAAACAGCGCTGTTAAAACACTTAAACTAGCGAACCAACTGATTTATACTTGTGACAGCGGCAACACGCCCATGATGTCACTACCGCTGCAAGGATACATCCTGAAATCCAGAGCAGCTGAAATCCGAGCCGTTCCTGCAGCCGTCTGTCACTCAGCAGTTGAGGCCTCCGTGAGAATAGCCAACATGGCCGTTCTCAGGGTACAGAGACAGCTCCTCCGTGCTGCCCAGCCCGTTGTTCAACTCTGGAAGACGGGAAAACTGATGTTATATATTAACAATTAGCTTCAACTTCTGGGACAAGCTAATAAATCCACGAGGGATAGACAACAAGCCTAAAAAAATACTAGAGTTTTGATTTTAATAGCTGAAATACTGCCAAGTTGGTGACCTCTCGCAGTGCGGCCTGGAACTGCACTGCGCACGCACTGCGCACGTCACTCTACGGGTTGCTGCTGGGTGACCAAAGAGCGAGCGTCTGTTGACGCCACCGACCGTGCTAGCCTTGAGAGGCTGGGCTTCTAAAGCCTTTTCTCTGCCTACATCCCCCAGAATGCCATGCGGCTCCGGGTCGGAGTCCAGTGAAGCTTTTCTTTTTAATCATCTGCTGATATGGCTGATGCCTCCATCGCAGAACTTTGCTTCAAAAGTCGTGAACTGCACCTTTTAAGCTCCCGTAGCTACAAGGAGCTTAGCTGACATTATAGCTAGCAGTCAACATATTCCACACACTGAACGGCTTAATTATGAATTTGAACACAGTGACTGGGATCTGAGTTGCACCTGAGAAAATGAGCTTCTCCTTCATGATGTTGACGTCTCGACTGGGCCGTCGCGCCACAGCGCTCAGCATGATCTGCTCCGGGTTGTAGTTCTGCATGCCGCTTATCCTCCACCTGTTGCCACAAACGCATTCACACAATTGTGGGGATACAAGAAAAATAAATAAATGAGGTATTGGATAGCAGGAGCGGCCCGCTTTGTGTCCAAGCGATGGCAGACACACGTTGGTGAAAATCAGATGCAAGAGGACAGCGAAGGGAGGCAGGATCAGACCAACAGTGGCAGGCGTACAAAGCACAAGGAGGACAGAGGGAGGTGGAAACAAAGGCCAAGGGGGGTTCCATGGTTACCTGATCATATGATAGCTTGACAGATGCAGCAGAGGAAGGTTGAATGCAGATCAGGCAGAGCGCAGGACAAGGAAAGAGCATGAGAGGAGAAGAAGACAGGAGGACAGTGAGAGGCGGCGGCACAGAGGACGAAGACGACCAACGTGATGATGAGAATGACGAGCTACAGAGGACAAAACCTTAATCGGGTCCAGGTCGACACACGTGCTGTCTGGACAACAAACAAGTCACTGAAAACTCCAAAAATGTTATCGAAACAACATTTATGCTTTACGACACAAGTTCCATTTGGCTTTCCCCAGGATTAAGATTAAGGACAAGTCTAAAGAGCCATGTGGTAAAGAACATTTCAAACCAGGCAAATGTCAGAGAAGACTGTAAAAGTCAGGAAGTTCACTGAACAAAAACGCCTTCCAAAACTTCAGCTCTTGGGAAATAATCCACACTGCAAAGGCGGGACATTTTCTATACGAGTTAAACGCTCTACAGTCGGTCTTCGTTTGACGATCGGTTTTCTTTCTCTAGGCATGTAGAACATCCTGCAAGGTTGTCTGTAGAAGAAAAACGTGTTTGCGAAAAGTTCTACTCTGTAACCTGGTTTCACAAAATGTTGTGTCAGAGACTCTGACCACTGTGAGCAAACGTCCGGATCGCGATGAAGATGTTATGGTTTCACTGAAAATCTGACGTTACGGCGGCATACGACGGCAGCTAAGAAAAAACAACACCAACACATGGGAAGATTTCTGCCAAAAAACAGAAATTTTGAGATGAGGCTCAAAAATTTTCAAGAAAAAAAAAACAACAGTTGAAAACGGTGACACTTTTTAGCTTTTTCTAGAACGTTTTTTTCTCGCAAATTTTCAACTTTGCAAAAGCAGAAATCTCCAAGGTTTTTTCTAGAAAATGTCTGAGTTACAGCTCAAAATTTCTTTGGAGGATTTAAAAATGTTTTGTTTTTTGTATAAATTTACTCCTTTTTTTTCTATCTGCAATGCTCATATGCCGTCGAATAAATTTCTCCTGAAAGATGGTAGAGTTCTGTGTTCTTTCCCTCTCAGATCACTTATCTGCTGAAAGACCCGTTAATCGCAAAGGCATGGTTTACCGACAACAGGCCACATAACAGGCACAAGATTTTTATTTAAAATATCCGGATAATTTAAAGAGCAGCAACTGTAAAGGCAACAGACCTACAGAATCACAAATTTTCCACCGTGAGCAACAGCAGGTAAAGCAGTAGGTTTGAGTAGAAAGCAATGTTCATAAGCCAACCCAAAAAGACCTTCAGCAAAGCTGGAGAATGGTGGATCAACACCACTTTGAAAGAAAATCTGTCTATTTGGAAATAAATGACACGTTGAAGAAAGAGGACTGACTGCAGGCTTTTGAACATGCTGTCACATCTGTGAAAATGAACGTACTTCTGGAAAAAGAAAATCCCCATGATGACAGCGACAGAGACGAGGTCTGAAGAGATCCAGATGAAGTTGTAAGCACTGTGACTCTGCGAAGAAGGAAAGAAGTCATGTCATTTCTAGCTGTCGCCAATAGATGTCACCACATATCACCTAAAGCTACTACAACAAAAACAACTCAGGGCAGCATCAGATCTGTTCTCAGCTTCTTTCCAAAGACTTATTCCACATCTCTGCCTTGCTGGGCCGTCGTCGGTCTCTTTTCTTTCCCCCTCTGCCCTCTTGTGTTTCTGAAGTGTGCGCGCTGTCGGACGGAGAGATGTTTACCATGAGCCAGACGGGGTAAGGCACTTTTTGAAGAACTTGAGGGGCGTCAGAAGACACGGAAGGCACCCCGCTACACCACAGGAGGGAGTAGAGCCAGGGCTCATTCACAGGGTAGACAGTCACGCTCACGTTGTTAGCCAGGTAAACCCTGAGGGCGGGGACAACAAAAACACATGTCAGCAGTAAGAGCAGATGTCCTATGACTCTCTTTTTGTCTCTCTGCAGTCAGTGGAAAGTTAAAACTATGAAAATCAACTTATATTGCTATTAATACTGGTCAGAACTGGAGCATCTCGTAGCATGTGTTCCTCTGAGGAACATGTGAACAAAGTATGTCGTTCATAACATTAGTTTGGAAAAAATAACTTATTAAATCAAATGTATTTTGGAGAACAAATTCATTTTAATTCTATTTGTTGTTTTCATTCACCTTCTATTTTGGGGCTTTCTCAAAATAAACTGCACTTCAAACTGCAGAGATAACATTTTAACGATGGGATGTTACTGAATTATATGTCTGAACCAATGGGTGTAATTAAAGGATTATCACCTTTTGCTCTTCCGATTAAAAAAAAAAACAAGCATAAAAAACAACAGCCTGGACATAAAGGCAGAACACGTGGAAAATGTGAGAAACATTTCAGTCCAGAGACAAATCTGACCTGCTCTGTCCGATGAAAGTTTTTCACGAGAAAGAAGTTAAAACTTCTAAGCCAGTGATTCATTGCTGGATATCATTAGCTCGGCTAAAAATAAGCTCCTCTTTATCTCCCCAGGACTGCTTCTGAGCCCGTTATCGGTTTCTAGGCGATAGCCGCTCGCTCTTACTGAATGTCTTGGAAGCTGATCTTTCTGTAGTGGACGGTGAGGCTTGTAATGCCTCGGTGCCTTATCTCCTCCACTGACAGTTTCTCATTTGTTGTCTGCAGAAGACCTCGCACCCTCCCTCTGTCCGTGTCAGGGGCCCATGTCACCTGGCAAAGTAGAAGCGGAACGTGAGAAAATCCCGACTAAACAGTGTGCAGATAAGGCGTTTAAAAAAATTATCATATACGGGGGAAACTGCTACTTGAGCCTTACAAATGCACTGATCGGTTTGAGCCCAGTTTCTGATTTCTCCGGCTGTAGAACTCTTATTCCGCCTGGTTTTAGCCGACGGCAGTTTCTCTGTACAATAATGAAATAGGATTTGCAATATTTGTTCTAAGTCTTGCTGCCAGTAGTTGCAATCAATTGATTGATCGCCAAGCCCCACTATGTCTTCGATAGAGTGGTCCTTCAAAAAACAAAAATAAATTGTAATTTTTGTTGTTCACAAGTCATTTTTTCCGTGTCCTAGTCAAGTCCTTAATGATCAAAATTAGTATTCTTGTATCAGATGCAAGAATACCTTAACTCAAAATTCTCGTAGGTTATCAGTTCAACTCGTCGGGCTAATCTAAAGCATGACCTTTTGGGGATTCAAGAACACCAGTCTAACATCACCATGACAAACACCGTGGTTAATCCAATGGGACAACAAACATCATTTACTCAAATGATCTTTACTGATTACATACAGTAAAGATTGTTGTTGAGACTCTAGTCCAACACCTCATATCCAGTGTTGGAGCACAAGTCAAACTCAAGTCTGAAGTCTTTACTCGGGTCACCGTCCCGAGCACATGGTTCGTCCACTGACCAGAACCCGGATTTTTCCATTTCAGAACGACCAGTAGTCGGTAAGGGCCTGATCGGGCTGAAAGCTGTGAGGTTTCGGTCACCAGCCAGTTTCTAGCCCGTCACCTTTCTCTGGGAAATCCCTGCTTTCTGCAGCGTCCACAACGTGTCCATGAACCAGCTGCGGAAGCGCGGGTGCTCCGGCGCGGGCTTGCGGATGTTGAGCAGCACGGAGCTGTTGGCCCTCGCTGCCAGACGGAGCATCTCTACCAGGCTGCAAATGGTCAGGTTTCCTATCCGGCTGCGATCCTTCGGGCTCAGGGTTTTCACCGTCCAGTAGGGGTCGCTCTGGAAGCAGAAGGGAGCAAACGGAGAGGCTGAGCATCACACAAATCCCACTGTCCTAATCGCTATTGATGTGTTTTCAGAATTAGACTGGAAGCTGTCAGAGCCAGAGTGGAACCCAGTACCTCCAAAAACCAGTGGCCTGCATTTAAAGAGTGAATCTCTGTCCAGTTAAAGAAGGACGCGTCCTCATGCTCTCTGGAGGGGAAGACCTTACTGACGTCTGTGGTCCGTCTTAAGGTGTGGTCCCTCATGAGGAAAGGAACTCCATCCACACTTTTAAGAAGGAAAAAAAACATCTATTACCTTCATTATACACATTTTCTAATGCATGTAGAGCAAACATAACTTACAGACATAACACATGATTCATTAGTTTGATCAATTACACTTTTACTGCATCTCTCACATCAATCTCTGACCACTATCCCATATATCAGCCGGGATCTATATATGGAAGCTCAGAACCATGAAACATGAATAAGTCATTATGTTGTAATTAATCACCTGATGGTGACGTCTGCTTCCAGAGCGCTGGCTCCGTGCTGCAGGGCTCTGGTGAAGGACATCATGGTGTTTTCAGGGGCCAGCTAGAGCAAAGAGCGCCACAGTCAGACACTGTGCAGAGTATAGAAAATACCTAAACTCCTAATTAAATATCTTAGAATCTTCAGTGTTTTCTGACTAGAAGAAAATGGAGGCTTAGATGCTCCGGTCATTGCATAGCTTTGCAATGTTTTTTCCGGTCTACGGTAAGACCTGAAATTTTGACATTTATCGTTCTCTTTTACGTTTATGTATTTATTTACTGGTGCCACGCATTGCTGATCAGCCAATTTTTGATTCCAACACCACAAAATAAAACTACAGAGTCCTGCTGATGACAATGTAATGTGCCAACTGGATCGTGGAGGAAGCTGCGCAATTTCGCACGGAAATTGCGTGCGATGTAAAGACCCATCGCCCACTGCGAAGAGAGAAATGCCAAGCTGAACAAGATGGCTGTTCGTGAGAGGGGAAGTGATATATTTGCCAGCGACAAACATGTTTAGACGTTCACGTTTCTCTGTAATTGTTCAGTGGTCAACGGGGACTGAAGGGCTTTGCTCGACAATTCATCCATTGTCATTACCAAACTACAACCATAGGCAGACCACAATTCTAAAACAGCGCAGAAAATCAACGTCATTGTTCACAACTTCTCCTTGTGTCTGCTGTTTGACCAGGATGAAATTCATCCTGAGAAATCGAGCTCAATGGAAGAAATCCCAGGTGGAGAACTGAAGGGAGATGAGAATCCAGATGAATTGCGTAGGAAGGCGACGACCAGGCTAGTTGGAGGCCGTTATTCTTGCAGGGAGGTCTGTCGACTGACCATAATCACTGCAGAGAAACAGCTCTGAACATTACTGCATTTGTAGTCAACTATTTTGACCAGTATGTGCCTACCATCATGCACCAAGCTGAACAACATCGGGCTTATTTTGTTATTCAGCCTTACATCTTATCATGAAACATGCAGCTTAGAAGCTTAGAAACATGCACACTTTCACTCTGTATGTTAAAGAAGCTTCATGATGTCACCTTTTGACAGAAAAGATCAGGTCAACAGGTATTAAAATATGACATTATTGCTGTATGACTTACAAAAGTAAGCAGAATACCAACTAAGGCCCTCTAATTTGGTTCTGAAAGTTCTGCGGCCTCTGTTTTAACCGTTGGAGTCTCAGCTCACCATAGGAGCTCCCCGTCGGCCAATGATGACTGGTGGTGGTTTGAGGACATGGCGGTCCATAATGCAGGGGCAGGTGAAGGTAAGAGGTGCAAGGCAAAGAGCCAGGAGGACTAGGCTGTAGATTGCCAACACCATCACCTGGAAATCTAACAATGAAAAGAAGACAAGAGGGATTTTTGTTTGTTCGTTTGCTTTTTGAGTACTTAGTTCTGGAAGGATTCAGTTAACTATGTGGACAGTTATACAAAAGCACTGATCAGCAAACAGTTAGATCCATCAATACTTACTGGATCTCTCTTTGCGGACCACATAGCCAGCTACCAACCAGCTCACAGCTGTGATTGTGACCAGGCCTCCGATGTGCAGGAAAGGAGCAGTGAACTAGTAAGACAGAAAAGGACTGCTTGAATGTCTGAAGTCATCAGAAAACTTTTGAATCTAACATAAGGACTTCATAATAGAATGAATACTTGTGATGCTTACCTGAGCCGGGAACTTAAGATGACGCTGTGCACAGTTTACTTGTCTTACAAATTGCTAAGCATTTGAATTGTCACCCAGGTTTGCATCGGTGCTACTTATTAGCAAGGAGTAGTATTCAGTGGCTTACAATAGCATATTTATAAAGCTTGGTTCATAGTTTGTTAGTTTTTCCCATTTTGAATAAATAAGTGTAATACCAGGTAGGTTCTAGCCTCACCTCAGAAACTGTGCCTGGAATAACATTTTCATACGCATCACAGAATCAAAATAGCTGTAATTGTGAACGTGTGGTTTATATGATGTATGCAAACTCAACTGTAATTGTGTTCCCACCTGAAGTGAAACATGAATAATTTCCCACTCGTCTCCCCAGACGTCATCGACGGAGACAAAACCAGAGACGATGGTGAGTAGAGTGGCCAGTACTCCAATCTGTAGAGACAAGCGTCGGTAAACCTAAGCTGTAGTTGTCAAGTGTAAGTCGGGTACGTCTGTGGTAACAGAGGTCATCTTACTGCACCTTGTGAACCCAGTAGAGATTGAGCTGCTGACCCAAGGAGATATGGAAAAGTGCCAAAATCTAAAAAGTACAAAGAGTGAGCTGCACATCAAGTGATCATTGTTGAAGCTTCTTAAAGGTTTGGATAAGGCTATTTATTACCAGGAGGAATGTGATATAGATGAATCCCAAAGTGGTGGAGGTGACGATGGGAATGGTCTCATCCCTCCACTCCCCAGAATGATTGTACACCGACCTGAAGTATAAACAAATCAGAACTGAATTATCCCAGGTGGTGCCATGATGAAACAAGACTGTACTGCATTTCACATTTTTCAGTTCAAGTCAATCCAGTTAAAAAATACTTTATGTCTTATGAAAGAGTCATTGTTGATGCTGTTGGCAGCAGTCAGTCCAGTAAGGAATCAGAATAGGCTTCTAGCTCAAGACTGTTAACGTTAGCATGCTAACAGCTCAATTTACAGGAGCCCAGTGGAGATTGGTTTAGGAACAAGTCTTGAAACACGACTTGAAACAAGAAGAAGACAATGGATGGGTGAATAAGATCCCGTCTTTGTTGAACGGTAACAACTCTCCTTTCTTCTCTAAAAACAGAAGATGACTTGTGAGGTTCAAGCTGACTTCTAAAACCCTTGCCCTTTTGGAAAATTGAGACCAAAGCTATGATCTTTGGCAATGATTTAAGGAAAGTTCAAAGAAAACTTAAAAAGAAATGTCCTATGTCCCTACATAATGTTGGAGGGTGCTGTGAGGTAAATTGGGAATAAATCCCTTACGTTTCACATATCCAATATTTTGCCCAATAACTATAAATTACATCATAGAGGAAAACACTTACCAGTTGAAGTCATTGAAATCATTCTGAGCCACCAACCAAAAATAGGTCCAAAAGAGAAGGAGAAGGAAGGAACTACTCAAGATGGTGAACCATGCACACTCCCACTGTGAAGAAAAACGCAGTGAAAGAACCAAAACTGTCATCTCATTCGACAGGTTCAGTCTGACTCAGGTTCGATACGCCGTATCGAATGATTTCTAGCGTTCTCAATTCTGCAAAAGTTTTTATCATTGCAACTTGTCATCCAGAGTTTGTCCATATTTTATATCTGTTTGATTTAATGGTGAAAGTCCCAGACAGTCCACAAGGAAAATAGGACGCTACAATGCTTCAAACTTCAGCCGACTTACCGGCATTCAGCCTTACATGGACTGGAAGACTAAACTGGAGCATCCAGAGATCCTCACAGGAACAACAGGGATCAGGATGTTGATCCATCTATAACCTCACAACTTTATTAGTGAGCTGTTAACCCCATGTTATTTATTTAATCAATCAGATAAATGCATTAGAGCAACATTTCCATCTTAAATCTAGAGATGTTCAGGTACTCCAAAGTGCATTCAGCACTTTTCTCTCAGCTGCAAGATATGAAGAGCTATGTTGTGATACCATTCACTGCTGACGTTATCTACTAATGGAAGCTAATGGAAATTAAAAAAAACAATAGTTTTTGAAAATGAGGTTCACAAACCGGTGCTGGGTTTCAACCCGGGGGTCCATCTGGTTGTGTATTTTGCCTGTGCATGTGTGAGTTCTCACTGGGTACTCCAGCTTGAATTTGTAATATTATCATAAAGTGTTGCTTCTCTCACTTCTGCAAAACTTCTGAAAGTAACTTCACTGAATGAATAAGAATCATGTTTTCACCAAAAACGCACCGCACACAGACACTCATAACATCTATGTTAAAGTCAGACTTCTTTTTTAAACACCAGCTTTGTTGTTTTAATGTTATTTTTCATCAGCCTGCACCAACAAGACACAGTAAACACTATACTGACCTTGTTCTGACATACATGTACGCTACTTATTGTATTAGCTTTGTAAAAATTAACTATTTGTTATAAATTTGTTGGTTTATAATTATGTCATTTGAACTTAGCACATAACTTTTGTCTGATGGGATTATTTTAAAATATTAAATCAGATGTTATGCTCAGTATTTAAGTATCCCTTTCTTACCCATTTTTCTGACTCATATCTTAGTAATTTCTTGTACAGTTACTTTTATTTGAGATAAAATACGCTGAAGTAGCGCTACTCCCACTAGAGTCCAATTGTTTCGGTACTCTGCCCACCTCTGCTCTGAAGTGTCCTTATGTATGAGTGTGTGAATGCTTGGCTGTTTCCTCTGTGATGTCCTGACTTGTGTAGGTACAGAGACCTTCTGCGCCACTGAAGAGCTCTTCCCCTCAGCGGTTAACTGGATTAGAAGCTAATGCAAGCTGAGGGGGAGGCGCCCAGTATGATCGGCAACCCAAAGGATCCCGAAAAGCTTAGATTAACTTTTCAGCACGCTGTGCCTTGACTGTCCTTTTTCCAGAAGCTTATATAAAAGGCTCTGAAATGGCAGAAGCGACAGGTGACATCAAAAAATGAAGATATAAAATTCACTTCAACCATCACTGGCTTTGGTTATTACAACACATTTAATTGTGTGTGTTTTTTTTTTTTTTGTTTGATTTTATTGTCGCTACCTGGAAAAAGTAAGGTAAGGTAATTTTATTTATGTAGCATATTTTCAGCAACAAGGAAATGCAAAGCGCTTCAAATCAGATTAGTGAGAAACAACTGAACTGAAGTGCACAACAGGTGATACCGGAAGATTTCTAGTAGGGAACCGATTTATTTCCCGAAATGTTACTCGAGTTGCTCTGCGCTGATCTGCGTGTGTGGCTCTCAGGGAGACGGTTTCTTTGTCAGGTTAGAATTCCAGTTTCAGCCAAAGGGGTGAAGAAGAGTTCAAACGGGGCTGTGACTAACAAGACAAGATGAGAAAATCACCTTGGTGAAGATAAATGAGAGGACCGGTTCTTCACTCCGAGCTGTAACTCACGGCCTCCTGTGGGGTTTGTCGTCTTGTTCCACTCATCAGAGACGCAGTGACCACATGTCACTCACTTTCTTTGCCTCGTCTCCTCTTCTAATACTGTCGCTCTGCGCTGCGGTGGCAGCAAACGCTACCTGTGTTTCAGTTAAAAATGTACGCGGGACTTTGTTGATATTCTGCTCAAGTCGGAAAAAAAAAAAGGAAACTTTTTGCCAACTGCAGTGTTAACATTAAACAAGAAAAGCAAAATAAAAAATAAAAATAAAAAAAATCACGTAAATTAGTTTGTTCGTGCGATAAGTGACTTTCTCCTCGTGCCACTTCTTTGCCTTTTCCGCCAGTAGTAACATCTGGTTATGACGCAAAAGAAATGTTTCCATTGCACTGAAGTCAATAAGGCCAACGTTTCCTCTTTATCATTTATATTGAAACACTAAAGTAATTGTGTGCTTCCGTTAAGCGACTTCCTTATTTTTTTTCTTCGAAATGTCAAATTGTGAATTTTAAGGCTAAAGGAAACACGGCTGCTATTTGAACACACTGAGGGAGACGACATGGAGCTTTGAAAATCACACAAATGGTGGCGAGTCAGCTGCTCGGATGGCTCTCCCCTTCTTGGCTTAAACATCGACACTTCCCAGCTTTGAAACTGAGTAAATGGGCTGATTTATGGCAGAGCTGCTGTCGCTCTGTGATAAAATGAGACGTGCAGCAGCGGGGGATGTGGCAGCACAGCGGGAAACCAGCGCAGCTGGACGTCTGGTTCATTTCAGGGTTCCACTAAATTTGCAGCAGCCTTTATGAAGAGGATCAGCGCCTGCGGCAACTGGGGCCTGATCTGGGAGGGCTGTAAGAATTCGCCGCATAGAAAGAATGAGATCCGAATCTGAAGGTTTTGTTTCAGACTGTTGGAAATAACAATGGAAAGTCGTCAAAGTCCAATGTCCAAAGCTGAGCAATGAGATCATGACGAGGAGACACAGAAAGTAAAAAGAGATGTAATCCGATATCAATATCTGTATCGGTCGCAATATTGAAGAAAACAAAAACAAACATATATTGGGTATGGATGACAATGTGCCTCATCTATGGGGCAGATCTATTGAGTTTGGTTCTATGCTTTGTGCTCTGAGCAATGCCATGCTTTATTTATTTATGTTTAAAATGACTAATTGTACTTTGTTGCAGTTTATTTTTCACATGTTTGACCAAAGTAGTCAACCTACTGTTTTTGTTTTTACTTATTTTACATTGGCTGTTACACTCTTAATTGCACTGACTGAACAAATTAAAGTTGTGCTGTTTTTCACCAAGCTTATGGAATGAATACATTTGGACTTCAGTAAATGTTTGTCTGCATTTAAGACAAAAAAGAAACGTTTTAAGTCAATTCAGCACTGTTTTTCTACTTCCTGTCGCAAACAGGAAGTAGAGCTTACAATGGATCACACGTCACAGAAAGATGGAGAGTTCTGCATGTTTTAATTCTTCTGCTATGTCAGAGACAGAAATGCCATTTTGAGCTAAATGTTTGCTACGTCTAAACTTATTTGGCAATCTCCCGTTTTTGCAAATTAAATATTTTTCAGAGAAGCAAAAAAAAAAAAAGAAGTTATTTTGAATTTTTATCTTTTCAAAATGTATCATAAAGAAACGTATCAGGATTCATCAAAATTCTTCGAATCAACCACCTTGGTGTGATTTGAGTCATAGACAAACAACATCTGCTTGTGGTGAAGGACGACGCCTAAGAAAATGTTGAATTATTAACTACAACAGTTGATTATATTCAGTGTAACTTAAAATGTACTTAAAGGTACATTTATTTACAGCTAAACAGAACGTAAGTAAGCTAATATTTACTTTTGATTGAAAAACCGAGTAGCTGGAAAGTCATTTGATTTTGTCCCTGGAGTGAAAATATTTCAACTTACATCTGTGGTCATCAAGACAGTCTTGAATAAAAATCCTTTCTTTAATGATGAATCATATGACCATTTACTCATCACTAGGTCTTCATATGCATCCTTATTTACAGTGCAATTAAGTCTTTTTGCCTCCTCTTTTGCAGCCAAAGTGTTAATGCTTTACTTGTGGTAGACAGTTTTTCTATGTCATGTATTGTGTACAGATGCAGATATGTCATTGCTAAAATTAGACAGTTTTGTTGTTGTTCTTGTAGATATCTTGTGAATAAGAGTTTTTGAAGTTTCAACTTTAAGCATCAAGAAATTATTTCCATAAATTGTCTGCATACAGTTTTAGAAAAGTGGCCAAAACACTTTTCTGCCTTTTTCCTTAAAAAAAAAATGAAATAAAATAATAACAAGATGACCTTGACAGCAGCAGATGCAACTTTCTTTGCACCAGAGACACTTCATGGTTTCCATACTCTGTTCTTCTCTCACCTTGGAGCTCTCGTCTTGGGAACGCTGGTAGCGTTTCCAGCGGCAGCCGTAGATCCCGGTGACCAAAGACAGAAGAACCTGCTTCTCGTAGACCTGTAAGGGTTGGTGTTTCACCATGCTCCCTCAGCCTCAACGCACCTCCAGTCCCTTAACATCCCACACACGACTGGGAACCCTGCAGAAGGCATGAGGAAGTTACTGAAGACCTCGGAAAAACATCCTCGTCCTTCAGCAGCTAATTACACTTTCCTCCGCCAGATGCTGTGTCATGAGGTACGTACACTTTCTTTTGGCCCAACAACATCAATATGTTGCCGGCCTTCGGCCTTGTTCGGGGTGACGACACTTGTATGAGCAGATCAACATACTGTTTACAGGTGACTCTTGTCTACCATAATGATATGGTTTTCTGTTTGAGTCAGACTTAAGGAGTGGGTACGGTTTCACCTTTAAAAAAGAGAAATCAGTGGGTTGGCTGTGAAAAGGAGAAAGCAATCTGGCACAAAACACCAATCCCTTCTACTGGCTTCTTAAATAATGTCTATTACATTCATAGACCGATCTGTTATCTAAGGGGTATTCAGCACTAGAACCGTGAAGTGTGCTGTGAATTAGTTTTAAAGAAGACAGTAAATACCTCAACAAAGCTAAATCACTCTTTTTCAGCGAGTAAGGAATATTTCTTTGACGCTCATAAGGTTTGGTATTATGCTTGAAAAGTGTGGCTGGAAAAAGAACACAAAAAGACAGACAAATGTACAATCACATATATAAAACACACCAATAAAAGGTTTGCTCCTTTTCTTTTGTGCGATTTGGAAACCACCGTATGTTAACTCAATTCAAGTGATCCAGAGCGCATACAAACCCAGCTTCGTCTCTTTTGAACAGCCAAATCAGCGATGAGGAGAAGGTTTTTCATGTAGGACATTGATCTCCTCTGAAATCTAAATTTTTCTCATCCGTATTGTTGAAGAGGTCCTGGAATAAATAGCAATTTCCTTCACAGATAAGGGTCGGTTTCCCGGTCAACAAGCTTCGACAAAACCGACTGCTCCTTTGTCCTCATCTCTTAACGGGGAAATTACAACATGGCGGACGGCCAAAGCTAAACCTGCCTGACTGTGGGCGGCTTGATTTCCACTTGCGTGGAACATAAACTTAAAAAAGAAAAAAAAAAGTATGATCAAAAGGTAAAGAAAATCACAACGGTGACCAAACACATTGTGGTCTCTTGTCTTCTTTCAGAACTGTAAACCTGCAGTGTGCTGGAGCAAACGATGGATTCAGTCTAGTATAGAAAAAGATTTGGGAGCCAGTGTCACCCAAGCTGTAGTCTGGCTATGCATTTGAGATGCACAATGTTAGAAAATCAAAACAATATTAGAGTTAAATTTTGCAAGAACGATCGGGCTTCATCCAACAAGATAACAATGAAAGTGTTCATAGTGAACCAGTGCAGGATTCGAAATATTCACTTTGCAATATGAATATTACACACATTGATATTGCAATGAGGATGCAGCACAACTGAGGACTACAAATCCCATGTGCAGCAGATCACAGCAGCAAGAGTGTCTTACTAAGGACTGGAGATGCTTTTATATTGCTTAGACTGGGGCAGTTAAAAAGAATTACACTGAGAAATCGCTTACACATGTAACTGTGATCCAGGATTCAGTTTAATGATTTTGTGTGAGATGGAAACAAAACTCAAAGAGCTCCGATAAGTTTATTGTTGTGGGTTTAACTCGAGACGGAAGCTGACATTGGTTTTGAATTGTTTCACAATCAAATACATGCTTCATGTTGTTTTTATAGGTCAGATTTGTCTTATTTTTTCCTCCGTTGCTTTCTCATCACCAGGGCTTGAACCAACACAATAATCCCTCATCTTAGTCACTCAGCTTCCGCAAAGCCTTCATCGCGTTTGTCCATTATCATCTCAGGCACCGTTGTCTGTCTGTTTCCACTCTGTCACAAACGCTTACACCGATAACGTCTTTAATCTCCCGCTGAACCCGGCCTGAAAGCGCTTTCCATCGGGGACAAACTGCCCACTCGGAGGAAACCATGGGAGGGTTCGAGCAGGAAACAAAGGCAATGAGATTAGCAGCGGGACACGAGACGAGCTCAGGTTGAGGTGAGACGCTCCAGGCAGAGCTTTCTGCCAGGACAGTGAGCGACTGAGGCAACAGCACCGTTTGAGTCATGCTGCACGAATGAGAAGTGTTGATATATCTTCTTAATTAAGTTTGCTTACGTTTTTCTTTCTTTTTTTTGTTTGTTTTTTTTGTTTGTTTTGCTGTGCCGATTTAAGCCCTCGGCGTTTATACACTTGTTGTTGCTAAACAACCACACAAGACTTCAAAATCCTCATCAATGAGCAGACACACGTTTCCACAAGAGGCATCTGACAGAACCATGCGTCGGTTATTGTCTGTTGGTGGGGAATATTCAGGTGGACGAGGAGAAAAGAGACAGGAACTCGACATGCACAAAAATAAAAATATAAAAAGACAATTAGAAATACAGTTAAGTACAACTTGCCCCCCCTACCTCCCTCCCAAAAACAACAAAAAAAAAAAAAAACATGTGCAGCTGTAGGATAGTCAAAGAAACTGACAGAATGTGCATGTGTAGTCGTGCAGTGTTTACAACTGGGGGCCCAAAGTCGGTCCTCGAGGGCCGACCTCCTACAAGAAGCACAGACAAGTGATGTACTGGTTCATCCCTCTGCTTCGGTTAGTCATACTGAACCCATAATAGTCTCATAAACAAGGTTTTGCAAGTTTTTTTTATTTCTTCTTTACCAGGCCTGAAAGCCAGCATTTTAGAAGTGAACTTTTTTTTTCTTGTTGAACATTTATCTGCTGATCTTTTCATTTGAGTTTTTTCTTTAAACGTTTCTCAGGTGATTTATGAATCAAAACTCGATTAAAGAATTTGAATATCCGGATTTTATTTGATGTAGCTTTCATTTCCAGTTGAATCAGTTTAATTAATTTTTTTTAAATCAATCTGTAGCGCAAATATAAAACTGGACTGAATTATCTGTGATTACTTATGTCAGCGATAACAATTAACGTTTCCAGAAATGGCATCAATTGTTATTTTTCCAGAACGAGACCGTCTTTTAAAAGTCCTGTTTTGACAGTGAAACCGTCTGAACGCGCGTTTAATTTACCGCAACAAGTCGACAATGATCCCGCCGCGGGCCAAGAGAGAGATTAATGAAGATAATCCAATAAGGAGCGAACAAACACTCACCTTGTCTTCTCTGCGGACTTCTCCACCTTCTCAGGGTAGAAAGCTTTTTTTGTTGTTGTTGTTGTTGTTGTTGTTCCCACGGACCTTCACATCTCCTCGCAGATAAAAGCTTCGGGCAGGAAAAGGGGGAGAAATGAGCGAGCAGCCTCCTCCGGCGAACCAGCGGCCCACATCAGCCTTTCAACAACACCGGACCGGGACTGACCAGAAGCCTGGGGCGGTTACCTTCACCTGAGCGCGCGCGGCTGCGCTGCAGTTACTAATCCGTGTGATGCGATGTGGGCGGAGTCACGATTTACACTGGAAGAAGAAGAAGAAGAAACAGTTTACTACCACGGCGTAGTGAGGTGGTTGTAGTAGAAAGATAAAGAGAAAATTTCAGCAAAAAAACAAAACAAAACTCGGAAATATTGAGACTATCGCATAGTTTTTCAGGAAAAACAAAAAAAAAACAAGGAATTTGACACCTCGACCATTTTCTAGAAAAAAAACTAAAATTTTGAAAGAAATGTTTTTCTCTAAAGTTTAACATTTGTGACATTTTAAATTGAGAAATTTCAACGTTTCTTGTAGAACATTTCTGAGGATATTATTATTATTATTATTATTATATTATTATATTATTATTATTATTGGGCGGAAATGTCCCTGCAGCCTCAGCACAGGCTTTTTTTTTTTTTTTTGTCAAACATAATGTCCAAATAGTTCAGTTTGACACTTATCAAGTTCCGGACTTTGCTTAAATTTTCTTTGGCAAACTTCAGAGCGGGCTTTGTTTCTGTCCCAGTCCAGGGAGGTTTGCTCCTGGCACTTTCATATCGATATTAGGAGAGTATCGGTATCGGTATCCCAGGTCATTTTCCATACAGGGAACTCGCTGTCTTTAAATTTCAAGACTCAAAAGTTGCTACAGTTTTTTTCCCCCCTCCTGGAAACCTCAGACAGAAAAATCTCAGCTCTCCACATACTCCTTATTTTATATCTTCAAAACACCTGTTTGCAGTGAAGTTTGCATACCTGCGAATGTTTTTCTACACGTTTCCGATTTCGCATTGCTGATCTTTCACCTTTGGGTTATAAGAGCAAAGTGAAACTTTCCATATGTTCAGTCGACAACGCGCCGATCCCCCACCTTCCTCTCCCCACCTCGACGCTGCTCAGAAGACAACCGTCTCAGTGTCACAAGGTGGAGCACAGGCAAAGAGCTGGAGCAGATGAGTAACATCCCGTAAGCTATCTATTCCCGGCTCAGCAGCAGCAGATTAACTGTTGGTTTGGGATAATTACGGCACATCCCTTTAATCCCAAACAATTGGCAGTGAAGGTCCTCTAACTAGAAGTTTTCCAGCAAAGGGAAAAGGAGCTGTGCGTTTTTAACTTCAACATTTAAAATAAGTGACCTCACAGTACCCAACACAATCTTATTAATTAGGGCAACTTCGTCCTGAAAAACACGGATTCCCAAGAGGCCTTCTCTGTTGTCTTCTTATTCTAACCACGGGTATTTGTTGACCTCTAGCGGCCGCTTACAGTAACTACAATTGCACTTGGAGAAAGCGTTTTCCAAAGCGCATCGGTTCATTATACTACATATTCGTAATAGTCATCACTTTACCTTTAGTGATTAATAACGAGAATGCTGTGTTTGCGTTTATTTGTAACTCGAATAACGACCATTCACCCTTGTTTCTAATAAACAAGGGCTTATTACAAACAGGTGTTTGTAATAAATTTGTAAAATTTAAAATTTAAAAAAGGTCTTTATTTTTTTTTTAATAAAAATAGGTATACCCTGAGATGTTTAGACATCAGCTTCAAGGAATGAATAATTGATTTAAATTACAGAATGCAAGTCATCCTGTCTCTGAAGATTTCAACAAGATATATAGCCTATGTATGAATAAATCACTAAAACACGATGCTGTCCAGCTGGTGCATCTCGGTCGCGTTTGCCCGCACGTGAGCGAGGAACTTTGGGTGAAATATGCAATGAACGTGACGCGACCGAGAACGTGACGCAACAGGCGCGTTTCTCTGCTTTGGAACGGAGCTCCTTCCAGAAGGACTCGATCCTTTGAAAAAGCTGGACAAGCTTACATTTGCTCTGCAGTTTCTGTGAAGATTTCGACAAAGTAAGTAACGTGTGGTCTGAAATAGTGCAGGATGACAATCAGGATGCTGAATGGGATGTGTGCAGAGAAATGTGGAATGATTGGATGAGAAAACAGAAAAGAAATGAAATGAGGAAAAAAAAAAAGCACAATTGGTGAAAACAGAAAAACAATACTTTTTCTAACTGTGTTTTTCCTCGTGATGTCGCACACACACACACAAACACGCAAACAAACTAACTGTAAATAATATTTTAATGGGTTTAACCTTAAAAAAGTAGGTATCAAAGAATACATAAATGCCAATAACTGGCATCTCGTACAAAATGGATGTAAAAGATATTAGCAATAAATCCATAATCTAACCCAAAATTATGTAGTGTTTAATCTTCACAGGTGAAGTGAGAGATGTAATACTCTAATAAGCCAAGCAAGGAGGAGGAGCATTTAAATATTCTATGAAAGTGGTCCAAAAGTCGATTCTTGAGGACCACATATTGTTTGTTTGCTCATCATATGGAAAAACAATCATGATGATGTTTGTCCACAAACAAACATCGTCATATTTGTGGGCAAGCAAAAATCAACAAACATTATCTCTGCTGACAAACAAAGATGTTGTTTGTTTCTCCACAAACAGACAACATCTTTGTTTGTTGTTTGTTTGTTTGATGTTGTTTGTTTGTTTGTAAACAAACAAACAACAAACATGATTTGTTTGTCCAGTCAGTATAATTTTTTTCATCGAGGTTCAAATCTGAAAAAACTCCCTCGAGTAAATATTTGTGTTTTTTGCAAGGAAGTCATACTAAAAGGTGGGCTGGGTTTCTCAAAAAGTTTTATGAACAGTTTTTGTTCAATAGTTCCTTAAACGTTGATGTAACTCATTTCATCTAAGAATCACTGATCTTCTCTCCTCGTCTCGCTTTCTATTCACAGTCATGTTGAGAAGAAGCATTCGACTCCAGTCATTGGGCTATTACAACTCAGCCGGACTGCCGACCATCTGCTACAGAGAATCTCCATACAAGTAAGCTGGACGAGAAATATGTCCACCTTTACGCATATTTCTAACACAGTCCTCTGCTGTCTTCAATGTAACTATTCTTTCTTCTTTTTTTTTTTATTTGTCTCATGCAGAATCTTCAGAAAGCGAAGAAAAACTAGATGTGCCAACTCAAATGCAGAAATCGTTCCTCAGATGGAGACGAACTTGGGCTTAGACACTGACTCAGACTCAGGGACCATCGTTTACTCTGAGTTTGACTTGGAGACGAATGCAGACACCATCCCATACACGGACTTTCCCTTAGAGATCGACAACATCACACACACAGATGTATGCTCGGACTCAGACGCAGAAACCGTCACATACACAGTGTTAGACACGGACTCAGACACAGAAACCATCACAAACATAGACTTTGACGTAGATTCAGACACAGAACCCATCCATCACACATGCTTGAACACAAACACTGAAGTAGGAACGATAGCAGAAGAAGAATCCCACTTTGAAAACAAAGAGATGGCCAAGGGAAGTACACTGTTCCCCAAAAAGAAATTCAAGGAGAACATTAGCTTGTTCTTCGTCGCATGCCTCGTCGTTTTTGGTAACCTCCTTATTGAACAAACATTTTGAGATTCTATGTTTTAGAGTAGATATCATTGACCTGGCTGTCTTCTGCTTTGTTTCTGCTCATTAATCAGTTCTGGCTTACCCAATTTATGCCATGAGCTTTCCACCAGAAGAGTTTCCTGCATCCCCTTTTGCAGAGGACATTGTATGTTTTCAACAATACTTCTTTTTATTCGGACTATACAAACTTAAGTCAAATTATGTCTAACCTCTCATTCACTTACCTCCAATGCACACTGAAAAGGGAAGATAATGTATCCAATAGAGCTGATGAAGACTGACGGGCTCAATGACGACAAATGACTACTGAATTAGCATCAGCATCACCGGATGGGATACTGCGTTCAGCGAATATCACTGAAATCACACCTCAATTTTCTCTGTCGTTCGTGATTTCTCTCTAACTGTGTGTCTGTGTTTTAAGGTCCAAATCAGATCCACACACAGGACAGAGCTATGGATAGGTAAGTATGGAGGCAAGTACGCTTGCACGAGTTCAATCAAGCTAAAAACTCACAACTTATACCTACCTATCTATACCTAAAGATCTATCTATACATAGATAGATCTATCTCCCTCCACTTGTCCTTCCCTTCCTTCACCCATTCCTCTCTTCCTCCCTTCATCTCTCCCCTCCCTTCCCCCTTCCTCCCTTTATCTCTAGCTTCATTTCTCCATCCATCTGTCTCTCCCTCTACCCTATCCTCCTTTCATCTCTCCCTCCATCTCTACCTCCCTCTGCCCACTCCTCTTTTCCTCCCTCCTTTCAGCTCTCCCTCCCTCTATTCTTTCCTCCCTTCCTCCTTCCCTTCATCTCTCCCTCCCTCTACCCACTCCTCTTTTCCTCCCTCCCTGCATTCTTCCCTTTATATCCCCCTCCCTCCACCCATTCCACTCTTCCTCCTTCCCTCCCTTGCCCACTTCCTCCCTCCCTTCATATCTCCTTTCATCCCTCCCTCAGTTTACCCCTTCCTCCCTTCATCTCTCCCTCCCTTTACTCCTTCTTCCCTCCCTTCATGTCTCCCTCAATCTGTCCCTCCTCTGTTCCTCCCTCCCTCCCTTAATCTTTCCCTTGATTTCTCCCTCCCTCCACCTATTCCGGTCTTCTTCAATCCCTCCCCCTTCCTTTCCTCCCTTCATCCCTCCCTCCCTTTACCCCTTCCTCCCTCCCTTCATCTCTTCCGCCATCTCTCCCTCTACCCATTCCTCTTTTCCTCCCATCCTGCATTCCTCCCTTTATATCTCCCTTCATTTCTCCCTCCCTCCATCCATTCCACTCTTCCTCCTTCCCGCCCCTCCCCCTTTCTTCCCTCCCTTCATATCTTCTTTCATCCCTCCCTCAGTTTACCCCTTCCCTTCCTCCCTTCCTTCATCTCTACCTCAATCTGTCCCTCCTCTGTTCCTCCCTCCCTCCTTTTATCCTTCCCTTCATTTTTCCCTCCCTCCACCTATTCCACTCTTCCTCCTTCCCTCCCTCCACACCTTCCTCCCTCCATCCCTCTCCCTTCCCTTCCTACTTTTGTCTCTCCCTTCCTCCCTCCCTCCCTTTATCTTTCCCTTCATTTCTCCCTCCCTTCACCCATTCCACTATTCCTCCTTCCCTCCTTCTCTCCCTCACTCCCTTCCTCCCTTCTTCCCTTTCTCCCTTTATCTTTCCCTTCATTTCTCCCTCCCTTCACCCATTCCGCTATTTCTCCTTCCCTCCCTCTGCCCCTTCCTTCCTCCATTCCTTCCTCCTTCTCTACCTCCCTCCCCCCCTCCCTCCCTCTCCCTTTAGCCCTTCTTCCTTCCCTTTATCTCTCCCACAATCTGTCCCTCCTCTGCTCCTCCCTCCCTTCCTCCATTCATCTCTCCCCCCTTCCCTTCCTCCCTTCATCTCTCCCTCAATCTGTCCCTCCTCTGTTTCTCCCTCCCTCCCTTTATCCTTCCCTTCATTTCTCTCTCCCTTCACCCATTCCACTCTTCCTCCTTCCCTCCCTTCCTCCCTCCCTCCATCTCTCCATATCTATATATATAATCTATATATTTATATATCTATATAGATATATAGAAATAGCTATATATAGATACGGAGAGAGAAGCCCTGGCTTGCAGCTCCACTCCTCAGCCGGTTGAAGCAGATGGCCGCCCGTCCTGAGCCTGGTTCTGCTGGAGGTTTCTTCCTGTTAAAAGGGAGTTTTTCCTCCCCACAGTTGCCCAGTGCTTGCTCACGATGGGGGATTGTGTCGAAGTATTCATGCAATCAGCTGGTTTTGTTACATAAATAAACTGCATTTGCTTGAAATAAGTTGTCTGTGTTTTTTGTTGTGTGCTTTGTACACTGTGAGGAATCTTCGATTCAATTAAAAGATTCCTCATTTCTCCAAAAGGTAAAATAAATGGTGTTGTGACTTATATCATCTAAGTATCTTCAATGGTTTGTTATGGACGGCGGAGGAAGGATCTCCAGTAGCAGTCACTCTTGAAAACTGATGAAGCTGAAGAAGCCTCTGAATGAAGGCACTGTTGCTGAATGACAGTCTCAGATTATCTACTGAGTACTGTCAAAAATATTTTAAGCATGAAGCAAAGTGAAGTTGTAATCTCTCCTTAATTGAGAAGATCCTGCATCAACATCATCATCATGCTCCCTGCATTTGCTCTTTCTTTTGTGTCAACAATTTTTTTTTTTATCAAGTGACAGTGAGCACAACGTCTGCACAGAAAATATAGAGGATTGGGTTCATTTTTTATGTTTTGCATTAACTAACTACCAAGGGATGTAACAAAGGTAACAACATTACCATTCTTGTCAAATAGCTTAACTGGTTGACAAGTTATAATGGCATCATTTAATCATCATTTAACTAACATTTTCTGCATCCAACGGAATTACTGATAGGGCCAGTATTATGTCAAACTGACTTTTTTTGAACGTTACCTAAATTTCTCATGGACATCAAGTATGTCTGGTTTTCCCATCAGACCCAAAGTGAACAAAAATGGCTCCAGAGCTGTAGTGACTAAGTGTATTGGCAGCTTTGTGCCGGATATACATCCGCTGCTTCTGCTACTTCCTGCAGTATGATCCTCTTCCAAACAATGTGCAACTCTCAGGAGGATGTGACATCGGAGGTGGGATTCCTTTACATTTAACTCCGGCTCCAGTTTCAGACAAAAAGGATGTTGGTAAATCCTTTCGTTGGGAGAAAACACGAAGAAAATTGTGCATGGCTATTGTGCATAGTTACAAAAATGCTAACTTGACCCCTACGTCCTCCAAATTATAGGGCGTGAAGATAATAATCTTCTTTTAATATTTTGATAGTTAACAATTTGTGAGTCTGTTTAGCACAGACTCACACCTGGAACCTCACCAAGTGTGTTAAAATCAACATCAGCCTTTTATATACATATATGTAAATACGTCCTATGTTTTCCTTAGTCCTAGATGTCGACACAAATATGCAGCTACAGGAAGAGGAGGGGAAGGAAAAGGAAGTTTAAACTGGAGGAAAGTATAAGTATCATTGTACCTTAAACTTGAAACTGTAATTTTACAATCACAAACATCAGTCATTTTGAGGGGATTTTATCTAAAACACTGACACAAAATTACACCAAACAGTGAAGGTCAATGAGACATGTTTTTTTTATTCTTCACTGATAATGATATCTAGTAATGTGAGAGAGATTCAAAAGTATGAATACTTTTGCAAGGCTGCACTAAATATGATTATATTAAAATAGAACAAGAACAACTTTAAAAGCTAGGGTTCGAAATTTATCAACTGAAGAACATATTTTGATTTTCACTCCGTTGCTGTGGACGTCAAACCCGGGCTTTAGGACCTGGGGGTATTTTGTTCTCCCACTGCTCCTACTGGGTGGGACGGCCTAGAAATAGGAGCCCAGGGCAGAGATTTTTGTTCTGTCCCAGCACAGGAACTCCTTTCCTCAAACTTTTGTTCTCCTCTGCGAGATACTCTGACTTCATGCTCAGAAGGCCGGAGCTTGTGGACCTATGTGAATCCAACTAGACAGCAAACTTGCTGAATTATTCCAAAGGCCTAATAAGGTAAACACTGGGAGAATGGAGTCTTAGAGAATAAATATCCAGACATTTAGTCTGTCTGCCTGTCTGTCTGTCTGCCTGTGCTCTGGTGTACGGATGGTGTTTGAAACCTGTTGGTGAGAGTGGATGTTGACGTCTGAAAGCCAGAATGAATGAGCGGGTGGGTGTAGTCATGTGAGATGGCTGCAGCTTTGGATCTGATTTCATTTAGGAAGCAGGATGTTTCTTCTTCTTCTGTGGTTTTCTGTTTAGAAACACATTATAATAACGCTTATGTCTAACCTGGACATAAATTGTTTTAGATCTTACGAAAGCTGCCAACAACAGTCGGTATCCAAGGCACACCAAGGTTAGAAAAACAGAAAATAACTGATCCAGGTGAAGCCAGACTTCAGGCTCACGGACGCTGAAAGGGGACCAGAGCAAAAGTTTTGCATCACGTGTGGCAGCATATGGCCTCTTTTCCCACACAACACGGAGCCAATCAGATTCAACCGCGTTCGTTCCACTGGAAGATGACATTTGAGAACTGAAATCTGGTGCAGAGCCCAGCCATGAGCATCTCAGATCAAGTAGACCAGATAGATCCAAAACTGTTGATGTGACTTTTCTGGGAGTTTTTTATACGTAGTTCTGACTTCCAAAAGAATTTTGATTAATTTTAACAGGAAAGGTGAATATTTGAGTTTGTGGTGTAATTTTTTGTCAATCTACAATGGTCCAAATTATACATACAATTAAGTAGTTTAATGTTCACATCAGATTTAAGCCTTAGTAGTTCTTTCATCCAAGAATAACTATTATAGAAATTGTCTCCCATCTTGTCAAGCCGTTGCCTTCATTTGCTATTCAGGATTCAAACCTTGGTTCACAGCTCAGTGTGAGATTTCTCCCATTGACTCGGATTCTCTCTGGTAGAATTTCAACCGGGCCAGTCACCAAACAAAAGGAGAAGCTTGAAGAGCGACAAAGATTTTTCTGCAGTGTTTCAGAGTTGTCGTCTGCTGGTAGTTTAAGCAATGGCAGCTGAGGAAGTGATCAAAAGCCGTTCAGTATACTAAATATTACATTAAACAGTCGTCTGTTTCGGGTCAACATCTCTCTCTCCTCGCACTGGGGGATGGTTGTTGACAGTGCAGGCAATTTCCGGTAAGCTTCATAGCTTCGAACCGCTGCATTACATATGTCACAGGCAAACGTCAGCGATTGGACAACATTTAAAACCTCATCAGAGTCCATGTCTCCAGGAAGCAATCTTTTCTCAACAGCCGAGAGCCCAGACCCTCTGTATGTACCAAACCAGGTAGTACAACCAAAAAGACGGTCTTTAGAAGTCTACTACACTCCCAGAATTATGACAAAACTATGGAGAGGGCAACAAAGATTGTACTTGCTAAAAAACATTTGACCAAACAATAGAGGGGGGTTTGTTCATTTGTATGTAGAAGTTTCACACAACTTAAAAAAAAAAAAAATCAAATACATGAGAAAGTTTTGGTTTGTTACACTGACAACTGACTTCATGTTCTTTCCAGGTTTTGTAACAATGTGGCTAACATTCCTGGTGTCCGTGGCCCTTCTTGCCCCGATGACCTCAGCTGCCACGGCTATGACAGCGGAGAAAGTCCTTAGCAACCACGCCGCCATACTGGCTGACAACAGCGCCGACCTGGCTGTTAGTCTCTACCAGAACGTGGCAAAGGAAAAGGGAGCAGAGAACATCCTCATCTCCCCCGTGGTAGTGGCCTCCTCCCTGGGTCTGGTGGCTCTCGGGGGAAGGGGTTCCACCGCCGCCCAAGTGAAGAGCATCCTGAACGCGGCCAAGGTTCAGGACGAGCAGCTGCACTCTGGTTTGGCGGAGCTCCTCACCGAGGTGAGCGATCCAAAAGAGCGCAATGTCACCTGGAAGATGAGCAGCCGCCTCTACGGCCCAAGCTCCGTCACCTTTGCGGAGGATTTTGTGAAGAGCAGCAAAAAGCATTATAAATGTGACCATTCCAAGATCAACTTCAGAGATAGAAAGAGCGCCGTCAACTCCATCAACGAGTGGGCCGCCACGTCCACCGACGGCAAGCTGCCCGAGGTCACCAAAGACGTGGAAAACACCGATGGCGCAATGATCATCAATGCTATGTTTTTCAAACGTAAGTGTGTGAGCGTGTCTCTTTGTGGCATTGAACGCTTTCACGTGAAAGAACTCTGAACAAGCCTGGCCTTTCCTCACAGCTCACTGGGACGAGCAGTTCCACCCCACAATGGTGGACAACCGAGGGTTCCTGGTGTCCGGCGGCTACACCGTGGCTTTACAGATGATGCACCGCACAGGTGGGCGAAAGAATCTCTGTTTTTCTCTGCTGACAGGGGGGAAAAAATAGACATAAGAAACTTTTGTGCTGTTCACACTACAAAAACTGTGGGAAAAGAATTTAGATCGATTCACAAATTACAGATATGAGACAAAACTATTTTTCTAAAAGGGATCGTTTTTTTGTGTGTTTTTGTACATTTCATTAACGCCTATGAAATGTTTGTTGCATTTTCAGCCTAAGCCGGCAATAAAAAAAAAAGTATTGGAAACGCTTTGACGCCATCCAGCGGTCAAAGTCATACGCATTTTTACCCAAATCTGCTAACTTGTACAGTAAATGTTGATAGTGGAGTAATGTTGTGAGCAATGACTTCCTGGAGGTGGAGTGTCAGAAAAATCAGGAGTTTTAAAGAGAAAGAGACCCAATTCAAAGGCCTTAAATTGCAAACTCAAATGTCTTTAAGTCATATTTGATATATATAGCACTTTTATAACAACTGAAGTTAACATAGTTTTTGACTGTACTATAAAATGGCACTATGTGCCTGGAAAACATAATAATGCCCCTTTAAGAGGTTCCTCAGGGTGTAGTGTAAGAACAGACATTGGATCTTTATATGTGCCACGGTTTTTTCAGGTCTATTTGACTTCTATGATGACACAACCAATAAACTGTATCTTCTGAGCTTGCCTTTGGCTCACAAGAAGTCCACAGTGGTGTTCATCATGCCCTACCATGTGGAGCCGCTGGCCAGACTGGAGAAGATGCTTAGTAAAAAGCAGCTGGACATGTGGATGGGGAAAATGAAGCAGACAGCAGTGGCTGTTTCTCTGCCTAAAGTCAGCATGGAAGTTAGTCACAACCTGCAGGTAAAACACGCCACACTTCCTGCCTGAGGCTTGATCTGGAGAAAATTCATCGCTCTGAGATTCTCACCCTCACAGTTTCGTCACATCAAATCTTTCTGCTCCATTTTTTATTTATTTATGTATTTTTTTAGAAGCACCTTCAGGACCTGGGCCTCACAGAGGCTGTGGACAAATCCAAAGCTGATCTGTCCAACGTCTCTGGGAAGAAGGACCTCTATCTGTCCAGCGTCCTCCATGCCGCCGCCTTGGAATGGGACACTCATGGAAATGAGATTGATACCAGCATCTTTGGCACAGAGAGACTCAAAAACCCAAAGCTGTTTTATGCTGACCACCCGTTCATTTTCCTCATCAAGGACAGGAAAACAAACTCCCTCCTGTTCATCGGCCGGATGGTCAGGCCCAAAGGAGAGAAAATGAGAGACGAGTTATAACTGAATCTGTGTGTTCTGGATATGTTTTGATGTATAATTTGTATTTCCCTGTTAAAAAAATCCATTCTAAAACACAGAATATGGAATTGTGTGAGGTATTTTTCCAAATGACAATAAGTTACTTCATATTTTACATAGTAGATTGAGAACTAAAAAAATAAAAAATACTACAATTTGGATGATTGGGGTCAATTATTTGTTAAATGTTGTTTGTTAAATGTTGTTAAATCATGTTAGAATGGGTTATTTTCAAGATGAAGCATTTCAGTGTTTGTCTATGGCAAATTATAAGATTTGAGATAAAAAAAGGCAACAAAGTCATATTTTTTTTTCCAAAAGTGGCAACTATATTTTTGTTTCTATTCTTTGCACTGTTGCAGTCTGCTGTTGTTGTTTTTGCTCTCCTGATACACTTGGAAACAGATGATTCATCTAAATATTCTTCATTTTTAAGAATGTCTTTCATATTTGAGAAAAAAAATAGTCTGTGAGGAATTTCCTTCTTTTAAAATAAAGAATGTGAGAAAACATGTAGCTGTGTTTGGTTTTTTTTAATCACGTAATTACTTGCATGTATAATTTTATGTCAGCAATCCCCACTGTGAGGTTTATCCTAGTAACACACGAAAAGCAGCAAATAATAACAATAATATTGATGTTGTTTTTCTCATTGGAAGAATTATTATTTTTTTGTACACATTAATGTTTCAGTGCATTCTGAAACATTCCCGAGCCTTTAGCGCCACCTAGCGGCTTTGTGGCTAAACTATATATGGGTACAGCTGTTCCAAAGTCCTTCTCAGATTAAAATATGTTTGTATTTTAATCTGAGATAAAGAAATATCTAGTAAAGTTGCAGTTTTTATGTTGCTACATAAAAGCTTTATAATCTTTGAAACACCAAACCAAATCAGCAACAGTTGTGTGTGTTTCAAACTAGCCTTATATAGCCTATGCCTAAATCTTGCAAGTGTGGTAATATTTGTCATGATTCCAGGCCTTCAGCTCTACCTTGACTGTGCTTTTTGCTCATTAACCTCACCTGCACTGTGCTGCTTCCTATTTAAACACCTGCTCCTCACTCAGCTTTTCAAGCATCTTCTGGTTTGCCTGTTTTTTTTGACTACAGGCTGTTTTTGGGGTTTTTTGCCTTGTCTGTCTGCTGTTGGAAGACATTTGACCTTCTGACTCTGATCCTGCCTCTAGACTTCTGTTTACTGGATTTTCTTTGCCCGAAACCTTCCCGTGCATGATCCCGGGTCGTTTGGTTGATGGCTCTTGTGCGGGTAGTCTGTCTGTCCCCTGACCCCCTAGGCCTCCCACCGTCCATGCACCTAACCCCCGCCTGCCCTCTCAGTTTTTCCTCACCCTGTTGAGTTTCTTCAACACCAATCCTTTGTAATAAAACTTTCGATTAACCGCCTACTTGTTTTGGCTGATTTTTTTTTTTTTTTTTTTTTTTTTTTATTTTTTTTGCTTTAACGTTACAAATGTTGTTGCTGTCCAGTGCAGCTGTGTGTCCATCCGCCTCGAGCTCCCGAGTGAAAGGAGCTGAGCTCGCGCATTGCTCGCGCACGGCGCGCGCTACGATGGGACGACAGACCCGTTAGTGCCCTCCGCTTCCTCCTCTTCCATCATGGCTCCCTCGATAGACAGGCAGGGATACTGGGGGCGGCCGACCTCGACGCTGGAATGGTGCGAGGAGAATTACGTCGTCTCCTTCTACATCGCGGAGTTCTGTGAGTAACACGTTTCTGCCTCTTTGACCGAAAACGGCTCGTTTTGAAGACGCTTCTCGGCGGCGAGAGTCGTACCGGACACGTACAGCGATAACGTAATAACGTAAACACCGAGACCGGGCATGTACGGCTACCACAACTGGAACAATTATTGAAATGCCGCGTTAATTTGGGCTCTGTTTATATGCTAAGTGTTAGCATGTACGGCACCTGACCTGCCATAACAACTGTATGGTAACAAGGGAAACGGTGAACCTGCTCGCTGAAGATCGATTCGTGCAGTGCGGCGACGGCAGGGGAATGTAATCATTAGCAAAACGCTAAAACGTTTACCTTTGTCACAGCAGCTGTGTTGTATTTCAGCCAGAGGTGGTCCTAGGCATCTGGAGTCCTGGGCGAAACTAGCCCCCCTGTTCCCCTCCATGCTCTTTTTCTTTATTTTTTTAAAATATATATATTTACTTGAACATATTTAAAGTCTAATTGAATTTTATTCCTACAATTACACCTTATTTGTAAATTGATATATATATGTAAAATCTAGCCATTTTATTAAAAAGAATAAAAATTTTGGGACTTTTGACCTATAGCCCCGTTTGCAGTTTGTGGGGATGCGTTTGGTAAACTAATGCTAATAAATGTTTCAACCTCAAAGGTTTAAACTCCTACTTGGTTTCGGCATTACGGGCTTCATGTCCACGTGAAGTTCTGGTTTGAAAAAAAAAAGTGTACGCCACGTAATTCTAAGGTTTCATGTGTTTTGTACATGTGCTTTAAAATGTATTTAATGTATTTTTTTAGGGATTTTTTTTCATTCTCTATTTTTAAACATGTAGTGTGGCTTAACAGAAAATTGCTATAAGTATATCTTTGTAAAAAGACATTTGTAGGTAAGTGAGACATATAAAATAAAAAAAATATTACCGCATTTAAGTGCAGCGGACGTCTGTATATTCACGATTCGGTACCCGCAGATGTATCTATTCGCAGATATGTCCTTACTAATTAGTTTTAAAAACGGTGCAGTTCCATCATTTCACTATCCAGTGACACTGATTGGTACCCTCCAGTTCAGTAACTGGCAGAAGCTAAGCTAAAGTTTGTTGACGAGGAGCGAAGAGAAAGTAAGGCAGAAATTAGCATTGGCCACTACAGCTCAAACAGAGCAGATGGTTCATGAATTAAATGTATTATGTGTTTGTTAGGTAATTCCTTGGGCTCAATGTCTTAACCTGCCTCTGGTTTTAAGTTGGTTGTCGATTATCAAGGTGCGGGATTCTCAGTCGCATCTTGAAAGCTGATAAAACATTCCTTCAGCTCTGTTTGAGTCTTCTTGTTTGGTCTAACGCTAAAAACTGGTTCCTCGAGCGCCATTATCTAAGGTGTAAACAGTGGTTCTATCATTTAAACAGCTGCCTTGTCAGCAGGGCGATGCAACGATCTGGCAAAAGCTGCACTTTTACTCACAGGCACACACATCTCAGCAGCATTCAACATCAGAGGGATCATTTATTTAAATAGCACTCGTCAATGCGTGTAACGCGTGTGAGAATAAAGAAGGGGAAAATACTTAGTTAAAATGGGCAGAGTTGATACGTTTATCCAAATAAACTGGCTTATATCTGCCTAAAGCTACAACCTTTTTCAGAGAGAAATCAGGCCAGCTGAGTCAAGTCAGACCTCCCTTTGTAGCGACAATTAGCAGAATATCACTGACAGGTTTTCTAAACCTTTACAACAACACACCTGCTGAATACCAACAGTTGAGGCTTTTTGTTTGCATAAATAACACACCACCACCTCTGACCCCACGCAGGTGGTGGCTGTCAGCTGCAGGAGAAGGGCTTGGCTTTTAATCGACCCTTATTCAGATTTCAGTGGCCGGAATGCGGCTTTGTTCCTGGAGCGGCCGGAACATGCAGCCCACATCTGAGGCGTCACTTTAGTGGATTATCTGTGTGACGGCAGAGCGGAGCGTGGCCGCCGTGAGCGACATCGCAGCGCACATGCCATTCAGATATTTGCACTTGTCGTTGAAATTTTTGAACAGCGCACCCACAGCGCGCTCAGGGTTTGTTTGCCTTTATTATTCGTTGCCTGAGTGCATGCATGCATTTTAAAATGGCACATGCCTTAACTTTTATTTTCAAATTCAGGGTCATCTCTGATTGTTTCCATGATCGGCGTCTCTCAGTGCACCACTTTTCTCATTTCTTGAATTTTTCAATTTGGTTACAAAGTGAAACAAACACTTTGTAACCAAGGACTTTTTTATTTCGCTCCCACTTTAACAAATGACGATTTAAAGTTGTTTTCCGCATTGATTCCTCGTAAGGAAATGTTACATTAATGCAATAAATAATGTATTTTAGTTGGAGTTATTTAAGTCTTATCAGGCTGTCTTAGTTTATAAAAGCTAGCTGACCCAAACGGCATGTACAGTGAAAATAAGTGTGAATACTGTGTCAAACAAACTTCAATATATGGAGAATTAATTTGATTAATGGAGCGCTGTTACAAATTACTTCTATTAGTGATCACATTTAACTATTTCAGATCGTTGAGCAAAATTTTCTATCAAAGATAACCTGAAAAAATCTAAAACACACTTTTAAAATGATGACTTAAATTTTGAAGACGGATTGCTCCTCTCAGTGAATCATAATTTAATTGTAATTAAACATTAAAAAAACAAACACAACTAAGTTCCATTTCACCAATTATTCCCTGATTATTTCTACACCTCTATGTCATTCTCTTATGCAAAGATAAAAACCAAACCGGATGATATCCTCAGTCTGGAATTAGGTCTGCAAAGTTCTTCCAAAGACTTTGGGGTTTCAGTGAGATCAAGTATTTACACACAGGGAGAACAGGTGGAGCTGGGGGCCGCTAACGCTTCCTTGTGGTACCAAAATCACTGAAGGCTCATCAACGACTCAACCAGGAAGCCACAGAAAACCCAGAACAACATCCAAAGCAGGGCTTCCCAACCTGTTGTTAATATAGAACTTTTTCAGAAAATAATGGTCGCCTTGTTCCTTGCACTTCCGCACACTTCAGTGTTGAGCAGCTTATCCAGGCTTGCTCTAATTGCTACAATGAGCTGAATTGTACAACTTGCCTTTTTGCCATTATCCTGCTAGACGAGACTTAATTCCCTCCTAAGTCACGTGGCAACCCTGAGCACATATAGAGTAGTTTTCTAGTTTTTTATTTGTCTGCTAAGTTCAATTCCGGGTGTGAAGGTTTGTGGACAACGTCCCGTAAATTCTGCTCTCCAGCAGACAATCCTTAAGGAGAATGTCCTGCCATCAGTTTTTGACCATACGCTTATCATTGCAAAAGGATAATAATCTGAAGCACATTAGCAAAAACAAACAAAGCACAACTGAGCGATATTGCTAAAAATAAAATATCCAAATTTGATCTCCTATTTAAATCTAATTTTCTTGCTCGTTTTTATTTTTTATTTTTTGAAAAAAGTACAAAATACAGAAAATATCTTGGCTTTTAAACTGGCGTCTGTTTCTGTCCTTCCTTCTGTGAGTTGACCTGAACACAAAGTTGTAATAAATAGACGCTGTCAAAAAAGAAAGATGGTGGTTCTTGGGTGGGCTAGTATCACTCTGAGCTGTGGAAACCCAAGGAGTTCATTGTTGAAAAAACAAAATCCAGATATTCCAAATTTTATATCCTCACAAACAGAAAATTTGATTAATTGATAAAATCAATTTATCGCTCATGTCAAAGTCTGGAATAAATCTAAATGCATTGCTGTGGTGTTGTTTGTGTTTTATATTTGTTAGGTGCTTTTTATCGGAAATGTGAATTTGTTTGATGTGAAATATTTAACTGACAACAAAAGCAGCAAAAGAGAAATCGTCTATTACTCAGCACTGCAGATGATACATTTCTACATTTTGTTATAAAAATAAAAACTGAAAATTAATATACTATATATATATATATGTATATGTACTATACTAGTAGTACTTAAGTACTCCTAGTGTATTACAAGCCTGGCGGGCCACCAGGCTTTCCTTGTGCCCCCACCAGGCTAAGCATTGCTTGTTTAAGTCTTTTTAAAATGTTTGCATTTCTAAGGCTTTACAGTTGGTGTTCAGGTGTTTATCTTCCAATCTTTCATTAACACATAATTATCAAGTGATATTTTCAAATTGCCTTGAAACTTTAAACATTTTTTTTAACTCAAAAACATGACAAACTGCTGGATGAATGACTGCCATGTGCTGCAAAATCAAACACACCCATTGTCCCACTTAGGCCTGGACTGTGAAGCAAGTTCAACAAATGACGGTTCGTTATCTGACTGCTGTAAGCCTAATAAAAGCAACCCTCCTGAGTTGACCCAGGAAGGTGACTGCTTTGCCAACTCAGCAACTAGTTGTGTTCCCACTGAAAGGCAGCAGAGGCCCATTCTGGAGCGCTGAGGCTTGAATCAGTGGATTCTGCAGGAAATTTGAACAGATAAACATTGGAGAGACCGATGCCGCTTATAACGCAGCATTACCGTTTCATGCAGTGTTACAGAGCCATAAAAACTTTATCTGTTTAGTCGTAGAAGCAAGGACAATTTGCTCCTTAATGAGCCTCTGCTGTAGATAAACAGTTTGTTCTGATGGTGCGCCTGAGTTTTACTCGGGTTGTTGTTGCCTTGTCCGACCGGTGGACTTTTGATAACGTCATCTAGTGGCGTCTGTTTTCATCTGCAGATGTTCATCATGAGCCACATGTTTATGTTCACCGCAAGAACACAAAAGCTTTCCAAGTAATTCTGGTTTGGTCTCCAGTGCAAATATCTTAGTTCGCTTGAAATAAGATGAAACTAACTTATAGATAACTTTTTGTCAAGATAGAGGAGCTTCTTTTGAGTCAGTGATTGCTTAATATTGATGAGAAAGTACTTGTTAACTTTTTCACTTGTATCATGGGAAAAATATCTTGTTATAAGTGAAAAAACGTGCTAATTGAACAAGTACATTTTTGTCAATATTAAGGATTTACTCAAAGAAACTGTTAAGAAATTACTTTTTCTCCTGAAAAAGCTTCTTGAATGTTAGTTTTGTCTTGAGATATTTGCAGTAGAGACAAAACCAAAAATAACTGCCATGTCATCTTTTATCTGAACGTCCACTTAAAAATAAACTTGAGGTTAAAAGAAGTGACAGAAGATGCAAACATTTGGCCAGCTTCAGTCAAATTAGGAATCAACCGGTCAGACCTCAAAGAAAACAGGAACTCTGAACAGACCAGGAAAAGCCTGAACGTGGTGGAAACTTAATTAGTAACTTTGGAAACGGGATTGACCTCCAGGTTACCTCGGTGACACCACGTCCTGTTTTGTACTGCGGTCCCTTTTCAAACCAGCAGGAAGACTTTAGACAAAGCAGCAGTGGAGTACCATGTAGAAGTAGCAGCTCAACAATAGAAGTCGTTGCGGATCCACTGACTTGTTTTCTTCTGTTTGAACAGGGAACACTGTCAGCAACCTGATCATGATTCTTCCTCCCATATATGGAGCCGTCCAGACGTTCCGGGACGGCCTGGAGTTTCGCTATATCTGCTCGTTTCTTGGTCTTTCGGGTGAGGCTGAAGGCCCTCGCGGCCGATACGTCTGCTGCTCACGCCACTCGTACAACAGGAAGTTAAAACGTCTTTTCCCGTTTCTTTCTGTGTGTTCGTGGGACGCAGCCGTCGGTGTCGGCTCCTGGTGCTTCCACATGACGCTGCTGTATGAGATGCAGGTGGGATACGCAGCCGTTTTCATCCTCTCGCACTCCACACATCCACAGACAAGCTTTCCTGTTCTCAATGTCATATTATTAATTATGTTTCTGCTGTTTTGCAGCTGCTGGACGAGTTGCCGATGATTTACAGCACGTGTGTGTTTGTGTACTGTCTGTAAGTGGTTCAGATTTTATTTTATTTATTTTTTTCTTTTGGTGCATTTAAGGTCCTTTACCGATGAGTTGGTTTTGAAAGCTGGCCTGAAATGCTCAGTAACATTATATGTCAGTGAATTATTAGGGTTAGCAATAATTATGCTACTGCTCCAGAAGGAAATGCATAATTTTTAGTCATATATTTAATCAACTTTCCTGGTTGAATATATGTTCTCTAGTTAAATGTTTCTAGTTGTTTCCCTTGTTTTTCTACTGCAATAAAAAAAGGATTTTGTTTAAGTTCATTTTTATTTTTACCAAGGCAGCCAATTTGTCCACGCCTGTATAATGTGACATAGGCTGTAAAAAGACCTGTTGAATCCAATTTCAAGTGAATGCCTCACAGCTCCAGGGAACCACGTTGTTCCAGCCACGTGTGTACTTCATGAACCGCTTTCTCTCAGCGTCGCCTTTTAACGCAGCAGAAGCTAAAAGACGGGACATATTTCTTTTGTTCAGCTACGAGAGCTTCAAGCAAGAGAACAGCATCGGCGTGTTTCCTATTGTGCTGTTGATCATCTTCAGCGCCTCGGTCACATTGGTGAGTGCCTGCCAGAGCTCTAAAAGTTGCTTACTGTAAACATAGTAAACAAAAACAGTCATGTCCTCTCGTTCTTTGTATGTCTTGTTCAGGTGTACCTACAGTGGAAGGAGCCAGTGTTTCACCAGGTGAGGTGTTTATCTGCCTTTGTTTGCTAGCAGGGTGCAGTGTGCTGTAGGTCACCTTTAACTTATGTAAACACTGGACCCGCCCAGACAGCAGGCGCTCTAGATGGTAGATGCTGATTGGTCGGCATCATATACACGGTTCAGTACATTTTTGGTATTCTTCTGTCATAAGAACGTTTTTATTTTTACTTTGTTTTAATTTGTTTGATTTTCTTATGTTTAAGAGCTTCAAAGAGTAGCTACTACAGAACTGGCAGGAGATTTGATTTGATTATCTTCAATGATATAGGGAGATTCAGTCCCTGCATCAATTGCACAACATTAAAACCACCTGTGAATTGATTCTTATTGCAACAATCTGTCATCCAGCAAAATTTGTTGGCGTCGCAGGCCAACTTTGGAGTTGTTGTAAACATGTAGACAGTCCACTATTTGAGTCCACTATTTGAGTTGCCCCTGTTGGGATTGCCCCTGTCCTCTAGGAGTTCACTGGGGTCGTTCTGTATGCACTAGGTTTTTCTATTGAGGTCTCTACTGCTTCTTGTCACTTAAAAAAACAACACTCAACCAATTTTTGGCAATAAACTCATGTTTTTTTAGGGTTTCAAACATTACCTGCTTCAAAAACGTCTGAAATGTGATGTCACAAACGAGCAGGCGCTGCTCCTCTGATCCCAGCGAAGCCCAGCCTGTTATTTGGCAACCCTAGCAGCACTGGTCCATCAACAACAAACCGCACCTGGGCTTCTAGAAAATGCAAGAGTTTTATTTCCACTTGCTGAATTCTTGTTGGGTGTCCAGGAGGCTCCACCTCTGCTTTTCAAAGATGCACGGTTGCATAATAATCTGTTTGCAGTCATTTTCACGTGCGAGCTTAAAGATTGAGTTGGGCGGCATGGCCAGCAGCTAATTTATATTTACATATTGATCTGGTTTTGCTGACGTTTGTAAAAAAAACCTTAAAGCTACTTTTTAAACCTTTGTTCTTATAAATGCAGAAGTAAACAAATTGCTTAGTTTTTCTGCCCTCCAGGACAGGTGATGCACTTTCCTGAACTGGTGTTACTTACATTCCTCCACCAATTAGTCTGCAGGATATTTTTTTACCCGCTCAGCAGAAGTGAAACTGCTGACGCTTCCGTGTTTCTGTAAAACCTCGCTTTCAGCAAGCCAAATGAAAACACACTTTTCTTGGCGTCACTCTTTAAACTGTGGCAAACATTTGCTTATGGACTATTTAAGATATAAGTCTGGATGCTCTTTTCAGGTCATGTATGGTGTCCTGGTAGCTTGCCTGGTGATGCGCTCTGTCTTCATTGTTACATGGTAAGGATCAACAGTCGTGTGAAGGCAACAGTTGAGACGTATTGAATGAAGCGGCGTCCTGATGACAGGCTGTTCGGCCCTGTGTTTTCAGGGTGTACCCGTGGCTCAGGGGCCTGTGTTACACCTCTTTAGGGATCTTCATGTTAGGATTCCTGCTGTGGAACATCGACAACATTTTCTGCGACTCTTTAAGGTGAGCAGGAAGGAAGAAGGTAAGCGATGTTAGAGTTTTAGAAATGTCATATTGATAGTAAAAAAGAAGACGAGTGAAGTAGCACAGATTTCATCAAAATGATCACTTGGATTTATAATTTTTATTTTTCTTGTATTGAAAAATATCCAAGAATTGTAGACATTTTTAAGATTATAAATTAAACTGAGTAAAATTCTTTTGGATGTATTTGTTGATCAAAGCAGAAAATAAAATTGCCTGAAAGTCGTTTTTTTTTTTTTTTTTCTTTTCCTAACCCAGAGCCAGTAGACAAGTGCTGCCCCCTGGTGTTGGAGTGGTGACACAGTTCCATGCTTGGTGGCACATTTTCACAGGTCTTGGCTCCTACCTGCACGTTCTCTTCAGGTGAGATCCTCAGTCTGTCAGCAAAGTGCTCGGTTATGATGACTTACGATGCCTGCATCCCTCCAGCTTGCAGATCAGATCCACCTACCTCAAGCATAGACCAAAAGTCAAGGTACGCCCGTATTGTTACTTTTATGGGACGATCTTTTAAAAAATTATGAAATGTTTATAGCTCGAAACTCTTGAATCCTCACCTGTTGCCTGGTGTTCCCTTCATTCAGTTTCTGTGTGGCGTCTGGCCCACTTTGCACATCGAACCACAGAAGACGAGCTGAAGTGAGAAGATGAGGAGCAACTTAAGGACGGTGACTGCCGAACCGGGCGCTATTGGCAGAAACCTGCCTGGTGTCACCTTGCTACTGCTGGGAACTTGGCCCACAGGCAAGCAGCTGGTGCACCACAGGGCACCAACTTAGGGGCCATTTGGTTCTGAGCTGTGGAAAATGACTAAGCAAAGTATAACACTGAATTATTTCAAGAAACTGAAGATTCTTTCCATTGATTATAATTGATTAGATTAGTATGTTTAAGGAGATAGGCACCAGTACCCCTTCGAACCCCACTTGGGTCAAGGGTGTGCAGAAAATGGATGGATGGATAGCATGTTTAAGTTATTTTTAAGTGGGTAGTTTCTTTTTTTTTCCCCTCTTCTACCATTTTCAGTGAGTGAGTGATGCAGCCTGCCATTATATAAGGAGTTATAAAAGTGTTGTTGTAAAATTAGTTGAACAGCTGTAATTAATTCAGTTTATGACCAATCAAGTACATAATCAAATATGAGCCAGCATATATTTATGGCCCCATTCAGACGAGAAAGTATCATTGCTTAGGCTTAGTTTCTTAAGAAGCTAAATCAGTTCGTTGTGTAGTTTTTGAAAAAAATCAAATAAAACAAACTTAGAGTGGAAGTGACCGTGTTTTGATCTAATGAGGAAAGTAAAAATGCAAATTTTACTTGAATTGTCCACAAAATGACATGCCATAACTGGAATTCAGATGCAGTTTTTTTTTCTTCTTTTCTTTTTTATCCTAATTAACTTTATTGCCAAAGTTGCACATGTTCGCTTGTATTTAGTTGTCATCCAGTGTGTGAAATGTATTACTGGTTTACCTTGAAATGTTTTAATGAAAGCTTGTAACACTGAATCTGTTGACCGTTACTGGTGCTGGAGTGAGAGGCATTTTCCTCTCAACTACTGCTGCACACTGGCAGTCAGCAGGCTGAAAAGAGGCTCATAAACTGTATTCTTACTTGATGAAAGGAGAAATGGAAACAATAACGTATAGCTACATACAGTTGCGTATTAATTTGGTATGTTTGCTCCCAATACCAAACCAATCGTTTAATAACGATCGGCAGATTCTGACGACACGTCACCCAAAATGTGCAGTTTTATCACTTCTCAGTAGCAAATTTATTCCATTTTGATATGTCTTGTCGATTATTTCCATCTGCTGACAGAGACAGACAGGAAGTTACTACAGCCTCTCTGTCTGTGAATATTAATATAGACAGAAAACCCAGATCTGATGAACAGGTTAGAGGATGCAAACTATGTTGCTGCACATTACCTGCATCACATTCCTGGAGGTGCAGCTGGCATAAAATTCTTCAGGAACTCCAAAAACAGTAATTTTTAACACTGCCATGATCAGGAATATGGAATATCTGGAACATCCCTTGTGGAAAATGAATGAGGTGCAGTAATTCAGCAGGAAAAGAGCTAATTTTTCATTAGCAATGAGATCAAGTTTTGCATTTTACTCACTTTATATCAATAAACTCAAAAGTTTTTATACAGTTTAACTTTGGCCTGTGCTTAGTTACTAAGATTTCTCTTTCATCACAAGCCTGAGCAGCATTCACTAAAAGAGAGACAGAATGCATCACTTTTAACATCACAGACTGTGCTGCATTTTATTTCAAACATTTATTGCACTCTTTTCTGTTATTTATTGCTTTTAGTCATCACATAGCTCAGCCAGATGACTGCACAGAGGAGTACGAGTAGTTCGCGATTCGAACACTGGATGGCGCACCTTTCCAGCTCATGCGGTCTAAAACCTTCCTACTGTAGAACCGCGGGAATCTTTGCTTCTGCTTTCATGTCTCAGATGAAGTGTTCAATGAAGGGCTTTTGTGTTTTTTGTTTTTTTTTGGTACTGTGAAGCGGTGCAGACGCATTAGCCTCAAAAACCTGCACAAGCTTGAAGCGAGCGAGTATCTGGAATATGCACATTTCAGCCATTAGGATCTGCGTTTGTGTAATCTGAGGCAGCACACGACACATCACTTCGTTCTTAGTAATACACAATGTAGTTGGGGTTTTTTCAGTGTACAAGCCCAGTGTTAAACATCCACAAGCACAATATATGAAACATAAGTATTAGCCTCCTCCAGGGGTCTTTGTGAATCTCTGTGTTATCTCGAAGTCACTGCTCATCAGTAAGAACTGAGCAGATCTCAAAGCGGGTGCCTTATTGCTATCACTGCAGTGTAACCCAAGTTGCCTTGACATTTGTGAGAAACTTCTCATTTCATCCAATGCATTCGCCCTCTGGTGATTAGCCACCGGCGCTTCAGAAGGACCAACGTTCGCGGCTTTAGGGTTAGGGGTTAGGTTTAGGTTAGGGTTAGGGTTAGGTTTAGGGTAGGGTTGGGGTAACCCTCTGTGCCTGACTCTTTGGCCTCCCATCCAGGTCACTGTGTGTGGAGCCTCCACTCTGTTCCACGTACATTTTGCCTGTATAAAGATCTCATCCTGTAACATTTTCTGTGTTTATGGCCAGAACGCCAAACTCTGCCAACAGTTTTGTTGTAATTTGATCAGTCTTTGTTGATGTCAAATAAAGAACATTGTGTCAAACTCTTGAAATCCTGTGACTCAAGTTGTTGGGAGCCTTGCAGGGGATATTGCGATGTTGGTTAGCCAACGTTGGATGTTGGTAGTGACTTCACAGCGGATAGCAGAACACAGGAAGTATTTGCAGAAACTGTTTAAAGCAAAAACATGTCCACTCACAAAGACCGAGGCGAGAGATTACAGCTGGGAAGTAGATGGAAAATTACTCATGGTTCTCAGGTTATTTTTCCAAAGAAGTGATTAGTATGACTTTTATATTTATCCCTCTTAGCCAGTATTATGTAGAGTTGCCAGCTACCAGTTTTGTAGTTTTTTGTCGGATCGAAGCATAAATGTTGAACATAAATTGCCACAGGTTCTCGGTTCGATATTCTAACACGCATGTAAACGTGCCTTGCTCTAGAGCGAAACGCACGCGTCCCCTTAATGGCTTGTGGCTAACTTTAATCAAACTTGATGAGACGTTTTCTCTCTACTCTCTTTGTGACACTTTTCCATGAAAGCCAGATTTGCGTCTCGCACAAAAATCCCAATAAAGCGAAGTTTGTGTTTGAGACAGAATATAACCCAAGCAAAAGCGGCAGTAGCCGTTTTCCTTCAAACCTTTATCTGTATTCTGCTAATATTGAAAAAAACATAATTGTTGCGTTTCTATTAAATAAAGAAATTAAAATTACACGTGAAGAGGCTTGTTATAAGACAAGACAAATCATGACAGTGATGGATGTAAACATTTAACGGTCATAATTCACTCAGTGCAGCATTCATCGTCTGTCAGATTATCACATTATCCAGGCGTTGCAGTGACTTATATTTGGGAGTGCTTGATAATCGCGGTTTAGAGAAAATTGTATTCTCCACAACCACACCAAAACATTTATTTTAATACTATCAATTTGCCCAAATGTTATTCTTAATGGAAACACAGTGACTGTTTGTCCTCTTGTTTTGACCTGCCTGCCTCTCTGGCAGTCCAGATCTCATTTTGCTGCTTTAGTCATCGAGTCCTTTCATCGATCCAGCCACTGCCCACAATCTCTTGAGATCGAATGAGTGGAGCAATGACCTTGTGTCAGAGCTGATGCGACATCTGGTCCTTGCTAATAATACGGCCATCTAGACGGATTCATTAGAAGTCAGTAGGGAGTTCCAGTTAAACTCACCTTTTCTGAAAAATGAGCAGCAAACGCACGGTGGTGTGTGCACCGCAAGACGCGCCGATCGGATGCGGTTTGACTTCTGAGCTGCATTCAGTCAATGGTCAGGTCAGGCAACGTTTCTCAAGGTAACGGTTCAAACGCCAAGTTGATTTTAATGTTGGATGAAATGGGGGGAGACCTGCCATTTGCTGACCCTGGAACACGACACACGGCATTCAGAGGGCACAGCGGCTACTGCTGGCAAAGCTCCAAGCGTTTCAAGGGGAACAAGCACAGGCAGAGTAGTTACAGCAGCCACACGCTTCAGCACATTCCTCCGGCCGTAAACTGTGTTGTGTAAAAGAAAAAAAAAAGGATGCCCATTCCAGGAATACAGCTTGAATCAGAAACCCCACAGACTGTCACACCAGACGGGTCTCAGAATGACAGCACATTGTCTTTTGATTGATGGATTCAAGTTTTTCTGAGATTTGCTCTATTTTAATGTTTGACAGTTTTTGTGTTTAACACCAACTCTGAACCTTCACTCATGGAAGTGAGTGAGCTTTGGAAATCAAATCACATTCGTCAATCAAGCTTTGACGAATGTGTTTTAATTATGCAAACATAACGTCTTTTTTCCGTCTGAATGCATGATGTATGATGGTAGTTTTATCTATTTAAATAGTTTGTTTACATTCAAAGTCTGTTTTCCCAAAAAATGAATCAACCAATTTGACTTATTGGCTGTTGAACATAGCATGGCTTGCGTGTTTCCCAAGCTCCATTCTGATTGGCTGATCAGGTCCTCCTGACGACTTCTCCCATGAGTTCCTGAGGCTGAATCCTCAGGTTTTCGAACCGAGAAGCTGCCTGGACACCCAGCAGATTAAACCAGGGGAACCCAAATGGTCCTCAGACAGAAGGAGCCACAGCTGGAGCCAAAGCTGACCTAGCGTTCAGTTCGCAGAGTGACAAAGTGTCAGAACTGGATCAAAAATACAGACTGGTTCTGAGAAAGTACTAACTACCAAAATGCATTGACTCGCATTGTAAAGATTCTGTTGTAAGATGCCAAAGCATGACAGGTGGCGTAGAATGTATTTTTTCCTCCACCAAACTTTCCGCCCTTTAGTATTTGTGTAGAAAAGCAAGCCGTCATTTATTAGCTTTTGCGCGTGTGCCTCTTTTTATATGTGAAAATGACTTAGTCAGTCAACCTCAGTGTATTTACTAAAAGCTACATGCTTTCTGACTCGCTCTCTCCACCAAATCTTTGCTTTTCGTTCTAATACCGACGAATCTTTCTGAATGTCCTTCCTCCTGTAAATCTGATGGGGTTCGCTTCGCCGAGCTGAGATTTCAGCCCAGGTTTGCTATGAAACTGTTTATGCCCATCATATCAGCCGTCCAGAAATATCATTAGAGTGTAACAACAAGACACATTCGAGGAATTTTCACTCGTCATCCATCCGCTGAGCCTCATTCTCAGAATGTTATTATCTCTCTTGTTTTGGCCCGAAGGGAGCTGGGGAAAATTTTGTGACTCAGTGTCAGGATGTGTGTCCTGATGGAAGCGTTTTGTTTTTTTTGTTTGTTTTTTGTTTCTCCCCCCCGTCCCCTCCCCCTCGGGTGACTTACTGTACTTTACTCAGAACCGGTGCCAGCACCTGCATGACGAGCGTGTTCAGGAACATAAAGAGCGTAGGAGTCGCTTAGGTCGGCATCTTACACACACACACACGCACGCGCACACACACACACACACACACGCACACACACACACACACACGCACACACACACACGTAGTTAGATCAATCTGGGTGAGACCTCTCCAATGACTCATGTTGGGAATCCCTGCCTTTCAGCTGAAGGAAAACGCTGCAGTTTGCGTCCATGCAGCTGACACACTCTTTCCGAGGTGCCGCCTGCCGGTCCGTCGACGGATCGCCGATCTGGATCCGTTCGTAGGACTCACTGCTAACGGGAAAATTCAATTGTCGTGTTTTTCCTTTTGTTTTTCTCCGTTTAAGCATCTATTGTTGGACGTTGCAGTACGTTACGTGCTTTTTGTCAACTGCGTCTCTCAAAAGGCAAGGCGTGCCTTGCGTCACACCTTTATACACTCAAATAAAAGTTTGAGTCAGAGCCTAAAGTCCGACCCTCATTCTGCGCCATTAGAGAATCGATCGATACCGGCATGATAAGAGCGATACTCTTTATTTAAAGTGGTATCTGTTAGTCCTTCCATGACTGTCATTTCCTCTCAGAGTTCATGTCGGAATTGAAAAGCCAAAACTTCATAGAGTCAATGTTTTCAGTTTGAGATCAGGATTTCACACCTCTGTAATGTTTGCACTAGAAAGTGTCTGCTTTCTTTCAAACAAGAGCTGCTCAATTCCACCATGAGGAAAGTTTTTTTTTTTTTTTGTCTTGTGTAAAGATAAATACCTCAAACTTGTTATGTGAATAAAACTGAATTTCAACCATTGAAGGAAAGGAGTTCTCCTACTTATTTAAGTTGACTCACCAAATTATAAACAATTCAGCGATGATTCTTTTTAATTTTTTTAAGTATTTGTATCATTTTTAGCAATACTGCCCATGTATTTACTTGGTATCGCATCGATACCGAAATTATTCTATATCCTGACGTCCCACATTACGTCCATCCAAATCACATGATTCTTAATTCAGATTTTTATACATATACATACCTTTTAATACTTATGTTTGCGTGAACCGACATGCCTCGTTGTCTCTTTGCTCCACCTGAATTTCCCCTCGATTCTACCATTTGCCACAGAAAAGAACAAACTTGCATCACTGTGGCAGCAGAAGGGATCGGGACGTGGTTTCCTGTTTAAACCTTGCGGCTACACGCTGCCCGCACTAAACAGCCGGCTCATCATGGGATGTCTATGAGTGGCCTTGCTGTCGTTTTAAAAGCCAAATAAACCAAACTCAAACAGCTGCGGAGCAGTTGAACGGACACACCAGACTGCTAGGTTCTGGTTTTGCATGCAGAGTTAAGCGTGCAGTCAGTACTGTAAAGTCATAATGTTAATGAAGAGTGAGGCTTCCTTCGATGGCAAGCTGTGGCAAGTTTAACTTAACTCATAAAACACAAGAGGATAAGGTCGTGAACTTTCACTCTCCTGTATTTGGGTTGTTTTAGTATTTTTCTGGTTTTGTAGTTTTGCTCGTATTATTTCTCTCTGTCGTTTTGAGCTTTGCATGCTCTCACTTTTTCTGTTACTATTTGCCCTGCGATTCCTCTGATTCTCCTTCACACTTGCGACCCGGTCCGATCGGCCAGCTGAACCAAGCGTCCAGAGTTCTGGCAGCTCGATCCAGAGCCATCCGGTTCCGGCATGTGGGAGCCCAGCTCCATCTCCGTGGGATAACCACAGATGAGACCAAGTACTTTCATGCAAGGGTGTAAATCTCCTCTCGTTATGGGGGCGTCGGCAAAGTTCAGTGTGCTTCAGAAAGTTTTTAAACCACATTTAGGCTGCAGGACCAAAAATGACCAGTAATGCACATCAAATGTGTTTTTCCAAGTAAGCAAACTATTGAGAAGTAAAACTAAAATTCAAATGTTGCTTCGATACGAGTTCTGTTCAGTCTGATCCAGTCTTCGCTCTGAGGCGTCTCCGGTTCCTTCGTCCTTTCCATCGGAGCCGGTCCGGCGGCAGGGTGTCCTCCAAGGTCTGATTGGGGCCGGGGAGGCCTGGGCTTGTCTCTTTTCGTCCACAGGGGGGCGTCCAGAGCAGGGGACGCAGAAGCAGTTCTGCTTCTGCGTCCCCTGCTACTACTAATGTACCCACTACTACTGTTGTTTCCTCCGCTGTTAAATCCAGCGTTTTAGTTGGATCTTTCCATCGCGGAATAAATGGTAAAAGCAAAGGCGAAATATTTATTTTATTAACGTTGTCTTACTGATAATCTTTTATGGGCTGTCTGTGGTGTGCTGACATTTATCAGCTATCAGTTTGTCTAAAAATGCATCATCAATACCAAGAGTTTTGCTACTTGTACGCATGTGAAGTAGAGGAAGTCTTGCCGCTGTTGAGTAACGGCAACTAAAGGAGCTTTTTGCAGCTGCTGTAAAGAAAATAAAAAACAAGGGATGAAAAAAAGAGATAACAATTTGCATTTTAATTATTTGGAGTGCGGTGGAAGGAGGCGGTTGCCCAGGGCACCATTCCTGCAAAAACCTTTACATGCAAAAAAAAATAAATAAATAAGTAAGACACATGACTTCTTCAGCTCTTTGCCACAAACTCCAAATGGAGATCATCTCTCTTATCTCGCGTAGTCGTTACATTTGTAGAATTTCAAATGGAACCTCTGCAGGATCCTTGTTGTCTTCCTCAACAGTGAGCACAGTAGAGTTTTCTGCTGCAGGTGTCCCCCATGCAGGTTAAGGCAGCTCTGCGGCTCCCTTGAACCTCGGTGGAGATAAGGGTGGCTGGAAACAGTCAGGAATGTTGATGAAGTATATGAAGCTCAGAATGAGCCCGGGTGGCTCTCATATAAAAGTCAGAGGCGTGGGGCTGGAGACGAGGGGTCTCCTTTTTCATCTGAAGACGCGTCACAAGCAGAGGCACAGGAGACGCCACCTCGCTGTTCTTGTCCAGACAGGAGCGTTCTCACATAATTAGCAGGTGTTTTTTTTTTTTTTGTTTTGTTTTTTTTGCTGCTTTGCATCCAGCTGTGCGCCGCGCCGGCCCATACGCTCACTGACGCTCCTGCCTGCTCGACATGAACCTGCTCTGCGTGACTCTCCTGACCCTCATGAAGCTCCACCGGAGCCCTGCGGGGGCGTCACCCCTCCGCGTCCCCGCCGCTCCTCCACAGCCTCCAGCCGGACCGCCTGAGGCCGACCAGAAGTTTGCGGAGGTGACTGAATGTTTTTATATGCTGCTTGTTCTGCAGGGGTTGCGAGGGGGGTGCCTGTGTGTGTTAAAATCCTCCTTAAAATTATAACTGATCAAATCTGAGCGACTTGCAGAGATGTGATGATGATCCATGCAATATTCTTGAAGTTGCTTTAATTTTTTTATTGATTTTTTTTTTTAAGATAAAGCTTCTTCTCAAACAAAAATGTAAAAAAAAAAAAAAGTGGTCTTTAGTCTTTAATTTCTTTCTTCAATAATGAAAAGTGATTATATTTGGTTACATTTCACCTGCTGACATCTCAAATGTTCTCCTTTTGAGTTTTGTTATTGTAAAACAAGACCCACATCATGCCTCGGAATGACAATCACAGAACTAATTTATCTCGGCTGAATCTCTTTGTGAAGCTTCGCCTGAGGCGCAATGTGGTCCTGCGATATTGGCAGGCGGGATTCTTCCTGTTCCTGGCTGCCAATTCCCCAATCTGCCTTCGATCTCGTCTGCAGGAGGCAACAGCGGCACGTCTTCACAGTCGCCATTATCTTGTGGTGACGGCAGACAAAATATGTAGACAGCCACACACCGAGTTGCTTCAGAAAAACAAAGTAGCATTCAGAGATGCGGAGATCCACTTTTATTTTGTTTTCCTTCCTTTTGTTTCCAATACCGATACAGATATCAGACATTCGGTATCTTCCCGATATCGATCCGATACGGAACAACAGAGCTGAATTGACTTGAAACGTTTGGTTTTGTAAACAGTGACATAAATGTGCCGAATGACGGATTTATTTCAGAATGCTGCGCCACTGTAAAACGCGTGAAGACAACACGACTTTCATCTGTTCAGTTCTGACTCTTTCAAAAAGCTCAGCCCCTCAGCGTTGAAGTAGTGCAACATTTTTCTTGTCGTCGCTGATGCTTACATTTGTTCTGGATTGTTCTTACAACAAATTCAACCCGTTAGACTTCGTGTCACAAGTCGCCATGTTTCGGGACACTAAGGAGCTACCGTATAATTTCGCGTTATTTTTGTATTTCTGCACGTTTTTAGGTTCTGGGGTTCAGACTATCTTGTCGTTGTGTTTGCTGACTCCAACACTTTCCTTGCACATTTCCTGTGACAGCTATTTTTTCGCCCGTGGCTCCAGACAGAACATGGCAGAGCTCAGGAAAAATGACCACCTTCTGCTAATTGAAACTCACATCCTCCTTGCTCCACCAATCAGAGCTCCTCTGCGCTTAAAACATCCCGGCTTTCATTTCTTGTGTCGATTTTGTTTTGTTTTGTGTATTCTGCTTCACGTTTGACCCAAAAATCCGCTAAAGACAAATGAACTTTTTTTCTTTTTTAGTTGAGTGGAAGAACAAACATTTGTGCACTCGACAATTCGTAAGCAACAGGATGTTGCCATGTTTTTCCAATGCTTTAATCCTGATCAATCTACCTGTCAGTGTTTTGGATACCGGTCAGGGTGATGTCATCTGACTCATTTTCACCCTCCATGGTAAAAAGGACACTGCACAACGTTCACAGTCTCCTTGACAGAGTTTGAAAAATGTCCCGTTTGCTGATTGGACAACTGGGGATCAAATGCTTTACCACTGGATTTGCTGACGGATCCCGTTCCAAATGTGACCCATCAACTGTACTTGGACATTTTCAACCAACTGCAATGAAATGAGCGTCAAACCCTGACAGGAACCCGTACAAACAGAGCAGCGGAGATTGAAGATACTGCCACAACTTAGCTGATAATATTTTCCTCCATCAACAGAGGAAAGATGTGAAAGTTGAAAGTTTTTCAAGCGAGTGTGATTTACCTGGGGCTGTTTGTGGCGAGAGGTTGCAGCATGTGTTTGAAGTGGTGAGAGTGTTTGTGGGACCTGGAATGACTTCAGTTTAAACACATTATCGTTTCTGCGTTGGCACGGGACAGCATCATGTTTGGACTGGACCGTGGCGATAAACGTCAATGTGCAATGCGTGGCTCTGTGTTACTGTTCAGAAATGTTTTACCTGAGTGCGTCGCCTCTCTTTCTGGCTGTTGGATTGGACTGAGCCCAGATTGAGCACGAGTGTTTGAGAGTCACTCGGATTTGTTTCCCCTCACTCACTGATCTTCACCCTGTCATAAATCACCAGGTTTCGTGGAGACTTTTGGCAGGAAACTGGATGTTTACTCGTCGGCTCAGCTTGTGTTTATGTTTCACTTTAGCGTTAGCAGTGTCTCCACAGCTGAACACAGGCATTAGTTCTTGCACAGAAACTTTCTCAAGTTTCTGAGAGTCATTAAACTTTTACTGAGTCACTAAATTTAAAATGAGTCGACAAAGGCATAAAAAAGCAGGTCATGATTTTAGAAACCAACTACTTACTTTAAGAGTTTAAAATTTAGTCATTTTTCAAGTTTCTTGACCATGAAGTTACTTTGACAAAATACCTGCAGGCTGAAAAAAAAAGCTGTGTGTGTTTACAAATCAGTGGAAACGCTGCAGGTCGGAGGAGGCGGAGCGTGTTTCAAAGCTGACACCTACGATTACATGTTTGCAGCGACGTTTACTGCAACATGCTGTCATTTAATGTACAAAAAAAAAAAAGAAAAGACACGTCTGCAATGTTTACTGTCCACGTGTGTTTGAAATTACACACTGCTGAATCACATAAATGCTGCCTTCAAAACATCGAATTTCCAAGGAAGCGGTTTCATGGTTTTCTCAGATGGACCAGATCGCATCTTTATGAAGACAAAAGTGTTGAAACACATGTTTAGTTCACAGGGTCCCCTGCGATTCTTCCCCACTTTAGAATAACAATACGGTATTTAATCGTAGACATAAATTTTCCTTTTTCACCAAAAACATCCAGGCCTGGCTGAAAATGTCCCAAAATCTTGTGGGAGAATTTGCTTTGGTGTCATGAAACCAAACTGGCCTACAATTCAAAAAAAGAAATGTCAAAGTCTGGAATATTGCGTACCAGCCGGGGTAACCTCTGCACAAAATGGAAGAGTGGTTTGGAGAAACACATTATTGAAAGAAAGTCGATGATCTGATCAGTTAAAAAACACAAAGCAGTTTTTTTTTCCCCTCTCTTTTTTTCAAAGCACTACCTTGTATTGCTTATTCTTCCACTTCACCATCGCAAAAATAAACCCGAGGACAATAAATCAGACCAAAGTGTGCGAAAACATCCACAGGAATATCTGCGGCGCTTCTACGGTGACCAGCCCAGGCCAGACAGACGGAAAAGGGCGGCAGCCTCCAGAGACGCTTCAAATCAGACGGCGGGGCTCTGCGACAAGGTGAAGAAAATGCAGCGTTTCTTTGGGTTGCCTCCGGACGGAGACCTGGGCGAGGAGACGCTGGCCGTGATGAAGAAGCCGCGCTGTGGGCTGTCGGACGTGGAGCGCCACGGGGGAGCCGTGCGCTGGAGAAAACGCACCATCAGCTACAGGTGAGGCAGGAGCTCACAACCCGGCACTTCAAGCCAACATAAGCATGCGGTCATGAAAGGTCAGTCCACCAGTCTGTGGTGGTTGTTGATGCAAAATACAAGGTTTTCCTAATAAAATGTAAAAATGCCCAAACAGTTGTGGACATTTCTTAAAATATTTTTGACACTTCTAATGTAAATGTAAGCAAGACAGCTTTGTACACGGGTCTCACAGAGACCATCATGAGTTCGACATTAAGCGAATCGTCCGCCAAAAGTTTAATCTGAAACTTTTGGCCCAAACAAAGTGGTTTTGTTTCCTGACTGAAATCAGAGCTGGGAGCAAAGCGACAAGGGAAAATGTAACGCTGAACAAACAAGTAAGTCAATGAGTTCACAGGTTATGGCAGCAGGAGACTCAAATCTTTTGTCCAAATTTCCTGGCACAGTTTTAGTCTTGATATTCCTGCTGACAAACTGAAAAACATTTTTAAGTCCGAGGCCAAAGTCAAAATAACCTTCTGGTTAAAGGACGGGGAGGAAAACACATTAAAATAAATCAGACAGGATTGAGCAGAACTCCATATTGTTTTTATTTACTTTTCCAAAGAAAAAAAAAATACATGCACTCCCATTTCTTTAACCACCAACAAGAAAGAAAGAGATCTTGTTTCAGACCACCCAGCTGTTGAAGCATTGCAGGTCGCGAATGAAAGTCGCTTTCCGTATGCACGAACACACACTCGGCTAAATTAAATCCCTTGAAACAAAGACATTTACATATTTACATTCCATTTTAGCAAGTTTAGTTCGCAGCCAAACATCAATCTGAGCCCAAACGCAGATCAGCCCATCAGCCCAGCTCCTGCAGGCATTGTGGTTTTTTTCCCAGTGAGGCTGATTGAACTTGTTGGCTCCCTGTCAGGACGACTCATTGGAGAGACTCCGAGAGCAGCGATGAGCAAAACATCATGAAGTTCAGTTAATGATCTAATCGACCAAGTTTGAATCCTTTCAAGTAGATCTACGCGAGTCAAAATACGCGTTTTGTGCATATAATATTTCACAAACAGCAACTATTAGTGAGGAGGTGAGCTCCTCACAGGAGTAAAGAGGGATTTGAAAAGATTTTTATTTTAGAAAAATAATGTTGCATGTTTTCTGAAGAGTGCATGTTTATTCAAAGATGTGGAATTCACTGCACATTTATCATGAAACATCATGGAAAGACAAGGCAGAGGCTACAGGCCTACAAATGAAGTGTCTCCCTCTGGCATCGGTTTGAAAAGCTTGTCGCGTGTTTAGAAGTGAGATCTCAAACGTATGAAACTGTTGCTGCAAGAGAACGCGCAGGAGAAGCTCACATGTATTCTCGCGAGCTTCGCTTATCAAGCCTGCGATAACTGAGGGATATTTAACTCTTCTTTGCGGCGGTTAAATGTGCCACACGGCTTCATGTGAAGTAAATGAAAATGTGTCCCTGTAGGATCGCTGGTGGAAATCTCCCTTTCCCAGCCAGTAGGACTCACAAAGCCATCAGGAGAGCGCTGCAGCTGTGGTCCAGCGTTTCCCTCATCAGATTCCGCAGGAGGGAGGCGAAGGAGGCCGACGTCAGCATCGCTTTTGTCAGCGGAGGTGAGCTCTGTGACGATCTAAAAACAAAACAGGCGTATCGTCTAAATGGATAACGCAGCGGTGTTTTCAGCAGACCACGGCGATGGATCTCCTTTCTTTGGCAAAGGGGGAAGTCTGGCTCACGCCTTCCTCCCTGGTCTAGGAATAGGAGGGGATGTGCACTTTGACTCTGAGGAGGAATGGACTTTGAATTCTACTGGTACTTTTAAAAGGAGTTCAATCAATGCTGGACTCCTGCTGCTGGTGCCCACTCCTAACATTACTCGGTGAGGTTTTGTACTGGTTCTGAATGTGTGTGACCTGTCACCCCACTTCAGGTATCAGCCTTCCTGTCGTTGCAGCTCATGAATTCGGCCACGCTCTCGGCCTCTCCCACTCGCCCGACCCCGGATCCATTATGTACCCGGCTTACAACTTTGCGCCCAGTTTGGAGCTCTCCTTCGACGACGTGCAGAGCATCCAGCACCTTTACGGTGAGCGTGAGTCCCGAGGCCTGTTGGCGTGTGGGTTGGGAGAAGTCCCTTCTCAGCGAGACAGTCGCATCCTCTGCATATCACGTCTTGCATTCGGCCAAAGAAAATTCTTCAGACTGAAGTTTCTGTTTGTATTTCTTGTCCAGAGCATTCTTCAGGTGATCACACAGATTTTTATTCATATTTGGTTCCTTCTTAAAGGAGGCAGCACTATGTATTTTCCACATACCGTCATCATAATGCACTATATAAAAGAAATCTGACTTCGTAATTTGACGCCTTGAAATCATCTCTGTCTCCACACAAAAAAAAAACAACACCCCTGTTCTTTCTGAAACTCTGCATTCGGGATTTATCAGAACATCGCTCCGTCATCAGCCCTTTAGCAGCGTCTTTAGCAACACTGCACTGAGAAGTAGCTCATGTACCAATGTCAGCAGATCAGTTCCACCAGGCGTTTGCTAATTGCTGCTGGCTAGTCGGGAGGAGCTGAGTGGGGGAGTCGCAGAGGAGGGGGAACGGTTGCCATGGGAAATTAAAGGATTTCTCGCTCAGCCGTTGCTTTTCGACGTAAATTCGGTCAATTCCAATCTGCCATCAGCGCCTCGTCTGGGACTTCTCCCACCGTGTCCGATTCCTCTGGCAGAATTTCAACTGGGCCAGTCGGCGAAAAGAAGGAAGAAGTTGTGAACGACGATGAAACAGTGTGGAAGTAACTCTTCGCACTTTTGAAGAGTCGTTTGCAACCTCTCTGCAAGCTGAAGGGAACGTATGAGCGAAAGCTTTTCAAAGTTTATTCCAAGCTCATCGGATTCTTTTGGTCCGACCTCGACCCGCTGACACCGCTCCTCACCACAGACATGCCCGACCATTAAAATCACGATCCCAAAAGAAATCGATTCACCCTAATTGAAGATCGTCTCAGCTTTTCTTAAGCTTAATTCTTTTTATGATGTTATAATATTATAATTTCCTTATCTTTCGTTGCCTTAGGTGAAAACCCCAACTTCCACCTACAGTCACTGAAAAGCCCTCCTCCCAAAACCCCCAACAAATGCGACCCCGATCTGTCCTTTGATGCCGTGACCGAGTTACAACAAGAGGTGGTGTTTTTCAAAGACAGGTGTGTGTTTCATCAAGGATGTAGCTTTTTCTCTTCCTGTTGAAGATCACTGACTTAACTCCGGAGCTTTTCTGACTTTGCAGATTCATGTGGCGAAAACATCCCAGTTTCGTCGAAACGCGCATCGCCCTCATCAGCAGCCTGTGGTCGGCCTCCGTACCGTCTCACCTGGACGCTGCGTACGAGAACGTGGAGAAAAACGTCATTTTATTTTTCAAAGGTAAGACACGATGGAGCGAGGACAGAAGCTCTACGCGAGTTTTAAAACCCTGAAGTACAAGCGCACACGAGACGTTCATGCGGTGGCTTTGACAAAAAAATAAAAAAGTATGTTTTTTTGCAGGCGATCAGTACTGGAAAGTCCAGCAGTTAGTTCTGCAGGAAGGTTTTCCCAGAAACATCTCAGACCTGGGCTTCCCCTCCAGAATAAAGTCAGTGGATGCTGCTCTGCACTTCAGAAACGACCGCTACACTGTGTTCTTCACCGGCCATGAATGTTGGAGGTCGGTCACATTCTCGCATTTCCCATCTTTTTCTCTAATTTGCCTGTTTGTGTTGTGCTGAGACAAAAAAGGTGAACAAATCTTACATTAAATTTGTAAAATCAACACAGAATCCACATGCATATCTCATCTAAAAGCGACAATTAACTGTAGGAAGGTGATGGACATCTGAAAGTAATCCAGGTTCTAATCTGCTAATCTGTCTGTATTCCAACCCTCACCTATGTTTATAGAGAGCGAGATCCTGGAAATAAGTGTCCAAAAGTCACTTCCACTGGATGGCGACTGGACTTAGTTTAGGAGGGAGTTCACAGCAGCCCTGTTTAGCCTGCTCTATTCAAACTCTAATTAATGTTTTATAGACTGTCTGCTTCATTGGGGGAGGTGGGAACACTTCATCCAACTCTGATGCGGACCAAAAACAGCAAACTCTGGTCCAACTAAAACTAAATACATGTCGCAAAGAAAGCGTTGCCAAATCACCCAGATGTCTGATTATCCATCAGCATTCTGACAAACTCTGTCATTGGGTATATCAGATGTTCTGCTTCCTTTTCAGTTCTGATGAAACAAGAGAACAACATTTTTCCCATGTGAATGCAGAAGAATATTTTGACCCACACGGTGTATCATTTTGTCACTCAGTGAACCCAAGAAGCAAATTACCTCTGTTTACCCAAATATGTGTCACATTTAGGTACAATGAACTGCGGGGCGTGATGGAGGGATCACCAATGCTCATCGAGCAACAGTGGCTGGAAATCCCATTCCCTATCGACGCAGCTGTCTACTACCAGGGTAGCTCAATAGTCTCTCCTGTTTGTTTTTCTTGTGGCTTTAGAGAAACAAAACGGGCAGGAAACGCAGTTTCATTTGTCTTTGAAATCAGCATTTTTTGGGGGGTAAAAGCCGTTGTTATCTTCCGCTGTATTTTAAGGTTGAATTTCGACTTGAAAGTATATTTTTCATTCAGAATCTGTCTTTAAGATACAAACCTACATATTTGTGTTATTGTCTGCCAATAGCTGTGTTTCAAGCCTGTTATAAACCATGAAGAATGTCCAAAAACATCCCTTCAATTAGCTTCAGGTCAATAACATTAAATCTACATTTGTCACAGTCATCATCAATGAGTGCTATTGCATAAAGAGGTTGCGAAAGCATTCATACCCCTTTATTATTTATTACTTATAGTGGATAATGTACCTGGCGAGAATAAAATGGTGCGAGAATTTAAAATAGTTTTACAAATAAAACCTGAAAACTACAGTGAGTCTGGTTTCTACCAGCTTTATGTGAAGGGCTGCAGTTGTGTCGTACCTTTTCAAGTTCAGATGATATTATTTCATAACCAAACTTTTCTTTAGAGCACAGCTTGTAAATACCTTATGAAGCACTCTGTCTGAACCTCGTTATCGACTCTTTGTTTCCTGCAGGATTTGTGAACTTCTTCAAGGGAAACAAGCAATATAAATACGACTTTGGCCAGAACCGCGTTGTCTCCGTCAGCAGCGCTAACGACCTAATGGACTGCGAGCTGGGAAAGAGTAACAAGCACATATTCTGATGACGAAATGGCCCGATGATGACATTGCAGTGTGTGTAGTCACAGGGAACTGGCTCTGTCCGGCAGCAACCACAGTGTTTGTAACAGTGGGATCTAGTAAATACTGTAGGGAAGTGGTTAAAAGTCATACCTCAGTGTGTAATAGTGTTGAAAGAAAGGAAATTTATACAATCCATCAAAGCCATGTACAATTAAAAAAAATGTTTCTTTAATTTGTCTACTTTAAGTGTTTGTTGTTGTTGTTTTAAGATTTGCAACAAATATTGAATGAAATGAATGACGGTTATAAGTATTAGATACGTTTCCTAAACAAAAAGAGATTAAATGTGTATGGGTGCCCTTGAGCAAGTCACTCCACCCACCTTGATGGTGGTGGTCATGATGGCAGCCTCGTTCCGGTCAGTAGCTCGTCATCACCAGTTTGTGAACGTGCCATTTGAGACGTCAATTTGATAAAAGGGCATTGTAAATAAAATCACTTTTTGTTCTTCTTTTTGAAACTGTGACTTTGTCGTCTGTGACCTGGAATATAAAACCTGTCTCTACATATTTTCATGAATAAAACAATAATATATGGTTCCATATTCTAGTAAATGTTTATTATTGACATTTTCTTCGTGAGTATCTGGAATCGCTGTTGACGAACTTTTGGCACACGGCACATTGCTCATCAGACACTGTCGTTCCTCTCACCGGCCCGTGTTGTGCAACTGTCAGCTGAATGCAGCTTCAGATTCACAATGCAGAACATGCAAGACTTATGTTTGCGATGCTGGTCAAGACGCCTCCTTGGTGTAGAACCATCCTGGCGGGAGGAGAGTTTCTGGATTGGGAACTTGAGGGTCTCATCTTTACTTTTTGTGGATGATATTCTGTTGGCATCTTCAGGCCACGGCCCTTCAAGTTGGACTGGAGCAGTTCCCACTTTGAACCAGCTGGGATAAGAGACAGCGCCTCCGAAGTCTTGGTTCTCAACTAGTGAAAGCTTGGCTGCTCCCTGCAGGTTGGAGGTTCAGCCTCTGCTTCAAGCAGAGCAGTCTCAGTGTCTTGGTGTCTGTGAATGACGGTACGACTGCAACGTCTTGCAAATCTTGAGTTTAAAGAAGGTTCATGAAAACAGTGTCATGCATGCACAGCTGCAGACTAATGGGGTTTGTAAACTTCAAGCCCCATTTCCCACTGATACCCTGAGCCTTACAAGTCATGACAGGGTTGTGATATATACTTAATCATTTCCTATCTGATTTAAATAAACCATTTAAGCAGAATCATTGTGTTTTCTTCACCACGCGTTATTATGCATATAAAACAGGTTTGCAGCATTAACACACTGGGAGTACTGCATTTGTCTGATACAGGAAAAGTTTTCCCATGGTGCATGTGGACGCTATTAATGAGTCATAATTACAGTGAAATGCTTTGGGAACTTTCGTGTCAAGTGAATGAAATTCTCCAGAAAAAGCGTAACTTAGTCCAGTATGTAGTTGCTCAACACAGCCTGTCCAGGCCCTTTATAACGGCTCCATCCAGGTGGGAGACACAAGTTGAGTTCAACAAGGAAACATGAAGACGTTCACACTGAGTTTTCTCCTGAGCCTTTCGGCTGCGGTGTTCTGCATGCCGGTGTCGCAGCCTACAAACCAGGACGAGCAGTTTGCAGAGGTAAGTGCATTTGACGTTAATTTAACGTACCGGGCAGTAAGAAACTTACATACTCTTTTAATTCAACAAATGATGTGTTGACTAGCAAATGGAGAGCAGCAGACTGAAGCCTGTCTGTTCTTTCTCTCCACCAGGACTACCTGAAGAGGTTTTTCAACCTGACAGAGGAAAGAGGTCCGTCGTTCAGAGGTGGCATCAGCTCAGTGTCCAAGAAGCTGATGGAGATGCAGAAATTCTTTGGCCTTCAGATAACAGGGAACCTGGATGCTGACACCTTGGCCATGATGAAGAAGCCACGCTGTGGCGTCCCAGACGTTGCGGAGTACTCCACTTTTGGAAACAATGTGAAATGGGACAAGAATGACCTCACATACAGGTGAGAGATCTCAAAAGATCACCTGTTCAGTGATGTATTATCACAGATGTTGCATGTGGTTTAATGTGGAGCATTTCTCTCTTCTTCAGGATAGAGAACTACACACCAGACATGCCTGCAGCAGAGGTAGATGAATCCATTGAGAAAGCTCTTCAGGTCTGGGCCAAAGTTACTCCCTCAGATTCACAAGGATTTACAGCGGCATAGCAGACATCATGATCCTTTGGTAGTGGAGGTGAGTATCAAACGCTTTTTGCAATTACTGCATTAGAAGTTGTAAAAGTCTTTTCTTTGTTTGTTTCAATCAATGAAATAGGTTTTTTCAAACAGCACACGGTGATTTTTACCCCTTTGACGGCCCTGACGGTACTCTTGCCCATGCTTTCGCTCCTGGTCCTGGTATTGGAGGAGACGCCCACTTTGATGAAGATGAGACCTTTACGTTCCGCTCCAACAGAGGTAAGTTTCTTTCTTTACATCATCAGTGACTGTTCTCTCAGAACTATTTTCAACTTGACTGGTCCTACAAAGAGGAGTAACTCATCTTCTGTTCCCCAGGCTACGTCCTCTTCGCGGTTGCAGCCCATGAGTTTGGACACTCTCTGGGTTTGTCCCCTCTAATGATCCTGGTGCTCTCATGGCCCTTTTTACTCGTACCGAAACCCAGACACGTTGTTTTTGCCAAGATGATGTCAGAGGCATCCAGTCGCTTTATGGTTGGTATCATAATATGTCCTTCGTTTTCTTTTTAACAAACTAACAATAGAGTGAAAAATTTTTCTGAACTTGTCCATTATTAAGTACTGGGATTGAATTTTAATACACAGGTAAAAACGAGGATCCAGTTCCTCCTGGACCAACTGCTCCTCCCCTCCTGATGCCTGTGATTCCTCCCTGGTCTTGGATGCTGTTGCCTCACTGCGAGGAGAGATGCTGTTCTTCAAACGGGTAGAGTAGAAACTTAAGTCTCCAATGACGCCAGCTGGAGTCAACTATTTATCTTGCCAGAAAAATGCTCCAAGATGTGTTTTAAGTTTCTCTATATCTTTTTCAGAATCTTTGGCGTATCTACCCCCAGAGTTACACCCCTCAGCAAACTCTCATAGCAAACTTCTGGCCCAGCGCCCTGAGTGTTGATGCTGCTTATGAGAGTCACCTCTTAGACAGAGTCTTTCTCTTCAAAGGTATTTGATTTCTGTCTTTGTTGACTGATAGTATTTTTGCACTACCAAAATAGTTTCACCCAAATAACCACTTCAAAACCTTTGTTTGACAGGTCGTCAAGTTTGGGCGTTCAGTGGCTATGATCTGGTTCAGGATTATCCCAGATCCATTTCCAGCTTTGGTTTGCCCAAGGACATCAAGAAAGTCGATGCGGCCCTCAATGACCCAGAGACTGGCAAGACTCTGTTCTTCGTTGGCAGCAATTATTACAGGTGTGTTCAAGCAAGACCAGAAATCAGTGGTGAAATGTGGAATTTCAATTAGAGTGCAGGAATCTTTTGTTTTTTCTATTCTAGTTTGCATCCAAGCAACATGCCTTTCTGCTTTTCAGTAAGAAATAATAATCATATTTTATCTTGTCCTTTTCAGCTACGATGAGAATACAAAGTCGATGGACTCAGGATTCCCAAAGCGAGTTGATGAAACCTTCTCAGGAATGACCAGGAAGGTGACGGCATCTTTACAGTACAGAGGTGAGTCACTTTTAAACCACATGATCAATGAAATGACTAAACGACTGCATTGATTCTGTCCAATCCAGTTCATTTTTCCTCAGCAACACGTATCGTCTGCTCTGCAGGTTTCACCTACCTCTACAGTGGTCCCTACATGTACGAGTTCAGCTCCAGGACAGGGCGGATGCTGCGTCTGCTGAGAAACAGCTACTTCCTGCCCTGCACCAACTACTAGATCAGCTTTTGACGAAAACCAGTGAAGGTTCAATTAATGCCAAATTTACATCCGTAATGTATAACAGTAAACCTTTTCATGCCATTGTTTTGTGCAATAGTTTTAGGTAAATAATGAACCTTCTTCTATAAAGTCTGTTTTTGTATTTATTTATTTTTTTAATTACACTATCTTTGTGTTTATTTCAGTTTATTTAGATTATTTAGACTGTTCTATTGTTTTACCATTTTCCAATAAATAATTCAAATGTCAGTTTTGCTGAATGAATGTGTATTCCTTTTTGAGTCTGTATGACTAAACCATCTGAAGGGAAGGATATCATCAGAACAAAAACAACTTTTTGTGTATAGTCACATGTCAATGTTATAATTTGAAATTATTTTCTTGAAATAAAAACATCCTGAACGATAAAAGTTGATCCTCTGACTTGTGCCCGCAACTGAGTTTGGTGAATGTTCTGTACTTGCACAGCACTTAAAAAGTCCAGATGATTCACACTTTTCACAAATCGCTCATTCACTCACTCACACTCACTCACTCGCTGATGGAGGCGGTTTATGAATATGGACGGTCGTCTGGGGCAGTCGAATAGCAGTCTGACTGGGGCCAGGCTGCCGTGCACCGGAGCCACTCGGCCCTCTGACAGCCGCAGGCGAGGCGGGTGCAGTGTCTTGCCCAAGGACACAATGACAGATTTCTGCATTATTTGTAACCGCCTGACGGAACTTGCATCACTGCCTGAAGGCTGGAAATATAACAGAGACGAGTTTGGAGGCGCTTGCTTTTACTTGCCATTTTGGGGAAAACAGCTCTAACACTGGCTTCCACTGACAGACCCTGGAGAAGAGGGGACATAGGAGAAACAACGTAACTGCTAATACATATCCTAACAAACACTTGAAGCCTTCAGAGTGCAGCTGAATTCCTACTAAATTACGTGCAGCTGGACTCTGTACACTAATTACTTCACTGCAACTGGTTTGAGCGTAAATTCAGTTCACACAGAATTGCATTCGGGAGAATCAGAAGAAACGTGGCAGAGAAGAGGACAAAAGCATAACACATTGTTTATTAATAAATACAGAGTGTTTATTAAAGAAACAAATGCTTTTTGAAAACCGAGAACGCATCTATTTCCTTCCACCTGACAATTATTCACTAAATTGTACTGCTCTCCTACTTGAAGTCCCAGAAAACTTCCATAAGGTTTGTGGTTGCCACTTGACAAAATGTGGAAGCAGCGACAGGTTGTGTTTTTCTGAAGCGCAGCGACTGAACCTCCTTTTGGATTCTTGATTTTCTGCATCACATGGGACACATACTTGCATCACGTACTCTGATGACGAAATAGTTCAATGATGACATTGCAGAGGGTGTACACTCACAAGGAACTGGATCTTTCCAGCAATAACAATAATGTTAGCAACACTGGGAAACTAATAAATACCGCAAGCGATTGAAAGTAACGCCTCAGTGTCCAATAGTGTCGAAAGAAAGAGAATTTATTCCATCTATTGAAGCTGTTTGCAAATTAAACATGTTTTTTTTTGTTGTTTTGGTTAATTTTTTGTACTTTATGCATTTTACTTTTTAAGATTTGCAACAATTGTTGAATTAAAGGAATGAGAATAATATTTGTATTAAATATGCAACTAAAGAAATTATATCTACCTTTAGATTCTTTCCAAAATGATGATGTGAACAGTGCCTGCAATGTGGAAAATAATAATTATCTTTATGATTAATGCAATAATATGTGCGTTTTTAGTACTGTAAAGCATTTTTGATGTATCTACAATCAGTCCTGTTGAGCAAATTTTTATAGACGGGACATTGCTTGTCGTTCCTCTCAGCGTCCCGTGTTGCACAACTGTTGACAGAACGTAGCTTTCCACTCACAAAGCAGAACATACCGGGCTTAGGTTAATAAAGATCTATGGGAGTGGACAGTAAATCTACATGCTGACTCACAAAACTCTCTAACCTGTCAGAGTTTAGATTTCCTGTGAATCAGCAGATGTCACCTGAGCGTTCTTCCGCAATCAAAGTTGCAGCAGAATTAATCATGTCTGCAGATTTACGATCTGAACATAATAGAATCAACCAAAATATTAATTTGGAAGCCGTAATTAAATGCAATTGTTTGACAAGAAGTAGAACCGAAAGGCACAAAGAGAGATAATGTCGACGGAAAGGGTCAGGTTTCAAAGGTTTCAAGAGTAAAGGCACTACGATGTGTGGGAGACGCACGGGAACCGTCAGCATACGTTGGAGTTGACTGAACTGTGATTCAGGAAAAGGCTTTCAAAGGGCGAACTGTACAGAAAAGGTTTCGAGCGCTCCATAACTGTGTCCCGTTAAATGTATGACAAGTGTCTGGTAGCTCTCCCAGGGGGTAAAGAGAGGTTGGAGGTCTGGTTTATTGTTTGGTCCTTAGGGAAGATGGGGAACCAGAGTCATCAAAGGGTCATTTAACCCTTTCATCCCCGAAGCAAGAGCTACGTCTACAGTCTTGGCATGAAGCTCGTCAGAGTGTGGGTTGGACGCCACTAGGACTGTCCCTCGTCCCGTGTGTGGGGGGTCTTGTGTGTGGTGTTCTTGAGCTTGATCACAGTCATATTTAAGTGTAAAGCATGTGGGTCAGGAACTTCAGGGTCTCATGTTGGCATGTGATTTTCTCCTGGTGTTTTAGGTCACCAAAGTGAGTGTACAGTGTGAAGCAATCGTGGTGAGAGTCAGTACATCAAGTCTGAATAAATGGTTCTCAGTCAGAAAAAGCTGAAAACAAGGGGATCTGTTTTTGCTGCAAGCAGAGGAGTTCAAGTACATTGGTGTCTTCTTCGCAAGCTGGACCATGCAAAGGTCTGAGCTTAAAGCAAAGCTAATGCTATTTCTGTCTATTGACGCATTGACACTTACCTTTGGTCAAGTATTATGGGCAGTAAATTAAATGCTGAGATGCCACACAAGCAGCTGAAATGGCTGGCTCAGTGAAAGGGTGGGGAGCGCAATTATTTGGAAGTGGAGCTGCTTTCTACAAAGAAAAGCTATGAGTTATGAAGTTCATTTCACCATCTGATCAAGGAGCTTCCGGAACTCCTCCTTGTAGGGAATGTCCCTTTTAGGAGACCGCAGGTTAGACCCAGAACACAGTGGAGAAACTGGATCCCTCTTCTGATCTGGAAGTATTTTGGTATCCACAGCAAAAAAGTGTTGGTTGAGGAGAGGAATCTGGGTTTGGATGGATAACTTAATAAAATATTAATTTGGCAACTTCTTGACAATGTGTCTCCTGTTTATTTCGGATCGATTTTAAAAAGATATAATGTACAGAAGGCTGTCCCACAAGGATGAGGTTGTGAGCTTTGGTCTTTAATTCAACACTGACACCCACAACCCTCAATCGTGAAGAGGATTTAGTATGAAACATTTATTTGTAATTCTTTTACAATTGAGGTTTTTTTTTTTATTGAAATTAATTAATTCAGAACTTTAAGTTATTAAAATCGGTTAATGAAGACAGGTAATATTAAAAATGTTTGCAATACACATTTTAAGTGTGTGAAATCATATAAATTATTCAATCAAAACAAATATATATTTTTTTGACAATCCCTTAACAAACTGGTAAAATATATTAGCACCACTAAAAGAAACTTTACAGTGCCATAACTTATTTACAATTTTTGTTTCTTTTTATGATATAGGGAAAATCTTCCTATACTACATGTGGCAACAATACAGAGCACGTCATAATTACAGTGGCTTGTTTTGGGGAAATTCTGTGTCGGGTGAACAATCAGCTGTAAACTTCCTCTGCTACCCATAAAAGGAGTCAAGAGTCACTCTCTCAAGTATGTAGTTGCTCAACACAGCCTGTCCAGGCCCTTTATAACGGCTCCCTCCAGGTGGGAGACACAAGTTGAGTTCAACAAGGAAACATGAAGACGTTCACGCTGAGTTTTCCTGAGCCTTTCGGCTGCGGTGTCTGCATGCCGGTGTCGCAGCCTACAAACCAGGACGAGCAGTTTGCAGAGGTAAGTGCATTTGACGTTTATTTAACGTACCAGGCAATAAGAAACTTAAATGCTCTTTTAATTCAACAAATGATGTGTTGACTAGCACACGGAGAGCAGCAGACTGAAGCCTGGCTGTTCTTTCTCTCCACCAGGACTACCTGAAGAGGTTTTTCAACCTGACAGAGGAAAGAGGTCCGTTCAGAAGTGGCATCAGCTCAGTGTCCAAGAAGATGATGGAGATGCAGAAATTCTTTGGCCTTCAGATAACAGGGAACCTGGATGCTGACACCTTGGCCATGATGAAGAAGCCACGCTGTGGCGTCCCAGACGTAGATGTTTCTCAATTCTCCACTTTTGGAAACAATCTGAAATGGGACAAGAATGACCTCACATACAGGTGAGAGATCTCAAAAGATCACCTGTTCAGTGATGTGTACTATCACAGAAGTGGCATGTGGTTTAATGTGGAGCATTTTTCTCTCTTCTTCAGGATAGAGAACTACACACCAGACATGCCTGCAGCAGAGGTAGATGAATCCATTGAGAAAGCTCTTCAGGTCTGGGCCAAAGTTACTCCCCTCAGATTCACAAGGATTTACAGCGGCATAGCAGACATCATGATCTCCTTTGGTAGTAGAGGTGAGTATCAAACGCTTTTTGTAATTACTGCATTAGAAGTTGTAAAAGTTTTTTCTCTGGTTGTTTCAATCATAATAAAATATATTTTTTCCAACAGCACACGGTGATTTTTACCCCTTTGACGGCCCTGACGGTACTCTTGCCCATGCTTTCGCTCCTGCTCCTGGTATTGGAGGAGACGCCCACTTTGATGAAGATGAGACCTTTACGTTCCGCTCCAATACAGGTAGGTTTGTTCATTGCATTGTCAGCAACCACTCTCTCAGCCCTTCCTACGTCATTTGATCAACAAGAGGAGTAACTCATCTTCTGTTCCCCAGGCTACGTCCTCTTTATGGTTGCAGCCCATGAGTTTGGACACTCTCTGGGTTTGTCCCACTCTAACGATCCTGGTGCTCTCATGGCCCCTATTTACTCGTACAAAAACCCAGACACGTTTGTTTTGCCACAAGATGATATCAGAGGTATCCAGTCGCTTTATGGTAGGTATCATAAAATCCATGTTTGAACAAAATAGCTTAGGCTAACATTGTTCAAGAACCTCTCCATAATTGATTCCTGCAACTCAGCTCTGATACACCATCTATTTTTCAGGTAAAAACGAGGATCCAGTACCTCCTGGACCAACTGCTCCTCCCACTCCTGATGCCTGTGATTCCTCCCTGGTCTTGGATGCTGTTGCCTCACTGCGAGGAGAGATGCTGTTCTTCAAGAACGGGTAGAGTAGAAACTCAAGTCTCCAATGACGCCAGCTGGAGTCAACTATTTATCTTGTCAGAAAAATGCTCCAAGATGTGTTTTAAGTTTCTCTATATCTTTTTCAGAATCTTCTGGCGTATCTACCCCCAGAGTTACACCCCTCAGCAAACTCTCATAGCAAACTTCTGGCCCAGCGCCCCTGAGAGTGTTGATGCTGCTTATGAGAGTCACCTCTTAGACAGAGTCTTTCTCTTCAAAGGTATTTGATTTCTGTCTTTGTTGACTGATGGTATTTTTATGCACTACCCAAATAGTTTCACCCAAATAACCACTTCAAAACCTTTGTTTGACAGGTCGTCAAGTTTGGGCGTTCAGTGGCTATGATCTGGTTCAGGATTATCCCAGATCCATTTCCAGCTTTGGTTTGCCCAAGGACATCAAGAAAGTCGATGCGGCCCTCAATGACCCAGAGACTGGCAAGACTCTGTTCTTCGTTGGCAGCAATTACTACAGGTGTGTTCAAGCAAGACCAGAAAGCAGTGGTGAAATGTGGAATTTCAATTAGAGTCCAGGAATCTTTTTGTTTTTTCCTATTCTAGTTTGCATCCAAGCAACATGCCTTTCTGCTTTTCAGTAAGAAATAATAATCATATTTTATCTTGTCCTTTTCAGCTACGATGAGAATACAAAGTCGATGGACTCAGGATTCCCAAAGCGAGTTGATGAAACCTTCTCAGGAATGACCAGGAAGGTAACGGCAGCTTTACAGTACAGAGGTGAGTCACTTTTAAAACCACATGATCATTGAAATGACTAAACGACTGCAGTGATTCTGTCCAATCCAGTTCATTTTTCCTCAGCAACACGTATCGTCTCTGCTCTGCAGGTTTCACCTACCTCTACAGTGGTCCCTACATGTACGAGTTCAGCTCCAGGACGGGGCGGATGCTGCGTCTGCTGAGAAACAGCTACTTCCTGCCCTGCACCAACTACTAGATCAGCTTTTGAAGAAAACCACTGAAGGTTCAATTAATGCCAAATTTACATCCATAATTTATATTAATAATAATAAGAATATGACCTATTTATGCTGTTGTGTTGTCATATAGTTTCAGGTAAATAATGAACCTTTCCACTTAGTGTAGGGTTTTTATTTTATTAATGTTTATTTATAATGTTAATGTATTCTGGTTTTTATATCAAAATGTTTTTTTTCAAGTTATTCTAACTTTATTTTTATTATAATTTATTTGGACAGTTCTATTTTGTTATTTGCATTTTACAAGTTAATTTGTTACATTCGTTGTACAAATGTGAGGGCCTTTTGACTGCCTCAACAAAGTAATATTACAAATAAAATTGCACAATAAAAAACTGTTGTTTTGTGTATTTTTGTGTAGTTCAGTTATTAGAATTTGAAACCAACCAATTTCTTCATGAAAAATATATGACCATGCATCAACTATGACGTTGTTCCCCTCACATGTTCTACCCCAATTCAAGTTGTACGTTTTTACATGTTTACATTCATCAGGTCATCTTAATAAAATAAATGTGTTGTGATCAAATATGTGATTCTGATTGTTCAATGACAAAATAAACAATTTATTTTTATCAGTTCAACACAAATATGCAAACTTGAATAAAAGTGCAATTAAATTTAGTCTGAAATATTGATCCTTACTATGACTGTAAACATAATAAATAACACTTTTACAGCTATTTTGACTTTTCCACCATAACAAACATAAATAACACTTTAGCACAGATGGCTGATTCTCCATTTTAATACCGGTAGTTTGCAGAGGCGTTAACTCAACTCATGGAGCTTGAAATCAAATCACAAGTTTAATAACGTTAGACTTAACTTGATGAAATCGCAAAATGTAATATTGACATGCACTTTGACACCAATGACTTTTTACTTCCTCAGGATTTGAGTTGTTTACTTTAAAAATACTTGATATCCAATACCAAATATAACCTGTTACAACTGAGCTGTACCTGTACACTGGGAGAAGGCAGAGGAATTCAATCATTGTCAGATAATCTCTCAACATATTGACAGATTTAACAAATGTGTACTTTATGTGAATAAAAGTGGCAAACTGCAGCTTTAATTTCACTTCGGAGGGATGTGGCAACAGATTTCAATAATTTAAATACAAGCTAAGGAGGACTATCTGGACTGACAAGTTTTCGTCACAATTTTATGAATATTGCTTGATTTCATGTCACTAATAAATATATTGTTTTGTTGTGTGGTTGTAAAAAGAGCAGTGAAACAGGAAAAATCGACATAGACTCCCTGGAATGATGCTAACTAGCTTGTCACTGAATTCAGTGTTGCTCTCCGTTTTCACTGGGACAGGAAGGAGGGATTATTGTGATATTGTGGTTAGAGCTGCTGCTGTCTGACTCGTCTGTTGTTAAGTGTGCTCAGAGGAACAAGTTAAATATATAAATATGCTGGTAGATATGTTTCCCTTTGTTCTTTAAATGCTAGCGAAATGGAGGCAAACGGTTAGCTAAGCTAACTATGCTAAAAGGTCAATGATCTCTACCCACCTCTCTTGGAGACAAATTGACCCTCTTGTCTTTTTTTCTGTTTCTCCTATTGAAAGTCTGACTTTATCATTTTTCTTTCACCATTACATTAATAGTTGTTCTTGTCTTCTGCTGAACACCGTCGCCGTTGAGCGCCAAGCAGGAACGAGCCGTTTCGTGCAGACCCAGGAAGGCTCAGGGCAAATATGGACGTCTTGCTTTTTGGTCTACAAGGGGTAACATTTCATTCTTACTGAATTCAGTGTTGTATGTTCAAGTTAAACATACGGAGTATAAACCATGACAAGAAATCAGATAACTTTTAACTGAAATCATACACAACAGACACCCAGAAAACAACCTTTACAGATGTATAAATCTGCAGTGGGGTGAATGAAAAGACTGATTTTTCTCTACAGCTATTGCCGCGGTGATGGAGCCACAAGAGTTTCATCCTTCTTTTTAAAAATCAGCTCGGCTGCTGATGCCTGCTCAACTCCCAATAGCCTTTCTGGCTAATTCAGCAATGTGCTCCAGTATTTTAGGATCTTGATTAATACTAGTTAATCTCACGACTGAAGTGTGGTTACTGTTATCGTAAAAACTGAGGTGTTTTCTTGAAGCTAATTGAGTCATGGGACCTGAAGAATCACTTTTATCCGTCTTTATGGAATTTCAGGTTTTATTTAGACATTATTTATGATCTGAAATAATAAATTGGCAGTTAATTCTCACGTTTGGCGCTGCAATCTGAAAACTTCTCAATAATAGAATTAAATGGTAAAATTTCCAGCATTTCTTTCATTAAAATTTCAGAATTTTCTAGTTTATGTCATTATTATGTCTGCACTCCAAGTCTTTGGGTTTTGAAAGAAAAACCCAAACACAGACGGTGGATCCACTCAAGTTCAGGATTTGACTGGAGACTTGCATGTCTTGAGTTTGGGAGCTGAGTATTAGTGGAGACGAACCTGTGGTGTGAAAAGCAATAGCGACCCCTGGCGGTCACTGATATTATCTGCCCTGATGCTGAACCTGTGAGAGGTTCTTTCATTTGCAGACACTCTGACTTTAGAAGTTGCTGAAGACATTAGTTTCAAAACACAATTATTCCAAATAGGAAGACTCGTCTCCTGTAAAGGCCGTCTCTGTGCATGTGTTTTAAAATTAGAGATATTACCAAAGAACCCACTTTATTATTAATAGTTTAATTTAAAATGTCTGGTTCAGTGGTTCTGTCAGCTGACTGTTTTATACAGCTGATGAGGGGGAAAAACCTGAGATGCTTTATTTTTTTTCTACATCCTTGATATGTGTGGGCGGGGGGGATTTCCATTAGTTTTTCTACTGATTACACCATGTAAAAAAGTTCAGATGATGACAAGCCTCTATTTATTGGTGACCATTTGCTCCTGTGGAAATTGTTAAAGCACAGAAGAATTATTTCCCGGAAATTGTTTTACAGCCAGCTGTGGTCAGGCTGTAAAATCTGATTGCAGGCAGGCTCTTCAGATTCCAAGTTAGTAGCTCAAAAACTTTGGTCACTTTGTTGTGTAATGGTTGTGAGAAATATGACCATTCAGGGAGCACAGGAATAACAGAGAGGAGCAAAGTTGCTGACAAGCCTGGTCAGAAGAAAACAAAAGTGGAAGTAAAACAGTCAGTATTTGATTTTATTGTGCTGTTGCACATGGTTCGCATTCAACAGTTACTTGTGAAAGACGTTGTTGCTGTAAATTCCCTGGTCATTTAAAACAAGGGCTGTTTCTAAGATGACGGGAAAGCGGGAGCAACTCCTGACTGTCCCCAGTAGTAACTTGTAATGCGTTTGAAAAAAACAACAATAAGAAACTTCTCTAATGCAAATATCATCAAACCAGTAAACAGTTTATAAAGTTACTCATCCAAGTCACTGTGCGTTACCGATTTTGTCATTTTTCGTTCTAAAAATGTTCTTCCGCCGTGGTGAACGGCATTACACATGCGACAAGTCAGCGTGAGGATGCATCATGTGTAACACACATCAATCAGGAACCTGAACATAACCAGGGGAGGAGAAGGAGGCATGTTTTCTAGCTGGAAATACCGTCACTATTCTAAATGTATATGTTTCAGGGTTTTTTTTAATATGACAAACATGTAGTTTCCTGAAAAAACATGCCAGGAGAAACGTTGTTGAAGTCACTGTTAAAAATGTCCTAACGAAGGGAGTACTCGCAAGATTGCTTGTGATTTTTAGGCTGAGGACTTGTTGGGTCTGTTTTAGTTCCCAACCTGCGAGGAATCAACCAGAGACACATGTGTCTTTTCTGCAGGAGAGGCGAGAGAAGCCAGACACGGAGAACCGCAGTCAACTCCAGCGGCTCTCAGCTCTCGGCTGCTTTTTTTTTTTTTACCACAACAAGGAAAAGTGGGTTGGGTTTCTTCACGTCATCACACAAGCAGGTCCGTCAGAGACTTCTGCCACTGGATTTTCTGGGACGCAATGTGGTTACATCCTTACGAGGAACAAAGCTGACTAGTCCAATATAGGCAGTTTGATAACACCAGAAGAGTGAGTAAGCATTTCTAATCTCCAAGCAAACATCCAAAGAACAGTTAGTAATCTACCATAAAAGAAAAGGGGCCACGAAGGAATAATAATATGAAAACATGACCTTTCAGATGAACTCATAATTTAAATGAACTTAGATAGTAATTTTCTCAACAGGAGGGGTGGCGTTGTTGACAGCTGCTGGATGTAACTAATTAAATCTTCCACTGACTGAAGTCCATGAAACCAGAGAGTCTTTGGCTCACATACTTGCTTTATGTGGTTAAGGTGGTCTTCTGACCTTCTGCATGCAGTGGCGCGATCCAAAGTTGTGAATGAATGTGTACTGTCACCTCTTGTCAGTGGGCCAGTTTCTGCCACAAACATTGTCTACCCCTCTTTTATATACATAACTATAAAAAAAATTCAATCCATACAATGTTGTCTGAGCAACAAGAACCTGTGAAGGTCAGTGAACCCAACCTTCAGCGGATCCACTGATCATAGGATCCAATATTTTGTACCTATTTATGTGATTACAAAAAACTTTTGGTATCCTTTTTCAGGAAGAGCTCAAATCTTTGACACTTTTTGAGTGAGGTACTACTTCCCTCATTTCTGGTACCAACAGATCTATTTCTATGGAGCTTCAACCACTGAAAAACAATTACAATGTTGCTTAAGAATTTACAATTGTTGTTTCTTTTTATGATATAAGGAAAATCTTCCTATACTATATGTGGCAACAATATAGAGCACGTCATCATTACAGTGGCTTGTTTTGGGGAAATTCTGTGTCGGGTGAACAATCAGCTGTAAACTTCCTCTGCTACCCATAAAAGGAGTCAAGAGTCACTCTCTCAAGTATGTAGTTGCTCAACACAGCCTGTCCAGGCCCTTTATAACGGCTCCCTCCAGGTGGGAGACACAAGTTGAGTTCAACAAGGAAACATGAAGACGTTCACACTGAGTTTTCTCCTGAGCCTTTCGGCTGCGGTGTTCTGCATGCCGGTGTCGCAGCCTACAAACCAGGACGAGCAGTTTGCAGAGGTAAGTGCATTTGACGTTTATTTAACGTACCAGGCAATAAGAAACTTAAATGCTCTTTTAATTCAACAAATGATGTGTTGACTAGCACACGGAGAGCAGCAGACTGAAGCCTGTCTGTTCTTTCTCTCCACCAGGACTACCTGAAGAGGTTTTTCAACCTGACAGAGGAAAGAGGTCCGTCGTTCAGAAGGCATCAGCTCAGTGTCCAAGAAGATGATGGAGATGCAGAAATTCTTTGGCCTTCAGATCACAGGGAACCTGGATGCTGACACCTTGGCCATGATGAAGAAGCCACGCTGTGGCGTCCCAGACGTTGCGAAGTACTCCACTTTTGGAAACAATGTGAAATGGGACAAGAATGACCTCACATACAGGTGAGAGATCTCAGAAGATCACCTGTTCATTGATGTGTACTATCACAGATGTTGCATGTGGTTTAATGTGGAGCATTTTTCTCTCTTCTTCAGGATAGAGAACTACACACCAGACATGCCTGCAGCAGAGGTAGATGAATCCATTGAGAAAGCTCTTCAGGTCTGGGCCAAAGTTACTCCCCTCAGATTCACAAGGATTTACAGCGGCATAGCAGACATCATGATCTCCTTTGGTAGTAGAGGTGAGTATCAAACGCTTTTTGCAATTACTGCATTAGAAGTTGTAAAAGTTTTTTCTTTGTTTGTTTCAATCATAATGAAATATGTTTTTTCAAACAGCACACGGTGATTTTTACCCCTTTGACGGCCCTGACGGTACTCTTGCCCATGCTTTCGCTCCTGGTCCTGGTATTGGAGGAGACGCCCACTTTGATGAAGATGAGACCTTTACGTTCCGCTCCAACAAAGGTAAGTTTCTTTCTTTACATCATCAGTGACTGTTCTCTCAGAACTATTTTCAACTTGACTGGTCCTACAAGAGGTGTAACTCATCTTCTGTTCCCCAGGCTACGTCCTCTTCGCGGTTGCAGCCCATGAGTTTGGACACTCTCTGGGTTTGTCCCACTCTAATGATCCTGGTGCTCTCATGGCCCCTTTTTACTCGTACCGAAACCCAGACACGTTTGTTTTGCCACAAGATGATGTCAGAGGCATCCAGTCGCTTTATGGTTGGTATCATAATATGCCCTTCTTTTTCTTTTTAACAAACTAACAATAGAGTGAAAAAATTTTTCTGAACTTGTCCATTATTAAGTACTGGGATTGAATTATAATACACAGGTAAAAACGAGGATCCAGTTCCTCCTGGACCAACTGCTCCTCCCACTCCTGATGCCTGTGATTCCTCCCTGGTCTTGGATGCTGTTGCCTCACTGCGAGGAGAGATGCTGTTCTTCAAGAACGGGTAGAGTAGAAACTTAAGTCTCCAATGACGCCAGCTGGAGTCAACTATTTATCTTGTCAAAAAAATGCTCCAAGATGTGTTTTAAGTTTCTCTATATCTTTTTCAGAATCTTCTGGCGTGTCTACCCCCAGAGTTACACCCCTCAGCAAACTCTCATAGCAAACTTCTGGCCCAGTGCCCCTGAGAGTGTTGATGCTGCTTATGAGAGTCACCTCTTAGACAGAGTCTTTCTCTTCAAAGGTATTTGATTTCTGTCTTTGTTTGACTGATGGTATTTTTATGCACTACCCAAATAGTTTCACCCAAATAACCACGTCAAAACCTTTGTTTGACAGGTCGTCAAGTTTGGGCGTTCAGTGGCTATGATCTGGTTCAGGATTATCCCAGATCCATTTCCAGCTTTGGTTTGCCCAAGGACATCAAGAAAGTCGATGCGGCCCTCAATGACCCAAAGACTGGCAAGACTCTGTTCTTCGTTGGCAGCAATTACTACAGGTGTGTTCAAGCAAGACCAGAAAGCAGTGGTGAAATGTGGAATTTCAATTAGAGTGCAGGAATCTTTTGTTTTTTCCTATTCTAGTTTGCATCCAAGCAACATGCCTTTCTGCTTTTCAGTAAGAAATAATAATCATATTTTATCTTGTCCTTTTCAGCTACGATGAGAATACAAAGTCGATGGACTCAGGATTCCCAAAGCGAGTTGATGAAACCTTCTCAGGAATGACCAGGAAGGTGACGGCAGCTTTACAGTACAGAGGTGAGTCACTTTTAAAACCACATGATCAATGAAATGACTAAACGACTGCAGTGATTCTGTCCAATCCAGTTCATTTTTCCTCAGCAACACGTATCGTCTCTGCTCTGCAGGTTTCACCTACCTCTACAGTGGTCCCTACATGTACGAGTTCAGCTCCAGGACGGGGCGGATGCTGCGTCTGCTGAGAAACAGCTACTTCCTGCCCTGCACCAACTACTAGATCAGCTTTTGACGAAAACCAGTGAAGGTTCAATTAATGCCAAATTTACATCCATAATTTATATTAATAATAATAAAATGTTTTTATGTTGTTGTGTTGTCCCACACTTTTACAAATATAATCCGTCCTTTTGTATTCTGTGAATGTAATGTTTTTTATGAGAGTTTTTTTTAATGTATTACATTTGTGATTTTTGTACTATTTAATTTTGTGTTTGTCTTGCTATTTGCATTTCTATTTAAGTAAATCAAATCAAATTGTTAAAAAGTGTTTTTGTATGTCCCACTATTTAACTGCACAAAAACTAATGCAAATAAAATGACATAATGCAAAAAAAAACACATTTTGTATATTTGTTAAATGCATCGGTGATGCATCAACATCCCAAATTGGTCCATGTTTTTGAAAGTGTTTCACTTTTAGATCCAAAACGCCTGTTTGTTCTCTCAGTCAGCTAAATTGCATGTCACAGCAACAGGTGGGGGAGGGTTGCCCGCTTCCATGCTGTATTATACGAGGAAATTTAACCAGCAGAAACAGTCAGAGAGGGAATGTTCCTGGTTTTGTGGTGTTTCTCTCTTGTTGGGGTGAGTAAATGGGGATGGGCCATGCAATCAGGACTCATCTGATTACAGAAACAACAGGAAACACTTTTAATTGTCAAATTACGAGCTGCAGCGCTGAGACTGGCGGATTTCAGGTTTTGGCCTCGTTCAGCTTTTCTTTCATGCCAGAGGATTCAGCTTGTCACAGTAAGTTAAGCCTGGACCAGCGTCCAGATCCTGTGCATGCATGCTGTGTGTGTAAGATTGCACAACTTTGCTCGACTGAAGGGAAGGAGAGGGGGAGTTTTTTCATGGTGGCTCCGAAGAAAAAGTTAGGTAAACAATACCGTGGGGAGTTTTATTTAGATTTTCCACTCTGAGATCATTTACAGGAGGCAAGTTATTTACATGGAAATCTTCAGATGAGACAGAAAGTCAAGAAATGGTAAACATCAGAGTGGAGAATTTTTCTTGATCTCACTGCAGCAGAAAAAAGAACTGAAAACTTTTGCAATTATTTTGATTTTTTTAAATTTTTTAATCTGTTTTATATTTTGCTGTTTTCTGTTGTATGTTTTCTGAACAGGTTGTTGTTGAAAATGAGAATCTGTTCGACAAACACCAACTTTAGATTTGTGGGGGAAAAAGAAAACTTTTTTCTTCACGCAATTATGTATTTATGTGTTTTATGTCTCATAATAAAGAGAGGGGTACAAACTCGAAAAAGTTAGTGCATGCGTGTGTGTGTGTGTGTGTGTGTGTGTGTGTGTGTGTGTGTGTGTGTGTGTGTGTGTGGCCTTAACTCTCTATTGGTTATTGTTGTTCTGAATCTTAAAGGAGACAGGGTAACCAGTTACCAATGCGTTTTTTGCAGTTTCAGGAATGTAAAATCAGGTTTAGACGAGCTCCTGTTGCCCTGGCCTCAGTAACCCAATCTGTCCTTTTACGTATTCTTGATGTTTTTGTGTGTTCTGTCGTCTCTCTCTCCATACATGCAGTGCATTTCTTTCCATCATGACACACTCATGAACATGTTGGGGGAATTATCTGTCTGGTGCCTTGACCAACACAGCTTCACTCAGTCTTGAGGAGCTGCGATTTCCATTCAAATACACTGTTCTTTTGTTTGAATTACTCATCAATAAAACTCATTTGTTTGCGTTTTGTCCATCCGGTTGTGATTCAAAACACCAGGTTTTTATGTTGTTATTTTAATCCGACAATTAGTCATATTCCCTTTATAACTAATTGTGTTCATGATTGTGTTGAACAAAAGAAAAGCGGCTGAATAAAATTGTGTGGGAGAGGTATTTCTCCGTGCGGATCTGACTCCTGGTGTCACAACCAATCATTCTTAGTCATGATTGGTGACGAATGAGTAGTGGGGCTAAAATAAGATGCTGAGACGGAACTGATAGACAGACGAGAGTTTCGTCCCTTCATCAAAAATAGTCAAAGACGTGACAGATTTTGTTGCAGACCACAGGAAATGCACAGCTACAAGCGCCATTTGGTGAACTGGTGACAGCAGAAGATGGACGCATCATAGCGGCATGGATGTCAGTCGTTTCGTTGGGTTGCAGTTTCTTGTTTCAACACAGCGCGTTTACGTGTGTTGTTCAATCAGAACTGAGACGTTTTACACAATGAAGACGGTTCTGCCCCTCCCGGTGTCCACTGTTATGAAACAGTAACTGCAATGCAGTCTGGGACAAAAGGATTGAGGTGTTACAATGGGATGTTCTTTCGTGACGCAGGATTTTATGACATACTGATGGAAAACTGCAGTTAAATAGTGATAACTAGCGAGAACTTTGCTAAATATTAATTATTTTTGTGCACAACATGCCCAAACAGCACACAGTGCCTTCCAGCATACAATCATATCACATCTTTTTCAAGTTGCAGCAGTTGCACTACGATCATAAGGATTGCGGTTTGACTTATGGTAAACTTTAAAATGTGTAGACAACAGGGCTGCTTTTGTTCACGGCATGACCCAGCTTGTACAGATTAGCACTCCGACTCCGTTGGTGACTTATCGGCAGAGCCAGGAGCCTCAGGGCTGGAGTAGACATTCGTGAGTGGAGATCTCTGGATTCCCGGCATCGACCGACATGCAGCAGACGATTAAAAGAACGCTTGACACAAACACAGGCCTTCGTGATGCATTCGTGGAGTGTTTCCAGGTCAGCATGTCAAGAGCGCAAAACGTGTTACGAAACAACAGGTTGTGCAAGGAAGGGCAAACAATGTAACTTGGCTATAAAGGCGAATCCTTTGGTATAAATAATCTGTGATTTTAATTAGGAACATATTCAAATACAAACTAAAACGAAGTAAAAAGTGTTCAAATCATCAATTCAGTTTTACATCAATATTTAAATGAAATATATACAGTACAAACTACAGGCTGTTTCACAATGCTTAATTATGGCATTATGTTTACTTCAGCAATCAGCCTTCTCATGCCACTGTCATATGATGTCTTGTCCTAATTACAGAGCTTTTTTCTGGACTTATCTTCCTCTCCTCTAATTCATTGATCCCTTTTCATCCATGCAATTCTTCCTGTGTCTGTGTCCCAAGAGGATGGTTGCTTAACCCCAAACCATCTACCCTATATAACAGCTGACTCCAGTGGGTATCACTACGAACCAACTCAGGAAAGAAGGATGAAGTCTCTCGGTGTCTACGTGCTACTAAGCTTTGCAGCCGCAGTCTACTGTGTGCCTGTCTCCAAAGTAGCAGTGGAAGATGAACGTTTTGCAAAGGTACGTTTTGTTTTCTGTCCTGGACAATTCCTTAAGTTTCATTGACTTCTCATTGGGTTGTGTCGTTCTCCTTCAACAGGGCTACCTGAAGAGATTCTTCAACCTGACAGAGGAGGAACACCCGTCGTCTCGGAAAGGAGAAAACCCAATGAGCAAGAAGCTGAGTCAGATGCAGAAATTCTTTGGGCTCCGGATAACGGGGGCCCTGGATGACAACACCCTGGAGGTGATGAAGAAGCCCCGCTGCGGAGTCCCAGATGAAAAAATTGCCCAATATTCGACTTTTGGAGACGACCTCAAATGGAGCAAAAACACCATCACATACAGGTGGATGGTCTGAAGAGGACCTGTGCAGTAAAATATGTCATACCCAGCCATGGTACTGATGTGGTTGACTCTGTTGTTTTTTGCAAAAACAGGATTCAGAATTACACCCCCGACATGTCTCAGGCAGAGGTGGATGACTCCATTCGAAGAGCTCTTGAGGTTTGGGCCAAAGTCACTCCTCTGAGTTTCACAAAACTTACCAGTGGCACGGCTGACATCATGATCTCCTTTGCTCGCCAATGTGAGTGGAAGCAACTTTTCTTGTAGAATATCACGGGGAGTAAGATTATATCCTTAGTGGCTCCATCAAAAGGGAGAAACAGCAAAGCATTTCTTTGCAGACTTTGCTGTGTGCTACAAATATTCACAACAAATATTCAGTCACTTCATTATCGAAACATTAAACATGTTTGAAAAGGTTGCGTCGAACAAGGTTTGTAATCTAATCAGACACTTTTTGCGAACAGCACATGGTGATTCCTACCCCTTTGACGGGCCTGGCGGGACTCTTGCCCACGCCTTTGCTCCTTCTCCTGACATCGGAGGAGACGCTCATTTTGACGAAGATGAGACCTTCACATTTCGTTCAAGCAGTGGTAAGCCGGTCGTTTATGCATTATTTTGGGAAGGGACTTTGTTTTCTTTGTAGAAATTGGCCAAGATGGCCGTTTCATTATGTACTTTTCTGCTTTAGGCTTCGTCCTCTTCCTGGTTGCCGCCCATGAGTTCGGCCACTCTCTGGGCTTGTCCCACTCTGAAGATAAATCTGCTCTCATGTACCCTCTGTACTCATACAAAGACCCCGACACCTTTGTTCTGCCCCAAGATGATGTCAGAGGCATCCAGTCGCTTTATGGTTAGTGCTGAAACAATTACATCTCTGGAGAAAGTTCAAACCATTGTTAAGAATCTTGGGGGTGGGGAAAGATGCTGATCATACCCAGTTCCGTGAACAAGAAATTATTGATTTAAATTTGTTGTGCTGAAATTTTTAACCTCTAGGTGCAAATCCTTCTGGAGGTACCACAACAACTACAACAGGTTCAAATCCTTCTGGAGGTACCACAACAACTACAACAGGTTCAAATCCTTCTGGAGGTACCACAACAACTACAACAGGTTCAAATCCTTCTGGAGGTACCACAACAACTACAACAGGTTCAAATCCTTCTGGAGGTACCACAACAACTACAACAGGTTCAAATCCTTCTGGAGGTACCACAACAACTACAACAGGTTCAAATCCTTCTGGAGGTACCACAACAACTACAACAGGTTCAAATCCTTCTGGAGGTACCACAACAACTACAACAGGTTCAAATCCTTCTGGAGGTACCACAACAACTACAACAGGTTCAAATCCTTCTGGAGGTACCACAACAACTACAACTCAGGCTCCCACCATCCCTGATGTCTGCCACTCACCTGTGGAGTTTGATGCTGTCACCACCTTGAAAGGAGAAATGTTTTTCTTCAAGGACAGGTAAAACACATCCATCCCCGATGGCAAAATGCTGACATCTGAATCAAAACTTTGAAGGGCATTGTTCCTTAGCATTAGCACCTGATGCTTATGTTCGTGTCTGCTCTCAGCTACTTGTGGCACAGCAGCTCCGAGAGCAGCACGCCACAAAAGAGTCTTATCTCAAGCTTCTGGCCCAACGGCCCAACAAGCGTCGATGCTGCTTACGAGAACCCAGAGACCGGCAACGTCTTCCTTTTCAAAGGTAATATTCCTCCAGAGTCATTCACCGGATCAGTCCTATTTCACATGTAGATGTAGTCATTCTTTGATGCCCCTGCTTTTTGTTTAAAGGTTCTAAAGTATGGGCCTTCTCTGGAACCCAGCCGGTACCAGGTTACCCGAAGTCCTTCTCTGAATTCGGTCTGCCAAGTTTTTTGTCGAAAATCGACGCTGCTTTTCATGATACTCTGTCTGGAAAAACCTATATGTTCTGGAAGGGCTACTTCTACTTAATGTGAGTCAGACATGCACTGATCTCCCTTTACAACTTGGAACATTTATTTGCCCTGGTTTTATGCATCTACACTTTTTGCGGTTTTTTTGCTTCAGTTATGATGAAAGCAGAAGGGATGTGGAATCTTTTTCCTGGGTGAGCCTGACGTTTTCCGGAATGAACAACCAGGTGGCAGCAGCCACCGAGAAAGAAGGTGAATATAGCATTGGCATTAACAACTCAGGGAATATTATCTTTACTCTAAATGCTAGTTTGTACAAATGCTCATTTGTCGAGTTTTGTTTTCTGAGACACCAGGCTAACTGCTGTAGTACTATAGGGGAATGAAATAGCCAGGTGTACTGACTCTAAGGAGTTTCTGCTCATCAACTTGCAAATAAGCCTCCCATGATGACCACAGTGCCCAATATTTAAGCTTTAAATTTTTAGTTCACATTGCAGTGTTTTCAGTGCAAGATGAGTCTGTCTTTTTTTTGGAGCACGAAGTTTGATTTGTGATCATTTCCTGGGAAAAACCTAGAAGTGTGAACAGCTGACTCATCCTGCCGTGTCAGAAGTTTTTAGCATTTCAACTTTAACACCAAATATGGGCATACAAAACATCCATCCATCCAGCGATTGAATATACCTGCTTATCTGTTGGGGGGGGGGGGGGGGGGGGGGGGGGGCAGTTTGATGAATTAGGTCTCCTTTCCTGGCATCAAAGAATCTAACCTTTAGTCTCTGTTTTTCAGGTTATGTTTACATCTACAGTGGCCTCTACATGTACATGTATGACCTGTGGAACGGGAAGTTGCTGCGTAAGCTGAAGAACACCTACCTGCTTGGCTGTAATTAGCTTAAAGCGCTTTTCTCTTGGCATTACGTAGCTTTTCATCTTATCTAAGAATGTACTTCATGTAGAGGTGGTGGAATAAAATTTAAGCATATGAATTAAAAAAATAACCAAAAAATAATAATAATAATAATGCAAAATATCATCACTTAGTTGGAGTTGTAATCGTTATTTGTCCAATGAATGTGCGAATAAAGAATCATCATTCAATGTTTTATGCTCATCTTTTCTTTTCACAAGAACATTCCTAGATTTTCATTTAGAATGGAAGAATGAAAGTAAATTATATCCTTCTTTCTGCCACTTGTCAGCATCGCACTGCTTTGCGTTGGTGTTTCACAAAAATTTCCAATGAAACACAAACAGGATTAGGACTGTGACTCGGTTCAAGATGAAGAAATCTGTTTGAGAAGCACTGCTGTGTGTCTCCAAGCCTTCATCATGTTCTCCGATGTGCAGCTGGTAAATGACAAAATGTTGGTAATATAAGATTAAGATCATTCTACAGATAAAATAACGGCATCAGCGGAAAGGTTGCTTCATATTTTTTTGGTCTCACAGCTCCCTCTGTACTTCACTCCAAAGCATTTCTCTTTCCCTACACGAAACAAATCACAAGCTTAAAAAAAAAGTGAAAGTTGCTGCTCAAAAAGAAGGAAATACCATACTCTTAAATCACTGCTGTTTTCTAAACAGGGCAATCCTGAAAATTAGAAAAGCACCCAGAATCATGAAAAAAAAATTTAAACGACAAGGTGATGTTATCTTTCTACTGATTGTTGGGTCTGTTCCGACACTCACAGAAATGTTTCATGGCCTGCCCACTGCCTTCTCGCAGAGCTTGAACCTAAACATAAATTAAGGAACTAACAAAGTAACTCAAGTCTATTTTGAACTCATGTTACTCAAGAATCAAGTGTGCTTTTTGCTTTTCACCAAAACATATTGCACACAACATGCACACTTATTAGGAAAAACCGGATATGTTACTAATTTTCCAAGCAAAATCAGTTCTTAGTAATAAAAGAACAGTTTCTTGGCATGCAGCAGTCTTGAAAGACGGACAAGGTGGTGTCTTTAGCCATTTTGATGGCTAAAGACACCAGTCTTGTACAGTCTTTTTACTGTAAAGACTGTACAACAGCACTTTGTTCGAATCATTCCCATCGAATGCTGTTCGTATTCGGACCACTTTGAAGGAAAATCACTGTCTCAAGGTGACAGTAGGAAGCATCATGGACAAATAAGACCACACTCACACAACACTCCAAGAGGGAATAATGTACATTCTAAAAATTCACATTGCAGTGTTTTCAGGTCAAAATGTGTCTGTCTTCGTTTTGAGTGCAAAGTTTGATCATTTCCTGGGGAAAACCTAGAAGTGTGATTTGTCTTTAAATTGAATCAAATAGGTCTCTCTCAAGCAAAAATGTGTATGTTTGTATGTAAAAGGTGCTTCTCTGTACCGTCAATGTACAGTAGAAACTATAACAGGGTATTTGTTTGCATGTGAGTCAATGTGAGAAATTACTTTTTCTTTTCCAACAATATTTTTATTGTTTTAGATTTTTTCCTTTTTACAAGTACAACTGCCTTAAACAAATACAAACAAGACTAACAAACACCCTCTTGGTTACATATGTATCTGCATATATCTTTTTTTTTTAAGTTCACATGAAGCGTAGTCCACTATTGAGGCTCCTTTGTTTGACATTCCATTTCAACGTTAAACTCGACTTTAACTGACAGTTCCATCTTGTGACAAGTCCATTCATTCAACAAAATTCCAGAAGGATCTCCAAGTGTTTTCAAAGAGTTCACTTTTCCCTTTTTGGAGATACGTAATCCGTTCCAGTGGTGAAGTTTTCAGCATTTGTCTGGTCCATTAGATTGTCCCTGGCCTTGATGTGTTCTTCCAGAAAAGTGCTATCAGTCTTTTAGCTTGAAGTAAACAGACATCAATTAACAACTGTTCACATTTGGTTAACACATTTTTTGGATACAAACCTAAAATTAGAAAACCCGGATCTAGTGCGACATCCTTTGAGATAAGAACTTTTATGATATTGATTATTTCTTTCCAAAATTTTTGAATTTCCCTACATTCCCATGTACAATGAAAGAAAATACATTTTACTTGTAAAAAAATCTGAATCCTCCCAGTCAACAGTTAGCTGTTAACCAAACAGGCCTGTTCAAACACCTGCAAGAATGTCTTATTGCCCAGTCATGCAAATTGTCCTGCCTCCCACTTCCACTGGAGCTCTTCATGTGAAGAAGACCTGAAAGGTTCTTCTTTGCCTTTGTGTTGGAAGGAAAGTGCAATGGATTTGATGAACGCTGTAAAAGCTGTGATGATGCTGGCATGTATGGCGACCTGTGGAGCCATGCCCACCTCTTCACCCAATCAAGAAAATCTCTCCAAAGCCCAGGTAACAAACATAAGCTGCTTTACTCCTCGTTGGCTCATGTTAAATCTAATTAAGTTGTCAACTTGAAAGCCTGTGAAATGAATATAAAAGATATTTTCTATTATTAAGTGTATTTTAGCCTATTTAAGAACAAAGCATGTACTCAGACACCTTTGAATATAGATTTTTTTTTATCTATATTTTTTTCAATGGAGCACCGTTAATGTGTGTGTGTGTGTGTGTGTGTGTGTGGTGTGTGTGTGTGTGTGTGTGTGTGTGTGTGTGTGTGGTGTGTGTGTGTGTGGTGTGTGTGTGGGGGGGGGGGGGTGTGTGTGTGTGTGTGTGTGTGGGTGTATGTGTGTGTGTGTATTAGGAAAGGGTGCCTAATAACTATAGTGCATCTGCAGCTGTTAAATACAGAAAATGCCGAATAGAAATAATATTTTCTGCTATCGCTCTGGCGCCCGCTCTGGCGCCCACTCTAGCGCGGCGCCCCTATGTATTACATATGTTGCATACCCATAACTGAGATAACCTTAGTAAATATGTAAATGTTGGTTTAATCTAAGATCTTCTCCATGGCATGCCTGGCTTTTTATCTGACTGGTCTTCTTACAATAAACAGAGGAAAAGTACATTGACTTTTCCTCTGTTTCCAGAACTACCTGTCTCAGTTTTTCTCCTAAGTCGGGGTCGTTTCCCCCTCCTCTGTCGTGCGGAGCTCTCTGGACTCTTTTAATGACACATTAAGGAAAATGCAGGAATTCTTTGGTCTGGAAGTGACAGGGCAGTTGGACTCTAACACGCTGGGAGTGATGGCTCGCCCCCGCTGTGGTTTCAACGACATGGCCAGATACGGCCACTTTGATGGCCGACCAAAGTGGAACAAGGCTGTGGTCACATACAGGTACTGCAATCAGAATCTCTGCATGAGGGTCATCCAGACGTAAAACTTGTGGACACGTTACTCTGTTATCCTAAAATAGGATTACCGACTACACACCAGATATGAGTCAAAGTGAAGTTGATTCCACCATAGCCAAAGCCTTCAAACTCTACAGTGATATTATTCCTCTGGATTTCCAGCAGTCTGACAGTGAAACAGCTGACATCATGATTAAGTTCAACTCTGGAGGTGACCATGTTCCACACGTTTGTCTTTTTAATGTGCCTGTTTGGGTGTTGATCCTCATCTCGTTTGAAAAGCAGACCATGGGGACTTTGCTCCATTTGATGGTCAGAATGGTGTACTGGCACATGCGTTTTCTCCTGGAGAAGGCAATGGAGGGGATACCCACTTTGATGAGGATGAGAACTGGACTCTAACCTCAGAAGGTAAAGACTGAATAAATTTAGCTTCTTGTTACTGAAACATTATAAGACAAGATCCAAAAGTCCTCCATCCATCCATCCATCCATCCATCCATCCATCCATCCATCCATCCATCCATCCATCCATCCATCCATCCATCCATCCATCCATCCATCCATCCATCCATCCATCCATCCATCCATCCATCCATCCATCCATCCATCCATCCATCTCGGCTTATTAGAGATCAAGTCATGTAGCGTCTTGGAAGGGGCTCAAGATATTCCACTCCCCTGTTACGTATTTCAGCTCATCTGGGAGACACTCCAATCAAATCCTGAGCCATTCATTAGATATAATCTATAGAAATTTGGTCTGAACCAACTTTTTCTCCAAGAAAGATGTTTGCTAAAAACCTCTATGATGAAGACGTCCCTTAGCCAAAAGCCACGAGGCCAAACCTGGAGTCTTTTTATGAGCATTTATGCCTGTAGCACATGAAAATACTGAATGCTGATTAAAATACACCATGGTATGGAAGAAGAAAAGTGAAGAGGTGAATTGAACTGGAGACTCTGCATTTTTCCCAATTCCCACTAAACAATGAAACCATGGTAGCAGCAGGAGGAACTTGCCTAAAATGAATTACTAGCCAACCCTATGAAAGAAAGGTTAGGCAAATGGAGAGGAGGACAATGAGACGAAACAACAAGGGGCTTACCTCAAGAGAGAATGGGTTGTGTCATACAGTTAGGCCTTTGTAGGGCACTTAATTCCCAAAACAGAAATTTCTGTTACACAAATTGTACATTACAGATGGTAATAAGTTCGTATCATGCCACATTCCCAAATCAGTCGCTATGCATGCCGTCTTGTCGGCCTTGATGGTTCCAATCATCAGAAAACAAATCTGAACAGACTCGATTCCTGACATCTAGCTATCAGTTCAGAGTCTTACTGGTATATTTTTGTTTTTCATTCACTCCCAGGAAGACTTCCTACATTTTTTCATGTACCAAAAAAAAGCTTGTTCTTCCATTTCCACTAATAAACAACCACAGTTTAAGAGGCTGAGGCACAGTGCACATCAAGAGCCGAGGACCCCCAAAATTTATCAACAAAAACGTCAAAAACAATTATTTCACTTTGAGGCCAGAGAAATCTGTCCCTCATGCAAGATCAATATTTTGAGATTTGATTGTGGCTCTCTTTTAATGCTGTCTTAATGGCCTTAATGGTGTGTTTTTACAGGAGCCAACCTGTTTTTAGTTGCTGCACATGAGTTTGGCCATGCCCTAGGCCTGGTTCACTCTCAGATTGAGACATCCCTGATGTTCCCCACCTACAAATATGTGAACACAGACGGATACACATTGCCAAATGACGACAAAGAAGGTGTTCAGGCTCTCTACGGTAAGAACGAATCGACTGCAGACACTCAGGAACATTGAGGAATAAAGCAGAATTGAATTCCTGCTCTTCCAATGTTCGTCTCTGAAAGGAGTCCGATCAGATATTCTCCCACAACCGCAGCCTGAGCCAACGTCAGAACCTGCTCCAGACAGGTGCAACGGGAACCTGGTGTTTGATGCAGTGACCACAATAGGAGCGAAGCTTTTCTTTTTTAAAGACGGGTGAGGCTTTTCCTACAATCATTTAACTAAGTAACCTAAATCCTATAATGATGAAGAAACAACAACAAAATTGTGCATATTGCCACAAAGTTTTGGGTTTTTGGTATCTTTTCCCACTAAATTGTAACTTTGTCATAATTTTTCATTTGATCTTTTTTTTTTTTGTCTTATTTCTTTTCTCAGATATTTTTGGAGAAAGGGCAGCCGCTGGGAGGGCATCACCAGGCATAAAATTCAGTCTGTCTGGCCTGGGATCCGCAAAGTTGACGCGGCTTATGAGAATGAGAACAGGAATACTGTCATTTTCTTTGAAGGTATAAACTACCTGTAAATGAAAAATGTAATGTTGAGGAATTAATAAATAGAAAAATAAATAAGGAATGCTGGTCTAACATAATCCTTCTTGTTTCAGGGAATCAGTACTGGCAGTTTCGAGGTAAAACCGTCCTGCCTGGTTATCCCAAACGTCTCACTGACTTCGGCTTCCCTTCATCGGTCACCAAGGTGGATGCTGCTGTTCATGTGTCCTCTATAAGCAGGACTCTTCTCTTTGTAAACAACAAATACTGGAGGTGAAGGATGCGACAAACAAGCCCCAAAATTAGATCCAGAAAGTCCTTTCATTTAAAAGAATGTTCTCCGCACAGCTACAACGAAGGGAGGCGCAGAATGGACCGTGGCTACCCCAAATCCATCCACAGGCACCTGCCTGGGATTGGTCACAGAGTGGATGCTGCTTTTGAGAACAGAGGTCAGTAGTGCTCCTCGGTTAAAGGTTAGTCGCTCTGGCAAAATCATGCTGTGGCTCAACACAATGTCTAATGATGCGCCTGACCCTTTGTAGGTCATCTGTACTTTTCCTCCGGCTCAAGACAAACAGAGTACCACTACCAACGAAGAAGAGCGCTTAACATTCTGATGAACTACTTATGGCTGGGTTGTTGAGCACCTGTTCTGTATTTCACTCAGGATTTTCAAGATTCAGACACATGGCAAATACCGATTATGTTTCCGCTCACTAGGAAATCGCATTTTCTTTGGTTTGCTTGGAGAGAAGACGAGAAAAAAATGTCTGCATGTCTTTTGCTAAACATACAATAATGCTGTAAACCTAGCAATGAGCAAAAATACCATTACAATTCTTTTTTGGGGAAGATTGTTTTGGTATGGAAACTACCAATGTAGTAGAAAAAAAAAGATCTAATAGAACAGAGATGCAAGTGGCTTTTTGTAGTTTCAATATTGGGTCTTAATAACTTTGGCTATAAAGAACCAGTTGATGTTTTTAAATGTAAAAACAATAAAAGATGGAGAACATGTGTATTTGTCTTTGTTTTTATTTCTACTTTAGAACGTAAAATCAGAAATAAAATGATTGGTGTTAAAAATGACAGGTGTTGTAGAAATAGAAAATTAGAGGTTCAATCAATTAAATTTTATTTGTAAAGTACATTTCAGCAGCAAGGCATTTCAAAAGGCTTTACGTCATAACAAACACAAAAACAAAAAGTCATGCAACATAGAGTCAACAATCAAAACATAACATTCAGTCAAGTGCCATTGTTAAATTTGTAATTGATTACATTTGTAATACAACTCTAAACAGGGGGGTTTAGTCAAGATCTAAAGGGAGTCAGTGTTTCAGCAGTTTTATAGTTTTCTGGAAGTTTGTTCCAGATTTGTGGAACGTAGAAGCTGAATGCTGCTTCTATTTTTTGTATTTTTTGGAAAAGGTCGTGTAACATTTACGGCTCTAAACGAGCTTTAGTTAGTTGGAGTAAGGGACAAAAATTACTCTTTGGATTACGAAAGTTGTAAACCTCTGGAACAGAAAAACACCACACAGGTGCCTACATGTCAATTGCAGAATAAGGTCTTCTTGAGAAAAACAAAACAAAACAAAAAAGCACACAATAACTCTGACAACATTTAAGAAAAAACTGGGTTTTTCTTATTAAAAATTATTGGGTGGAAAAACCCTGCAGAGCTAACGAACTGAGCTTGCTGCTTATCAACAAAAGCTTCCCAATGAGTTCAGATACCCCTGAAAACCAAAATAAAATATAAGCAATTATAGTGTTTATGTTTGAGTAAAATAGAGCACTTTTTTTCTCATCTTGTCTCTTTTTTATTTACTTTCATTCTTTTGTCTCCTTAGTGCTATAGAGTAAAAAACATCTAGCTGAACGGCAACTGCGTGACTCTGAATGCCTAGAAACAACATACTGTGATTAAACTACAACAACCATAATGCCAAGCGACTGATGACGTTGTACAAACACTCCTCTCTCTGTATTGGTTGGTGTTGTCTTAACCCCTTGCAGTGCTCTGCCTAGCTGAAGGTGAAGCTCTCCTGCTGTGTTTTTGTCTTTGAGGCTAAAATGTCCTCCGGCAGACTGTTAACCGCGCAGTCTCGGACGTGTAAGCGCCTGGTAAGTCACAGCGTGAGAGTTTCTCGCATATAGGCCAAAGATAAGCTGATTTTAGCATCTCTGTGGCAACGGAAGGCCATAACTAGGAGCAGCTGTGCTAAGTGTTGACTGTCTGAGAAGCGTCCTTGGCAAAACTTTTAGCAGTTTGACAGCAGCAGAGCGCGTCATTATGTTGTGACTGAATCATAGCACTCATAAAAACAACAAATAAGCCACATACAGTTAATAAGTCAACTGCCACTGGACACTTAGTTAGCATAAAACTTAGCATTACTTTGCAGTGGGGCTGCAGAGCTGCTTTTCCTTGTGTGTAGTTTCTGCTGCTAGCTTAGTGGCATTTTATCCAAAGCTGCAGCATTGCTTCTCATAGGTTTTGCCCTCAGTAATAGGGCAAAGTTATTGCCCTACTATGTTTCAGTGGGGCAATAGTTTTGCCCTATAAAGTTAGAACGCTATTCTAAGGCTCTTGGCAAAGGGATATTTCATAGCATTGAGTAAATCTGGATCACCTTTTACCCACTCTGGCCCCAGATTACAGGTTATGAATGGTCCAGATTCGGCAGCAAATGTGATTTAAATTGTGCTAAATGATTGCAGCGATAAATGCTAAGTGCCCGGTTTCCCATGGTTCATCAATTGAAAAAATAAAGCCGGAAATTGAAATGAAAATGTTAACATGTCGTAAATTGGATGTAATTGTTGTAATTCGTCTCAAATATTAAAATAACTGTGGACATTTATTGTTCACCTAATGCCTCTCGTCGTAACGTCACGCGACCCTGGTAGCGGAACCAATAACAGCGATGTTGTTGCGGGCCGGACTCTCAGAGCAGATGCACATTGTCCTCGCAGCAGGAGTAGCGATTGTTTACATCCCGGCTCCAGATGGGAAAGTGTAAATTCAACGAAAATTGGCTGTTCGACCAAACCTTTTCAACATGGCTGCGACCGGTACCGACGAACATGTACGTAGCGCGTTGCGTTCTGTGCAAGAAATTCTTCAAACTCGGAACGATGGGAATCAAGGCGGTGGAGTCCCACATGCGAAGCATGAGACACAAAAGGGCCAAATCAGTCTGCCAACGAACAGAAGGTTTTCCCCAGTTCTCTCCAGCTCCGACGTCAACAACAGAGTCGGCAGCGCCACATTTCCGGACGTTGTTAGGCGTCACGCCTGCGCTGAAAACACAGGTATTGTGGGCAAACCCCAGCCATAAACATAAAGAGTCAGAGTCTGTTTGTATCAGTCGCATACAGTGGAGCGCGCACCCTGTGCAGTCTGTAGTCCTCGACTCGGTTTTCATGGGTTCGAGTCCCGGCGTCGGCCCGTTCGCTGCGCATCTTCACCTTGTTTGTTTACTGCTCAATAAAGGCGATTTGAGCCTGAAAAAGCTTGTTGCGGATCTAAAGACATACACACTTGTTTTTATGTCCGAGAGCCTCAACAAGTCCAACAACACAAAGTATTTGCATTTTTAAAATCACTTCTTTCGTTTATTTTATTTTTTTTGTATCATAAGATAATACACCCAGCTATGAATACATTTTATTTAGCCTGACCAAATACAGTGTTTGTTTTCAGACAGTGACCCACCTCTTGTTACAGCTGAGAAAAGACTGAATTTTCCTTAATCTTTTTAACCTCGCAAAGGTGTCTAAAAAGAATTTGCAAACTGGATGTTTTTTTTTATTAAAGCTCTTTTTTTTAAATTTAGCTCATCATCACTTTTCTCGAAAAAAAATTATTACTTTGCTTTTAAGTAAAAAGAAAAAAAATGCATTATTAGTTCATTTTTGAGCAGTAATTATTTTGTGATATTTAGATTTTAAAATATTATTTCCCCATCACTATTTTGGCTTATCTGACAAACAGTTCGCACATGTCCAAAGTCGCCTTATTTCACTTGAGTAAAGCCTTAGAGCAGTCTTTTTTTAATGTTTGCAACCTCACTTTTACAAAATAAGTCTTCAAATGCATCCTTGCAAGTTCTGCATTTTTTATAAATTGTTTGATTTGTCATATTTTCTACGGTCTTGTCATCGTAGGCTCACAATTACTTTGCCAGAACGTACGCGTCACGGCCTTCGCTTAATGTAAGTACCCCTATAAGCATCGTAAGCAAGCTGTGTTTGGATCACACTTTTCACATAAAACTCTGTGTCAGTTTTACGTAAAAAATAACAAAACAAAAAAATTGCATGCTTACAGGAAGTGGTCATCGTCAGCGCAGTGCGGACTCCAATGGGCTCCTTCAGAGGCAGCCTGGCAGCAGTTCCAGCCACCAAACTGGGCTCTGTTGCTATTAAAGGAGCCATAGAGAAAGCAGGTGTGTCCACAAAGTTGATTCCCTCTAAAGCCTGATTTGACATGTGTTTGTGAGAGGTTTGCTAAAAATCTTTGTAAACGAACAGGAATCGTTACTATGACGAAAACCCAGCATTGTCAGTTTCTTTTTTTGTTCCCTGACCAAACTTATGGATGATAAACATTTGCTCGTTCATTTGAAGTCAGATGACTACAAGAGGCATTAGCATTTTGTGCGTTGTTTTAAAAACCTTGTTTTACTGAAACGTCTGTTTCCCTTTGCTTTTAATCTAAACGGCAAGCAATAAAGAACACTGTTTTGCATCTTCGTAAATTAGTGTTCCTCAACAGAAAGCAGAACCGATTAAAATCTATAAGCTTCACAATAACAGGAGAATGAAAGTTTGCGCCAAAATTCGGTGCATGTCTTTTGTTTTTATTTGAAAGTAAAACAGATTGCTCAATTGAAACAAGATGATGAGTTGACTTTGTTTCCTTAGGAATTTCTCCTGAAGAGGTGAAGGAAGTTTACATGGGCAACGTGCTTCAGGCGGCGGAGGGTCAGGCTCCCACACGACAGGCCCTGCTGGGGGCAGGTAAGGCCATGTTGCTGCTTTTCTTATGAAACGAAGAACAAAAACTCAAATGAAGGAGAAAAAAAAACTTCTGTCATTTTTAAAAACGATCCAGTTTAGATGTTGAAATTGTGCCCTTACTCTATTTTTTTTTTGTCAAATTTGTACAGCTTCTATTTTTATCCTTGCGATACATCCCGATAAGTTAGATTACAGTAAATATGGCTTTTCATGTTACTCAATGTTTTTGTCTTTTAACCAAAACTTGCACTGTAAAAAAAAAAAAAAAAGAAAGAAAAGTTCTTGCCTCTGACTTACACAGCCTCATTGTAATTAATTGATAAATAATGTGTATATTTATATAAAAAAAAAAAAATCAGGATATTCCGAACCTGTTTATTCACTTTTCATTATTTTAACGTATTTTTGAAGTATCGGATCAGGTACAGATATCGACGATATTCAAAATCAAAGGACACACCACTAGTTGAGTTCCTTAAACTGATGGAATTGAAAATCTTTTCGTGTTTTTGTTCCAGGTTTGACCATTGGGACACCAGCAACAACCATCAACAAAGTGTGTGCTTCTGGGATGAAGTCCATCATGTTGGCGGCACAGAGTCTAATGTGTGGACATCAGGTAATACAAATGAGGCTAAAAGCAACAAAGTCCATTTTTACCAGGTTTTCTTTTTGTTTTGTTTGTTTTCTTCTGGGCTTCAGCTTCACTATCTGATGTTCTGTGGCAAGATTGTAACTCCTTTGCAGAGTTTCAGAATAAAAACGTTTGTGTGTTTTCAGGATGTTATGGTTGCAGGAGGCATGGAGAGCATGTCCAACGTGCCGTACGTCATGGCCAGAGAGGCGCCACCCTATGGAGGCGTGAGGATGGAGGACCTCATTGTCAAGGACGGCCTCACGGACGTCTACAACAAGTTCCACATGGTAACTGTTGGAGCAAAATCGTCTCAGGCTGTGGTTTTCCGCAGCACCACAACACTGCTGTGTGCAATTTCCACAGGGCAACTGTGCAGAGAACACAGCGAAGCAGTGCAAGATCAGCAGAGAGGAGCAGGACGCCTACGCCATCAGCTCCTACAGCCGCAGCAAAGCGGCGCACGAGTCCGGCGTGCTGGCCAAGGAGATTGTGCCAGTCAGCATTCCACAGAGAGGTGCAGGAGCGCCCAGAGAGCGCTGCTCTCGGCAGGACGTGGCGGTCAAGTTCCACTGGGCTGACGTTTCTGTGGTTCTGTAGGGAAACCAGACGTGGTGGTGTCCGAGGACGAGGAGTGGAGGAAGGTGGACTTCAGCAAAGTGCCCAAACTGAAGGCAGTCTTCCAGAAAGAGAACGGTAAAGATCATAACCGTTATGTGTTTAGGCAGAACAGGCCTGCTTTTGGCTGACTGGTTAATATTCAGACTGCTGATCAGTTATTCATTTACAGCTGAAGTACATAACTTCTATTAAAAAAATATTTTTCACATATTTGTTGATACTGTCACAGTTCTGACAGTTTGGTATGAGGCGGATAATCTGTGAAAAAAATCAAGCTCCACTGCCTTCTTCAACCAATCAGAGTCAGGAGCTGAGTGTTTGCGCTGCCAGTCATGTATGTGTGCGTGCCGCTCCAATACAGCTTCTCGCCATCAGGAGAATCTGTTTAGCATGGCTTCTTGTTACAGAAAACAGGTTTTCCTTTAACCGTAAGTTGATTTTTTTCCGTTATAAGCTCATTTAGCCAGTTCACAAAGATGACTGGCAGCGCTAAGTCCCTCCTCCTGGATCTGATTGGTTGTTGAGTGGGATCAGTGCATTCCTTCAGATGGCAATAGCAGCACAGGGCTCAGTCTTTCCACAGATTATTTTTCTCATACTGTCACAACACAAGGATAATTTTAACAAATAAGGAAAAAAACATTTTTAGAAAAGTTACATACTGAAACTTTAATAAGTTCTGCTTTTTTTCAGGCACGGTGACGGCAGCTAACGCTAGCACACTGAACGATGGAGCAGCCGCTCTCGTTCTGATGACGGCAGACGCCGCAAAGAGACTCAACGTCACGCCGCTGGCCAGGATCGTCTGTACGCGCCAAACACAGAAAACACATCAAGTTGAAGGGATTATCTATCGAAGTCGCAGCACTGATGATCCACGATTTATTCTCCCTTCTTCATAGCTTTCGCTGATGCAGCCGTCGCACCCATCGACTTCCCCATCGCTCCGGCGTACGCTGTGCCAAAGGTGGGTGAAGGGTGGAGTTACTGATCTCATTTTCTAATGTTAAACCAAAGAGGCAGAAAACTTTTAAATGAATACTTTTGTCTTTCTTCATAATCAGAAGTTTAGACGCACCATAACCACGGTTCACACAGCAGGTCTTGATGCTCAATTTCAATATTTTGCTAAAATCCTATTTTTTCTGTGAGCATTCATTCTAGTATTGAAGCGCGATCGTTCTGTTTGAATGGTTTACAACCTGAGAAGAACGTAGCCATCACATGGCAGCGCACTGTTTATGGCAGTGATAATGGACGCCGCCATCTGTGGTCTGACTTTTAAAGTTATTGAGGAACAGGAGTCAACAGCATCATCACAAGATCATAACAAGACGAAGGAAGCCAAGAAAATGATTTGATTCATTTCGAACATGCTTTTAAAAATAAGAAAGCATTCGATTTTATTGGTTGATGACTGTTTGAACAAATTTAATCTCAAATGCAAAAGATTGGATAGAATTGCCTCTTATATTTCTATACGTAAACTGGATGTTTGTGTATTCACTTGATTGCAAAACAGAACATGATTTGCGAGGTTCTAAATTCAACTGAGAGAAAAATCGTTATGCAACTTTATACAGAAAACGTACACGTGTGGTTGCAGGTTCTAGACGCAGCTGGCCTGAAGAAGGAGGACATCGCCATGTGGGAGATCAACGAAGCCTTCAGCGTGGTCGTGCTGGCCAACATCAAAATGCTCGACATCGACCCGGCAAAAGTCAACGTCAACGGAGGAGCTGTGTCTTTGGGACACCCGATTGGGTAAGAGGTCAAACAGAAAGGTGCAGCGGTAGGTACGCTGATCCAGAATGTGAACAAAACGATAAACCAGCTTCTGGTTCCACAGAACACCAACCTTATGATCTGTTGACCTTCTGTTGATGTTTATATTGTAAAGGAAGAGAAACTGATTATTGTCATTTTCCAGAGAAAATTCTCAATTGACAGCTAAATCATCCTGATAGTTTTATATTCCATCCACAGTTTCCAGAATGGAATGAATGGAACATTTTTCATTGTATTTGTTTTGGGGGTTTTTATGCCAACTTAATTGTCATGTTTTGATGTCACCACAAGATGGCAGTATTGTACCAACTCATCAGCCTGCAGTTCTGCTTTTCATTCAAAATACGATGACATCTCCTATCCTTTCAAACTTGCCGATGAAAGGAGAAACTTTTGGTCTATTTTTGATAATCAAACCTTTTAAGACTGAAGAAAACGTCTTCCTTTTTCATTTATTTGAATTTTTCAGAATGTCTGGGGCGAGGATCGTGGGTCACATGGTGCACAACCTGAAGTCCGGCCAGTTCGGACTCGCTGGGATCTGCAACGGAGGAGGCGGAGCGTCTTCCATCCTCATCCAGAAGTTGTAGGGGAGAAAAAGCTGAGCGGAGCCGTCCGTGTTTTCTGCTTTTACATTGCGTGGAAGCCAGTAGCTCCAAGCGGTTAGGACATCAACGTGACTGTAAAGAGTGCATTTGTTACAACTTTAGTTCCAGGGGCCTTAATCAACAAAACTTAACACTCAACGCTGATATTGTCATGACTCCAACGTACTAAACACTCCCTTGTTTGATGGAATGTCTTGTCAAAATTACGGATTGATATTTAAACTGTGAAAGGACGTAATTAAATAGTTTTTCAAAGTGTTGTGTGGTTATTGACAGAGTGCTGGTTTGACCTTCAAGAAGAAACTTAAAGGTAATCATGATGTAATTCATAATTCTGCCGCTAGAGGCTGCAGTTGAGATTTTTGTTATTGTTTTTTTTTTTTTTTACATGTTTCAGCTAATTATGTGCCAGAGACGAAGCAGTGTAGATGGAACATATAAAAGATGATGTGATCAGATTGGTTCTCAACAGAAAAATGGAATAAAAATGTAAAGTTGTTTTTAATTTTTATTTTTTTTCCCAAGCTCAAATATGCAAGTATAAACTGTTGTACCAACTTGATTTTATTATGTAAGTAACTGGCCTGCCTGTGAGAAAGTATTGAGGTGAATTGTTTGAGATCTGGGTCCATTTGTGACGTATGGAGTCAGTCACAAAAACAAAGAATAAAGCCTAGAACAGAAGTAACAAGCAACATAGAAATGAGTTTAAAGTGTAATATTTCCCCTTGAAATTTAGTGGAATGAGAATCATAAGTTGCCTGAAAAATAAATACCCACAGGGCCTGCAGCCCATAATAGTCAAATTAAAGATACTCAAAAATGTAGTTAAGTACATTATTGACTAAATGTACTTAACATTAAGCTAATAATTAAGCTAATATTTATATGCAGCTTATTTATGTTAACATAATAAGTCAGCTGCGAGACTGATGCAGCGGCAGTTTGAAATTTTAACAATTTCAAACTGAAGTTAAATGTAACTAAATATCCTCAGATTTCACATTTTTATCCCCTTTTCTGCACATTTAAAATAATTTTTTTTAACATAAAAATCTCACTGAAACTGTTCATATGTCACTTATTTTGAACATTTATTTTTTCTTTTAGTATTAACCTGAGTGTTCCCCTTTGCTGTCATCGTTTGTTAGTTTTCAGACGTAAAGTTTTAAATAAGCTGCATTTATATGCAGCTTATTTAAGCTGCATATAACGAAAACATTACACACAAAGCAACAAGCCAAGTTACAAGCTTCAGAGACAGAAGCCTACATTTTAGGAGACATTTCTTGTGATTTCAGTGTTCTGCTGCAAGAGGGGTTGGCAAAACAATTTAGCCCCAAATTAAATATTTATTTTGCGAACTAAATATGTTTTTTTCCCCAAACTAAACATTTAGCTTCCAAACTGAACATTTAACTTTCAAACTGAATATCTGGCTTGTTAGGAAGCTAAATATGCAAATTAGCCTGCCGATGAACGGAAGTGGAGTGTCAAAATAAGAGCTGGATTTAGCGGAGTTCTATTAAATTCTGCTGCTGGAGGAAATGAATCGCTTCCGTCGTCACTCAGGTAAAGTTTCTTTTTAATATGTATGTAATCGATTCTTTTTCTCTTGACATGTCCAACGTGTTAGTTGGAAACATGGGGCGTGCCGTTTTAGCGGCTATCCAGACGTTTACTCGTGTTTCTATAGCAACAGTTTTCTGTATCGGCGTCCACCATTACAACCAAGCCATAACACTTCCGGTTCATGGTAGACTCCCCATTTTTATCTGCTTTAGAGCTGCTCACAACGTTTTCAGAACAAAGTTTTTGCGACTCATTTTCACATACAATTTTTTGTTTTACGAATGAATAAATTGGAAGTCTTAAGCTTCGACTGCTGCTCTAAAGCAATTTAAGAGTAAATGAACAAGAACCGGAAGTGTTCCGGCCTGAGCGTACAACCGTCTCTTGATTCAAATGTTCCTGGAAAACAATGTTTCTCAAACTTTTTTGAGAAACAAAAAAAGTTATTAGGATTATTTATCCATTTAATAAAATACTCTCGGACCTTCCTTGAAATTTCCCCCACAACGACACAACATCTAAACCTGAGATGAAAATATTAGTCTCTTAGCAAATGAGAAGGCTGGTATCCGTCTTGTAAATGTGATTGGCCACGATAAAACCGGACAAACTTTTCAGTTACGTCAAACTCTGTACTTACTCTGTAAGTAGAGCGTAAACGTCTGTGCAGCCGTTGTTACGTCGATTCCCCCTGCGTCTTCTCGCCGCACGTTGGACATGTCGACTCGAGAGGAGTGGAATCGACGATTACAAAGACAATGTCACTTGAATAACGATTCAGTACCGCGGGCTGCGGAGTTTATACACAGGTCCTCAAAACCCCGCTTTTACTTTGGTAATCCACTTTCGCTAATTTGCTGCAAAGCAAATGAGCAGCTAATTTGCACATTAGCTAAATATTTAGCTTGGAACTAAATGAATAGTTCTGCAAATAAATATTTTCCAGACTAGTCTGTGCTAAATTGTTAGCGCAGACTTAAGCATGTAGTTTTGGGGACTAATATTTAGCTTCCTAACTAAGTAGTTCATCTGAAAGCCAAATTGTTTGGAACTTAGACATTTAGAAACGTAACATGGTGAAAATGGGAGTTTTTAAAAAGAAACACTCATATTCTTTTTCTCTATGACAAGCTAAATAAACCAAAAACGTTGGTATAATTGGATAGTATTTGCTTTTACTGTATAACTTTGAAAACAGCGCCCTACAATCCTAAACCTGACTTAAAACATGAAAAGTTTCACTTGATTTTATGTCAGACAGTAAGAAAAAAGAAGAAAAGATGGGTATTTTTCAATGATGCGGTGTAATACAAGGTTCCTTCTTTCATTTGCGTTTTAATTTGAATATTTTTCTGCTTCCACACTAGAAAAGTTGTGTCGCGGGAAGTACACCTTCTGTGTTTGTCTGTCTATGCTGATCTTCCTGACAGTGGCCTCCATCTTGCTCTGGTATTTTTGTACGTTCACTTAGAGAGCTTTGTAGCTTTACTTTGTTTTTGAACTTAAGTGTGATTCTGCTTGTGTCCTTCCACTTCCGTTTTTATTAGTTGTTGTTTCTATGTGTGTCTTTGCAGTATATTACAAGTGTCCATTTGGGAAGTCATGTGGACGGGGTGGGAAGTGTCTGAGCACCATCCAGTGGTGTGATGGTGTACAAGATTGTTCAAACGGAGCAGATGAGTCCTACTGCTGTAAGATATTGAAATGAAAATCCTAAATGCTCCTCACTAACATACACACCGATGCGCCATTGTTGTCCCTGAGCACGGTTGTTTGTTTTGCACAGTTCGCCTGAAAGGAATTGATTTCCTGCTGCAAAGTTATTTAGCAAACGACAACGTCTGGTTGCCTGTGTGTGCTGAGAACTGGAATGACAACTACGGGAGTACTGTGTGTGAGCAGATGGGCTACGACAGGTGCTAATAGTTTATTCCCGTATCTACTGAATTTTAAACTGTAATGGTACGCAAAGTATTTGCATTCATTTGCATGGTTTTCACAGTGTTACACAGCAAATTCTGAAATGTGTGACCTATATTTATACCCAAAGCTCAATACTTTGTAGAGTATTGAGTCACTGGCAGCTGCGTTCACAGCTGCCAGTCTTTTGGAGTATAACTTTACCAACTGTTCACATTTTGCACTTCTGCCCGTTCTTTAATAAGCAGCTTGAACTCCAGGAGCAATTTGGTAAATTGCACACTAAAACCGACAACTGCGCAACAGTTCAGTCAAGATTTTGTCTTCATTATTATTAACTGTTTTACCAAAATTGATGTCCTTTTTGTCTAAAAGTTCCATCCATCCAGCTATCTGTGTTTGGGATTTTTTTTTTTAGCTGGTAAAAAATTAAAGGTTTGTAGAAGTATCCATCATATATTCATTAGAAACTTTTGCATTTAAAGATCTCAGTGTCATATTAAGAGCAATGACAGGGCACAAGTGCAGGCAAACAAAACAGAGTGTCCCATAGCGTTCAGTCCAACAGAGACACAACTAAAGCAACAGAAAAATATTTGGAGATCTAGCAAAGAGTGACCGATGAGGAAGAGCTTAGCTATCGATGACAAAGGGTCCAAAGAGATAATAGCAGGTGAATTGATGCACCTGGGGAAGGGAGCAGAGGAGGAAGAGGGAACAGAGGAAATGAGAATGAAAATACAAACTGAACAGACACAAAAGATAAAATAAAAGATAAAATAAGATGGCAAGAAAAAAGGAGTGAAGCAATAAAGGAAGGATTAAAGCACAGATAGAGGAGGCTAAACGTCCAAACACGAATGGATCATAAGACTGAATACTCCAAAAAAAAAAAAATCACTGTTTCTTGTCTCTCTGTGTACCCCACAGCGAGTTTTATGTGAGCTCTACTCAAGTCAACTTTAGCATCTCAGACCCAAAGGGATACTTGAAGCTAAAGTCTGGAAGTAGCTATAAAGCCCCGATACAGACACAGCTCATGCACAGGTATGGCCACACCGTCATATTAGTATGGACAGAGATTTATAGAGTGAACTAATAATAATATAATAATCTTATCTTACTTTATCTTTCAGCCCACAGTGTTCAGTCAGAGCTGTTAAACTTCACTGCATTGGTGAGTTTCTAACTGGCACAAGAGTGCAAGATAAGAAGATATTAGTGCATGACTCATGACAGAAAAAAATCAGAAATACTAAATTTCTTTTTTTGTTTCCTTCACTCTGAACGTTGAGAATGTGGCAAGAGTTTAGCAATTTCCAGCGGTCGCATCGTGGGCGGCCGAGAGGCGGTGAAAGGAGCTTGGCCGTGGCAGGTCAGCCTCCAGGCTTTCTCCCAGCATATGTGCGGCGGCGTCATCATCAGCCAAAACTGGATCTTGACTGCAGCCCACTGCTTCCAATCGTGAGTCGTTACTCAGTATTTTCTAAATAAACGCAAAAACATTCAAGGGTTTAGGTCTAATGATTTGATCTGGGCATAATTTAAGATATGTGGTTTGGTGTGTTAAAAACTCAGACGATGACATTCCTATGACAAAAACCGCATTTTCAAATGTCAAATTTGCTCAATGGAAACACAGCACTAATTAAAAAAAAGAAGAAAAAAAAAGTTCAACCATTCAACTTCAACTCAAAATTTGAACCATATCAAACTGACAAGCGCTTTTAATGTTATCTAATGCAACTACAAGGCATTGTGTATGTCTGGAGACAAGCACTTCCTCAGAAGCCAGTCGTAATAAGCAATTAATCAATTAATCGCATGATGAATTAAAAAGAGCTCAATAATTTTCATTCTGATGATTTATATTTTCTTTACAGGACCTTCATAATCCATTTCTTCAGTTGTGTGTGGTTTTTATTTCCTTTTTATTTATCGGTTTTGGTTGTTCTGCTTTTTTTTTAAGTATATTTATGGAGTTTCAGTATGGAGAGTCCTACAAAATTAGGGTTTATTAGTCTCTGAGAGGGAGAATTTGCATTGTTGTCACTATATTACTTGGGAATGGTTTCAAAACAACAATATTATAGTGATTACTGGGACAATTCATCGCCCAGCAAAATTTGTTATGATTTGACTTTGACCGTGCCATCGCAGCCCTTTCAGGACAACAAGACGGCTTGGCTTATAGTGTTCAGTGACAGATTCTACTGTTCCCACTGTCAAAGTGGCTGCTCCAGAAATGATGTCACTTAAGCTTTCCCTTCCTTGAAAACTCAGTCTTTACAAACGTACAATCTGGACAGACTTTGGATCAAATGAATTATGTCTATATCGGACCTCTTAGTTTTGTTGGTTTCAAAACAGCTGATAGTTGTCCATATTACCAAAATGATTCATGTATGACTTACTGATAAGACATGTAGAGAGATCCCCTAAATTTGTCTTCCTTGACAGACTTCATGATCCTAAAATATTCACGGTCACCTATGGGGATGTGAAGTTGTCAAGCATGCCATCTAAAAGGTCAGTTAAGAGCATCATTTGTCATAACAACTTTGACCCTAGGACCAATGCCTTCGACATTGCCTTGGTAAAAGTCAGTAAGCCCATCACTTTCAAAAGTAAGTGCTTCTTCCACTTTTTATCAATTGACTGACATCTATGAGAACCATCAATTCACTTCATTTTGACAAAATGCATTATATTTCTTTATTTAGAAAAAGCAGTGAGACCACTGTGTCTCCCCAATGTTGATATTCAAATAAATAGGAGCAGTCAAGCCTGGATCACTGGATGGGGGCAATTGTTTCTGCATGGTGAGCTGATTGACCATGTCCAGCTTTTCCTGTCATTTCATGTTGTTTTCATTCTCAAATTTTCCTCCCTGTGTTTCTTCTTTTTCCTAATTTTTCTGAAGTTTGCTTCCAGCACATGTTGAAGAACAGTAATTGTCATGATTGACTAAGTTACACGGAGGCCGAGAGCGGGCGTTTTCCCACATATGCTTTGTCCTGATGGTTTTCTCAAGATAAAATAATTCCCTGTTTTCTCAAGATAACTTAATTTCCCGTTTTCCTCTTATGGTTTCCTTGCGATAACCTGTTCATTTCCAGATAGTTTTGCGTGCGTGTCAAACCCGAGTTCATCCTTCAAGCGCTTTCCACAATGGCATTCATTCGAAGGCAGGATTCAGGATCAAAACACACGTCAGTCATCTCGTGGAGACAGTAGATTTTGTTTTCTCGAGATTAACTCATCTCAAGAAAACGGTGGGTATATGTACCCGCTATCTCAAGAAAACCACCTGGAAAACGTATGTGCGGAAAACGTCCACTTTCGACTTTCGTGATGTCAACTATAGATTAGCAAATATATATTCTTTTTCTTTTTCAGGTCCATCTCCTGATACACTAAATCAAGCTCCGGTTACCATTTATAAACCAGAGATATGCAATAATCGCTTCGTGTTGAACGGGTTGGTAACTGAGAGCATGTTCTGCGCAGGCGTTCTGCGAGGCGGCGTCGATACCTGCCAAGTTAGTTTTTGGCCTCATAAGCATCACAGCCCTCACATGCCAGAGCGACATAACCACAACTAAGTAATCAGATATTATAATTATTTCAAATGATTTCAGGATAATTTAGTTAATAGTTCTCTGACCTCTCATTAAGCGGTGAATTTGTTTCTCTATCTTAAAGCTTCAATATGAGCGTAAGTAAAAAAACATTAACATTACAGAAAAGTGTAATGCTCTTTCATGACACAGCAGACATGACACTGTCAAATCTACAACAATAATCCCACTACACACATGCTTTTAAACCTACCTTGCTATCACTTCTACTGGAGTATGAGAAAAAAATAATTAAAAATAAACACACAAATGATTCTATGGTAGCTCGTAGATTAGATTTACAGGAATCATTTAATATTATTTAGATTTTTGTTTTAGGATGGGATATGTAAATTTAATAGGAAAAACATTCGGTATCAAAATGTTTAAAAGAAACCTAGCTAATGCTTCAAATATGACATCAGCTGCTTTGTTGTTTTCAGTTGTCTTTACATTTCCTTGTCTTATACTTTGTTTAGTAAAGTAAATAATTAAAGCAATGCTACACTGTAAAATGTCTGTCCTGTATCCTGCAGGGTGACAGTGGAGGACCTCTGGTGGTTAACACAGGAGGTATTTGGTGGCTGATAGGAGTCACTAGCTGGGGCTTTGGATGTGGTATAAGGACCAAGCCAGGAACGTATGCCAATGTATCCTTGGTTAGGGAGTGGATTCACAAACAAATGCAGGTACGGCAGTGTGCATCAAGATCTTGTCTAATTTAATTATTTAATTTTATGTTCTAAATCTTCACCGTTGAATGATTAAAAAGAAGACATCTATTCCAGATTTTTATGTTTGCATGTCAGCAGGTTTTTGTTTTTTTTGCAGTTAAATACTGTTAAACTCTACACTTCAGCTTTTTTATTTGATGTTGTGTTTCCAAGACATTCAACTGTGTTTTTGTGGAATATGGTAATTTTTTTATGACATGGTTTAAAACTATGTGAATCGTTTGCAGATTTTAAAACCATAAACATTTGCACAAATATCTAATTCTGCCTTTCCTTTTTAATCTCCACAGGATGAGTGACAAACAGAACACTGAGGTCCCTACCAATGCACTTTGAGTCCAAAACATTGAGTGAATGTGATCAGTGAGGGTTTTTTTTTTTTAATCAGGTATTGGGGGGGAGTTTATTTCTCAATGCAAGCATTTAATTTTTGCTTTTAAAAAAAATTAGCTATTTATTTGCTCAGATGTGTGAGATTTCTCTGAATGTGGATTCCTGCCACTATTAACAAACAGTTAACCTACTCATTAATCTGGATGTGGCATAAACAGACATCCCAGCATGCTACAAGGTGTGACTTTACAGAAGCTAATCTATTTCCTCATTTACAAATAGGGGGATAGTTTGAGGGAATGTTCAGGCTGAAATTATTTTATTATTTAACTGAAAATGTACATTTAAATTTCACAATGTCGTTTGTTTTTCATGACTTTTATCTATCTCACTCAGGATTCTGTGTATTCTCACTGTTGCAAAGCTCCGTGTGAGGTGATTTCTTTGTGAAACAACTGTAAATGATTCACCAAATGTTTGTGGAACACCTGAGAATAAAGCCTATTTGAACAGAAAAACAGTGAAGTAAAAGAGTGCTTAATAAAAGAGTGCTCCTGCTTTACATCCACATCATCTAGATGAGGGCCCAGGGATCACCAAACTTTTTGAATCTTGTTACTTTTGGGGTGTTGATATACAGTGCTACAACTAATGTTTTTATCTCACTTAACAGTTGCTTTTTTGTTTAGTTTTGTTTTATGAATGAGACATTTATAGCAGTTTCTTCTAAATGTTCCCTGTTCTGCTTTTGTAAAATTGTGAAATAATCAGTCTAAAAATGACATATAGTACCAGCGATCAAAAGTTTTATTTAAGTTAAGTTTTGTTTCTGTGAGAAATGCTAAAAAGACAAAAACACTACATTTATTGATTGTAGTGTTTTTGTCTCTAAGGAGAATAGAGAAACAGACCAGATTCAATTCATTTGATGATATAATTAAAGGTTTCTCTGCGTCATATTTGAAGTGTTTTCTTTTTCCCCCTTCTTCCCTGTCCTCGCTTTGATCCTTCTCCATCAGTTGGGTGTCGAATCACTGCTCATGGCGGTCGGCTCACTGTTTGGCAGATGTTCAATCTCCCAGACTACATCTGCTACCTGTTTGTACCAATTAATCGGCCCCTGATACTGAGCCAATACCTCTTCAGTGGGTTAAACAGATGACACAATTAGCCACTCAATTGAGGGCCAACACAGCACCATATCCAACCGCAGGGCTGCCTTTTATCTGTTTGGCCATTTTTCTTGACGCTTCTCAAGTGTGTGGGCAGACCTGCTCTATTAAACCAATATGCTTTGTAACCATCTCTAAAAGTAAAGTCTTTTCCCCATTATCAGGTCTAACTCCAGCCGGTTAATGTCTGATTTGGTTCTAGGTAAGTTGGGTGTGTTTTCATTGGCACTGCGTGGCTCTGAAGATGTCATTTTGTGGCTTGGCCTACCCAGTTTACCCGGTATTTCACAATTGATAAAAAGATTTGGGCCTCAAGATTTGACCATGGAAATATCTATTATCAGCTCACCATGTTGCCAACTACTACAGTCTAGCTATAGGTTGAAAATTGTGGTTGAGGTATTGTTGTTGACATAAATCCATGGGGCTATCAATGAATGCAGTCTGCTGCCAATCACATTATTCATGTGCAAGACTTGGCGAGGTCCGGCTTATACCACCTCTGAGATGGTTCCAGAAGCTTGATTGGTTTCCAGGATCTGGCCGGGATTGACTGGGTGGAATCCCTTAAAGCCAAGTCCGTGGAGAAGGGGTTTCAATTACCTCTCCAGACACACCATTTCCTCGTTTTACTATTTATAAAAATAAAATAAAAAATCATGGCTTGTTTGCAGTGTTGGGATACAAATTTTGAATAATATTGTTCAACAAGTAAACCTCAGGTAAAAGGTATAAAAGACAAAACTACGTCTTGGTTTCCAACAGCGGCCACCACTCCACATTACCTTGAATAAAACATAAAAAAAAATAAAAAAATTAAAATGAAATGATAAAACAAAAATATTTCGAAATATACGTATATTTTTTGTTGTGTGGAGTAAACAGTTTACAGTTTATGATGAGTGAAGTTATTTCGTTCATCGACGTGTTTCCGGGACGTAGGATTCCGTTAAAAGTTGCACATGCGCAGTAGCTCCTCGTCGACTCAGCTGAACGCAGCTTGTTTTGCATACCGCCACCTTCCCGCCATAAAGGTTAGCCCGAATGACAAGTCGACAGGTTAGCTAACTGCAGCGAGGCTAATACTTTGTTCTACTTTCCCTGCCTTCCTTTCCAAACATCAGAATATGACCCAGCATGGTTTAAGACAAGTGAATGAGGTGAGATAAGGGGATAAATATGTGCTGTAGGTGTTTTACAATGTTTTTAAATAGTAACAGTATCGTGAAGAGTGCAACACACCTTGGAAGAGCCCCTTTGATATATTAGTCTACTTTTTTATAGGTGCTGATATGTATTGTTGCAATTAAATGGATTGTCTCAGTCCATTGGCCTCTGGAGAAAAACCTTTCAAAAGCATCCCTGACTTCAACCACTTTGAGAAACTCACTTCCCTCAAGGATAGAAGGGCAAAATGTATGTACAAAAAGTGGAACACTGGATGATATAAAGTTGCTTTGGTTGTTTTTGTACAATAAATACACAGGTTTGTATACCTTTGTATATATTATTATTATATATTTGATATATGTCTACTTTGGATTTATAGCTCTCCCGCCCATGGAAAGAACCCCGCAACTGGGTTTCAACAGCATCAGGCAATCTGAAGAGAAACCCAGGCAACACTGAACATCTTTGTATGACAAAAAGAACCCAGAACACACTACTGAAGAGGTGACTTAAGAAATATATTTACGTTTCTGACTGGCTCAGCCAGAGGACTTACTTTTTAGAGAATCTATATAAAGTGAGCTAAGGGTTAAGGTGGTGGCCAGGAGGCCAGACAGCCCCAAAAACATTTGAGAAATGGTCATAGATCCCAGTGGAGACATGCAAAAAGCTTATCAGCAATTAGAAACATTTGGATTAGAGCTAGGTTTGATTACTGAGACGGTTATCAATACTTTTGAACGTGGCTTTTTTTTCTGATGAAATGCCAATAAATTCAGAAGAAAAAAATCTACAACGAAAGCCACTACCTTGACACCCTCTGCACTTGGCTGCTTTAAGTGGCAAGTACTAGGAGAATCCCCTTCATGTAAGGGCAGAACACGCAACTTCCAAATATGTTTCATCTAAACCAGTACAGTACAGCTCTGGCTATATGTTTAAAGCCATAGTTCTGTCAAAGGTCACTACACTCAGGCTCAGGTGGTCTACGGTGTCTTAACAGGTTTTCTTGTGTGCTTCACCCTCGATTTTACTCCATCCATTTCTTTTTTATTAACTCTGACCAGCTTCCTTTTTTCTTTCGAAAGAAAATAATTTCCACAGCATCACTGTGTGTGATATGCAGTGACAAAATGTTTCGCATGTACACTAAAAAAATGTTTTATTTGGTCTCATCTGACCTACTGACTCTACAGATTTAGCAAAAATAATATTGTCTTCAGCTCTCTCACTTTTTTTGAACCGCTTGCTTAGAAGTTCTACCAACTGGAGCTAAGACACATGAATGAATTTTCTCATTTCAAAGCATAAGCAACGCGCCGCTCCCTAACGCATCCGAGGAGTTGCGTTGACGTTAAGTCCGAAGCACGGCGGGTGACGTGCAAAGACAAAATGACAGCTCCGTTACTCGGGGCTAAGTGCTAATCTAGGTGGAGGGAGGAAACTGCTGAATTCTCAGCAGATATTTAACTAAAAAGAGGCTTAGCTGTGTGGCTCTGCCCCAGTTCGCAAGAACAGTTTGTCAGTGCGTCATTGTGATGTTTAATTATGTGAGGGTGATAGAAAGTCCATGTGCACGAGTGTGTGTTTTGTGCTCACAAAAGCCAGTGTGTATCTGTGTTGCAGTAATCTTGTCTATGTGGTTATGCACAGTGAAAACAGTCAATGCAACATTCTTCTGCAGCCAATGAGCAGAGCGCCGCTGTTACCGGGCAGTTATGTGTTTATTCCCCCTCCTGTTCCTTCGTGAGGTCGATGTCACACGTCAAGCCTCATAGCCTCTCAGATCAGCGTGAGCCTTTACGACACACCGGGGTCCTGCAGTAATGGTGAACATCAGCAGTCTCGCTGGTTTTGTAGGTCAACCAGTTCTGAGCGGGTGCAGCTTCTGTTTTCCTGTGTGGAACAGGAGCTATTCACGGATTCCTCTTCAACCTGAACACTGATGACAAAGCAAAACAGAAAGCAGATTTTTTTTTTTTTTTCCCCCGGGTTTGATCATATTTAATCAGCAATGTGATGAGAGCCGCATCTGGATCTGAAATACATTTCACATCTCATTGGCCAAGTCTGAGTTTGTATTTAATATGAACAGAAATATTAAAATCACTTTAAACAAAGGTGTTTTATCTTAAATATATCATTCAGACTTATTGTAGACAATTCATTAAACTGTCCACTGACAAATTTTAGCTGATTTTAGCTTTTCAAACCCTTAAACAGACAAGAAATTATTTCATTATCATTTTCTGGTGTACCTGGGCTAAAATGACACATTTTCATGTTTGTTTAAAAAATAGGATCTTTATTTTTCAATGTAAGGTTTGAATCCCTCATGATACATTGACCATTTGTGTTATAACAAAATAATAATTCTTGTAACAAATTCTAAAACTTGCTAAACATTGAATCAGCCATGTTACCGTACATTTCGCATTTAAAAAACGCCATGGCAAGAGATTCTCCTCCAGAATCTCTGATTCAGAGGAAAATTCATGGTTCCATCAATAATGGAAAGTTGTCCTCGTTCTGAAACTGTTCCTATTCGTCTTCATGAAGATTTTTGTCAGTAAATCTGAGACGGGGGTTTCTGTTGTTTTGGTCACCCTTTCACCATAGGGTCTTCCATGTTGGCCAATGTACTTCTGTTGAATCATGAAGATGGACCTGTAGATATTGTTTGAGATTCTGTTGTGACCCTTTTCTCAGCAGTGTTCCATGTTTTCTCCATCCGTGAATAATGGCTCTTACAGTGTTTTGCTGGATTTGCAAAACCTTACAAATGACAGTAGAAAGAGTTCAGATTTACTTATGTTAATCACACGGAGTGGATATTAATTACCTGGCCTGCAGTTTTTCTAAATATGGCAGATTGTAGCCCAGAGATCATTTCCAGTTTGGTAGGTTTATGCTAACTCATAACATGTATCCTGTAGTGCCTTATGTATAGATGGTATCTGGATAACCTTACACTAACCTGATATTGTAGATATAATGTTGGATGAAAATTATTTATTTCAATATTAAATTCTCTCTTTTACATACACACACTTCACAGCTTACATATTTTCTTACTCCGCTCCGCCTCCCTATCAGTAACAGCTGCTGACCACATGGTGGCATCAATTCTCAGTGACTGAACATTCGTTCAGCATCTCTGACGAGCTTGGGTTTGAGAAATCCTCTTTACTAA